TTTTCAAAACTTGTTTTATATCAGTTAAAATATATATAATATTTTATATCTATATTTAAAACAGCAGGTTTATGTCTGTTCCTTTGTGTACTTCCTTGAGAAATGTGTTACATTTTCCCAGGGAAATGAAAAGCAACGGCAGCACGCAATAGGAAAGCCGCATGAATCATATGCAAAGTGACACAGAAAACGCGACGCTCGACACGTTTGCTATATCCCAGGCCAATGCCAAATAACCCTCTCCTTCAATCTGCAAAACTAGAACTTTGGCTATAAAACAATTTATCTTGATTTGTTCGCGTTTTGAGGTCCGAAAAGCGGGGTGGACTCACGCAGCGCCGAAAGGTAAATGACCAAAAGCCATCGAATCGACGAGCGCTGAAAATCATTTTTGTCGTGACGCCAAAATGGATTAATCCGAGGGAGGTTTTATTGATGATCAAAACATCGTTTGAAGGACATTGCCATGTTGAATTAATTGTAAGATGATTTATACAATATCTGTAAGAGTTTGATGTTCGTTTCGAGGGGTTCTTAATCCCAAGAAATTGATTAGAGGAGTGCCCTTACCAGGTATTAAATAGGGTTTGTAAATCCAAGCTAGCTATGATTTATGTAAAAGATGATCGTTCATGTTGAAAGCTGAAAAACTTTACTGTAATGAGGCAGGCAAAATTATTTATTGTAACCCCTGGAAGGGCAATCAGTCATAACTATCCGAATATTAAAATATGTAAAATTAATTAAGACATTTTGGATGAAAATTACGGGGTAAACATTGTTGTGGTGTGTAGTAGTAAAATTAATGGGATTATAATAGGCAAAAATAAAACATTTTATTGACTGCAATAATGTTATGATGAAGCATTCATATTACCCAATTCAAACGGTTACAAGTTGCCAACTTTCGATTCTTGTTGCAGTTCTTCGTTTTCATAACGGCTGCATTGACCCCCAAGCGGATTATTTCGTAATTGTCGAAAATAATCGATAAGTGCTACGTCAGCTGATTCGCGTATTTGAATTGCTCTTCGAAGCGCATCTAAAGGGTGCTAGAAACCCCTATTGTTTTTGGGCTTAAGTGGAATTTCGGTTTCTCTTTGCCTTTTGTGTTTCTGCACTGCCGCTCCTCTCTTTCCCCACCATGTTGACTTATCTAATTTGCATAATTTTTGCACGCGAAAAACACTCCGAAATTATTTTTTTTTGCATGCAAATTGAAAATTGAATTTCGTGTTGCGCAACATTAGAGGTGTCGAAGGTTATTCGTTGGGAATTGCATTTCGTTTTGTTTGATTGCCGCATAAATCATATTTTATGGCCATAAACATCAAAAACATGCATGCGTTTATTGAGTTTAGGCACATCAAGACTCCCATTTTGATTGGCTTAATTGGCTGCAAGTTTTTATTTTGCTTTTTGAGTCTCTGGAAAGTGATTGATTTATGAACTGATTGACGAGCTACTGATGTTGCATAACTTATACAGCATCTAATTGAGGCCAATTAGTGGTATGTACTGAGAATATTCCCATGGCTCTGGGTTGACCTTCCACCCACGCCCTTATTAACGCCTTCACTTTACCACTTCCCGCTCAAAATTGGCGAAATGTGCCAAATATATAAATTAGGTCCAAAATGAGCTACGCCCACCTTGAATGCCTCGGGCCAAACGTAAACAAAGCGTGCCCAAAAATAGCTTTCGACCCGAGCGATTAGCATCTGGGCAGTGGAACGTGATGAGCCTCCTCCATCGATGGGATGATTTCAACCATACCCCCTGGCCACGAAGTTACGTCCAACCTGCGTGACACTTTTGCGAAACGACTGGGATCAACGCATTCTCTCCGAGAGCCGGCTAATTGTTCACACCCGCCAGCCAAGTTGGCATGGCAAATGGGCAATGGAGCCCCACCCAGCTGAAACTAATCTGTAAACAATTAAGGCGGAGGTTGCCAGTGCATATTTCAAATTAATTTGCAACATGTGTGCCATTCAGCTAATTAAGTTTGCCCACTGATGAATTTAAAAGTAATGAGCAATGAGTGCAGATAAGAAAATTAAATTGTTTATTTTAATTATGCGTTCGTTTGCTCGCCAGCAGCAAACTAAGTTTTTAATTAATTATTCGAAACAACTTTTTTTTGGATAGTTTATGAATAACAGTGTTAAAAATCTAAAACTGCGGGGAATTATTGTATTGTGGTACAATTAGTAATGTCATAACTTAGCAAAGAAACTTGCGTATTTATTTTTGTGTTTCGTAAAATATAAATCTGAAAGTGTTTCGAATTCATTTTATTACTCAGCACTTATTTTGTAGTATTCCAAATTCGTTGCAGACGTCGGAATAGTAATAAATTCAGTAATTAAATCGGCTGCAGGTCGACTATTAAATGTTCAATGGAAAAGTACGCCACAAAGCAACAGACCGAAGACTCTGCTGATAAGACAAAAACTAGTGGGGGAATTGGGGAGGAGTAGGGGATCGGGGAATGGGAAGCCCGTGCCTAGGAAAGCATATCTCAGTCCAAACGAACTCAATTGACTCACTTTCACACAAACGAACGAGAGGCAACAAACAAAAGCAAACAACACGAGGCCGGCGAACGTGGAAACTCGGCAAATACCAGTGCAAACACGGCCTGCAAACACATGTGTATAAAATTTAGGTAAGGGCACAGTAAACATTCCCTGCAACCGATATTTTAGTTGCCCAAGAGCAGCTTATCTCTCTTTTTGTGTGGGTAAGCATTTACAGCTTTCAAATAATACTGTGTTCAAAATGGGAAAATAAATAGACAAGTCGGCATGGAATCAGCTCTGTTAAAATGTATGAAAATAAAAAATAATAAAATATATTTAGATATGTATATTCTAATATCACATATTGAACATATGTAACTGTGGGTTAACAAGAGATTTAAAAGGGTCGCACTTTCCCATATCATTTGGGCTGGTTATTTTGAGTACCGCTTATATGGCCCCCACACAGACACACAGAAATACAAACTCACAATACACGCCCACAGCTGTTAAGACTGCAACTGATTAACTAATTGAAAATTTGTTTTGCATTTGCTTCCAAACGTTTTCTGCTTCTTTTGCTAATGGAAATGGAAAACGAGAAGCAAGTAAAAAGTTGGTAACATGTGGTTGGGTTGCCACCCTAACGGTAAAAAACATTTGTAATTGCAATTTGCTGCGGAGAGTCAAGTGTCAGCTGTTTGCCCCCCTTTCGCTGTCTCTTTTTCCCCCTCTCATTCTGACACGCAATATGGCGTCATGCCTTTGCCATCTCACTCGCACACACACTGAGAACAAAACCATGTGTGGTCAAAAAGAATGCGACAATTAAAATAAGTGAACTACAAAGTGAAGCTTTGGCTTTTCCGTTGGCTTAGCAGCCAGCGCGAATTGTTGTAAATTACTGTGTGGATAAAAAGAATTAGAGGGTAACAAATTCTAGGTCAGTGGTGGAAAATGAGCTCATGTGTCATATGTACAGTGCTTACTATTTACAAAAACTTGGGACAGACAGTGGACACCATGTCCTACGTTTCATTCTACTAGAAACTTTTCCTATTGAAAGTTATTATAAAGTTAAGTTTACTAAATCACTCAAACTATGATATCATTGAAATTTTCCTGTGTTTTCGATAGATAAACATAAGCAATCTTGCGTTACTGGCGCCCTGATATGAATAAGTATAATGCTTATAATACCGGCTTCCGCTCCAAGAAATTCCGATACGACAAATGTTTATAATTATTGATTGATTGCTAGAAACCACGAAGAGGCACTAAAAATAGAAAAACTACTACCATCTTCTAAAAATAGCATAAATTGGCAAGCTAATTTCCTAGAAATAATTACGAAGAAAACATTAAAAGATTCAATTTACTCAAAGTGGTATAACGGTATAATTGGTAATGCTCTGGTTCCCCAGTAAACTGGAGGGGATTCTCTTCCACCCCTTGTTTATATAGTTTTTGGCTAAGATAACGATAAGAAGTGCAATAGAACAGTGACGCATAATAAGCCCCCTTAAGCCACTTGACTTTTGGCCAAATCGGAATGCCCACGCTTCTGTTTTCGCTCATACACAAAGTCCAGAAAGCAGAGTGTGCTAAAAGTATAAATTTAAACGCAGACAGTTGTTGGGGTTTGAATTTTGACTGAGTCATATCATTTTCGGTTCGCAGAATTCTGTGTTGGTTTGATTGATTAACTAGTATTTTCTCTTTTTTCACGGCGATACTCTCACAAATGCAAATTGGGTTAATAACTTATTTTTGTGTTTGTATTTGGCCTTAGATGACTTGTATTCTCACAGCTCTTGATGCGAAGTGGGTTTTTATTGATTTTTCTTATTTACATGGAGAAAATGCAGTGCGGCATGAGGGGAAAAAATTAGGAGGGCCGTTAAAGTACGCGTTTTTTTTTTTTATAGCGGCCTTTTTGTTGTTTGCGGCTTACACAGATAACGTAAGCCCTTGCACATACATATGTATGCAAGAGTGAGATGGTAAGGATAAAAGAGAGGTGGAGAGAGAAAACGGAGAGTGTTAGAAAGAGAGGTGATGATATTCCTACCCCAATTACGCCCGGCGGCTCCAAAACAGCCCACACATACACATGCAAGATGAAAACACAGCTGCAGCGGCGCTGATTTATTGATTTTTCCCTGGGATGCCATATTCTTACGCGTTTTTATCAATTACATAAAGTAATTCTTATAAATGGGCCAATAAAATGGCGAACAAAATTGGCCACAAAGGGGTTTAAAAATAGCCTTTTCACGCCTGCCCTTGAGTCTTTTTATCAACCGATTCTTTTTTACCTGCTATTTGTACAATACGCACACACACCCATACAGTTGCAAAGGCGGCAAGAAAAGGAGAAACCAAAAAGGAAAAGAAGATGCCAAAAACCCACACGAAAACAACAAACATCCACAAATTAAAAGTTCGTGTGTGTATAACTTGGCTTGTACTTACTTTTTTTGGCTAGTTAAAACAAGCGTTGTTCGCAGGAAATCGCAATGGGAAAATCTTGTTTTGTTGATTTGATTAATTGGCTTTATTGCACGACACTTTCATTGACATTTCTTTTTAATTTCTTATGGGGAACTGCAAAAGTAGACAGGATTTTCTGCTTGTTTTGTTGTTGTGGCTCAACAAAAAGGAAACACTGCGCGAACTTGGGGCGAATACATAACTGGTTTTCCGCACAACTCGGTTTTCTTTTGTGCGGGTTTCTCTGCTTTTCTAAACTACCCGCCGTTGCTTGCCGTTTATTGCGCCAATTGGCTTCTATTTAGGGACGCGATCGAATGAGCCTACTCCTAGCCAACTGTTTGGAGCTCTTCGTTGGGGTCTTGTTTCGAAAAAAACGTCGCGACGAAAAACGCGAACGTCGGCTAGAAGGCTCGGTGTGACCAATATTGAATTAATTTTCCACCTCCCATAATACCGAGCTCTGTTTTCACCTAAATTTGCCGCCAAACATTATTCTTCCACCCCTTAGACATTGGTAGGCGTCTAGGGGCTGACATACTTTTTAACGAATATTAACATTTCTGTAAAATGCAGAATGGTATTTGCTCGACCTCTGTAATATACTTTTTAAAAGATATGTTAAGATGTAACGTATTGTTATTCACTTTCGGCGCAATTTTCGAATAATAAAATTAAATACCTGTTGGAACAAGTTTAGATTGCATTTCTAAATTGAATATATTTTTCTTAGCGTATTAACCGATTTAGCACCATAAAACATTTTAGCTTTACTTACAATCAATTGATCCCAACTCCAAGTTAAAAGTTTTATACATAAATGGGTTTCGAGTACTTTATGACATTTACTTTATTCTCATTTTATATTATTAACGAAAAAATGTACATAAAAACGTTACTTCTTTTTTTCCTAACTTGCCCCCGATAATTATACATAATTTGACTTTTCCTATGGTTTTTCCGCTCGGTTTTCCGGCTCCGCTCACTCCTTCGGTTCAGACACACAAGTAATTTGATGGGAAGCCTGGCTAGATATCAAAATACTGCTTTCGACTGATTTTGGGTAGTGGCCAATAGTCTGGATGACGTCACACTCTCTGTACAGGGTAAAATTCTTTTATACACTTCGAGTCCGAAAAGGGTCCGGCATGTGGAGTCTGGGCTTTGGACCTGGTCTCATTCATTCACCTAACAAATTCGCTCTAAGTTTGCTTTAAAAATTAGCCTTGGCTTATAAATATATTTGTGTAGATTTTCCCTTCGATTTCCGCGGTTTATTGTAGAAGCATCCTGTAGTAGACGGTTCGTGAGACGCAAGAAGTGCAGTTGCAGTTCGGTTTTAGCTATTTTTGATTTCTTTTCAGTTTTTGGTTCGCTTTACAATTAAATTGTTTGACAAATTTACACAAGAGAAATGGAATCGAAGCGAATCAAGTTACATATGCGGTGTAAAATTACAAAAGATCTTTGCGTAGATTAAGTCATACCATATATATGGGGATATACGATATACGATAGGGTAAATCGTTTTCGGGTGGAAGGTGTAATCTACAGATATTGTTATCTGTTTTGGATTTCCTAATAATTATAAGAGAACAGCAAGTAGTTTGCTAAACGTAAGGCTTAAAAACATGGAATAATAAATAAATACATTTTCGGAAATGTCAATTTACACATGTAGATTACATCCTCCAGCCAGACCAGCCCTAATATTCAGTATATATAATTACTTTATCTTTAATTGCCTAATAGGTTGTGATGCTCTATGCTGCTCGGCTACTTAATATTATTGTACAAGCGACAGAATCAGCAGACTGGATAAACGAAACGAGGCCAATCGAATCGGGATCCGAACGAAGGACTGAATTTGGTAACAATAAGGTGGGGGAATCGGTGCCCCCATGGGAGGAAGAACCCCCGTCTTCTGGTACCCACTCTACTGGTACTCATCGTCGCTGCTCAGCAGCATGGTCTTCTCGTTGTAGTTCTGGCTGATGGTCGCCACCCGCTGACCGCCGGGCTGGAACTTCCTCTGGTTGCCCAGCGTCTTCGAGGCCATGCAGTTGCTGCCTCCGTTGCTCCCCCGGTCCAGTGGCCACCGCGTTGTAGCCCCCGCTGGTGGGCTGCGATGCCTGCAGGGCTCCACTTCCTGCTCCCGAGCTGGGATCATCCGGATCGTAGCTGGAGACGCGAATGCCGCGCGAGTTCTTGCCACCTGTTTGGGTGTTAGTGGAGGGAATGGGCTTTATCGTACCGGGGTATACGGATCGGGGGCTATATCTATGTACAAGGATCATTAGATCATTCCATGCTCGCAACTCCTTTACCTTGATCAAGTTTTTAAAATTCAAATCAAGGAGACTATTTTTCTTTCAAAGAGCAATGCCCTTTATCTCTTTTAAAGCTATCAAATTAAATTATAGTATAGAATATATATAGTATAGTATAGCACTTAATCAAGGTAAGGGAATGATAATTAGAACGAGGCCAATAAACATGCAACAAAGAAAACGAAGCAAGGCAAACGTTTGTTAAGCTTATCGTACATTTATTGCTAGATATTTTAGATATTTTATACAATTGGTTTAAACATTTACAAACAGAAGTAAATAGAAAGCACGACGAGAGCTTATCACAAAAGAAGGTGGTCAAAAGGGGGGCAAACCAAAATAAATGAAAGAAAACTATGTTTTTTGGTATCTTTGAGCGAAACGGAAATACGTAAATAAATGCTGAGGGGAATCTATCTTGAAGACTGCCGAACTAATCATCTATAGTTCAGCTGCTGCTGTTGCATACAGTGTAATAAAATCTTTGTTTACAAATACATAATATTGTACAGTATTATAGGTCGGTTCGTACATAGCTAACATTTAAATAAGTTGTTTTAAAAAACGCTTAAGCTTAAGTGTAAAATGTAAAATGTAAACGTAAGAAATACAGAAGTACAGACACAGAGGTGCGCGGCAAAAGGGGAACTTCAAAATCCCTAAACACAAAGGACAGGCTAAGGTAATTTCTGTTCAGCTTTCAGCATTTTGTGGTAAGAGTAAGTAAGTAACTAGGCCTAGTACGTATCTCCTCTCTGAGTGTGGTTTTTGAGGGACGCTTGGGGATTTAAGCTAGGGCTATAAGTACACTTGTTTGCTTCGGTTTCGGATCGCGTCCCGCTTTAAATTGTGATTGCAATTAGTGTTTAGTAGCGAGCATCGCTATAGTTAGGCTTTTCTTTAGATCGATTTAGAGCTTTTCGTAACGCTGAGCCGAGGTTACTTCTGCAAAAGATAAGAAAAACAAGAAAGAAAAACAAAAGTGTGAAAAAACATAACGATAATGGAATGGAAATGGAAATGGGCATCGAAATGCATTAAATGAGAGCAACAGAACCAAGATAAGATAAGTTCAACAGGCACGAAAACAACGCAACATGCCACAGACACGAGCACAAAGAGAAGTTGGGCTAAAAATCGGAGTAAATCGAAGAATAAGAAACTAAACCCACCTGAGCTGTACTGCGTGTACTGCTGGTACTGCGGATGGAAGTTGTGTATAGCATCTGTCATAATATCCTTGGGATTCATCGTTTCCTGCGAAATAAAATAGTTTCAGATCGAAGGGAAGTCTAATATTTGGCAAGGCTTACCTTAAGACTGCTGGAAATGGACTGCATGGTGACAGATCGTCCGTGACCATCGCTAATGCAGCTGCGAGCATAGACCTAAAATAAGATACAGAAGGATTGTTAAATAATTGGGATTTTTAATTATTAATTGTATTATATTCGAATTAAAACCCAACGATAATGTATACATTATACTATAAATACTAGTTGAGACATGTTATTCTTGCCAAATCATCATTAGATGAACCCTTATTCAGCTATCTCTTATAAACACCGAAAATAACCCACAAAAGCACTTACTCCAGTGCTATCTAATCACAGAGAAATCGTAAATAGCTCCGTCAAATCTTCGCCCACTCCGGCATTCCGGAACTCACCTGATAAGGGAAAGCATATCGCAGCGCGATGGCGGCGAACAGCATTTCGATGCAGATGAAGAAGTTCTGGTAGCCGGCGGACACGGTACCGGGTTCCACGGTGACAGTGCCAGCACTGTCCACGATGGGCGAGATAACGTTGGCCTTCTCCAGGATGGCCAGACCCACGCCCTGCCAGAAGGACAAGAAGATGACCGACTTGATGGTGCAGAACTTCAGGACGGGCTCGAACGGAGTCAGCAGATCGCGCGTGGCAAAGTAGAACAGATAGAGTCCATACAACGCGAGCGATACGGAGATGTTGTAGATAATCGTGATGTAAATGTAACCGCCGTCAGCACTGCAAGGGATATAAGAACAGATATTAATGGATTATCAAATCAGTTAAGGTAAAAGATTCTTAAATTATATCTACAAAGTATTTCGAACTTTGAGATTTTTATATGCAAGCGGGTAATAAAAGATAAGCTCATTACCTCCAATCACCATCGTGGTAATGGCCAAATGCCTGCAGAAAGATTATGATGAAGGCCACCAATGGCTTGACCAGGCAGAACTGCAGAGTGGCCTGCTTGCAGAAGCGCAGGAAGCCAATCGTGTAGGTCTTGCCCTTTAGGCAGCAGGTGCCATACAGACACGAAGTCTTAATGGGCTTGCCGCGAATCTCCGACATAATGTTGCCCTCGCCGCCCAGGTACTCGTAGCACAGCGACAAGAAGTTGTAGATGACAAAGGCTGGGTGGGTAATAGAGGGATAATAAATTAGTTGATGGCCATTAAGAGTGCCAAATTAGGTAGACAAACCTTCGTAGCAATCGCGCACGGTAAAGAAGTATATGTAAACATTGTCCGAGTTGAAGAAGAGCAGACTAATCCAGGAGTAGGTGGCATAGATGGGCACGATGAACAGGATGCGCACGATCCAGCGCTGCTCCTGCGGATTCGTGTACCAGCGCAGGTGCTGGTAGATCTGCAAAGAGGATTTATTTCAATTTAAGTAAATAGATCAGGGTGTTAAGGCAACTGAACCTACCTGTTGACAGGTGATGAAGAGGGCGGCCCAGACACACACCCCGGCTAGAACCTGGGCGGTCTTTGTCTGCAGGAAGATGCCGTCGCCCACATGGAGCAGCGGGTCCAGCGGCGTGCTCATCGGAGCGTTCTTCACCTGCACCACGTAGTTGGGCTTCCCAGTTGCCTCAAGCGATCCCGAAGTGGTTGCTGTGGCGTTGCCGCCGCTGGCATTTAGAGCCGCCTCGATGAGACTGGCGGCGGTTGTGCTCATGCTGCAATGGAATCCAAGAACGAGGAACAACAGATTAGCGTGGGTGGAACTGGGTTGGGTTCAGCCCAGGAATTCTGATGGGGCCAGTTGAAAGGCTCAGGGCAGACAGCCAGGCAGGCAAACTATTTACGTTCCGTCTCGACTTTCACACGAACATTGTGCTCCGAAAACGACATTCTGCTCAGAGACACGAAACCCAATTTCAGCACGACTGTGATGAGCTGTTTAGCTTTATTTTAGTTACAAATTTTTTATAATATAAAATATTAAAGTAAAGCAAATGAACCCTAAACTTAAATGAAGAATAATTTATTTTCAAAAGTACTTAATTTTTTAATCACTCGAGTTGCTTTGAATACATTTAAAAATACACGTTTAGAGCAAATATGTGAATCAGTCATGTGTGGAGGTTGAATAACAAATTATGAATAACAATTATACTTATAATTGTAGAAGAAATGGTTGCACAATGAAAGCTTTAAATGCGATATAAAACATGGAAAATGTGGAATTGTGCTACTTTATTAATAGACTTCCTTAAAACAGCAAAACAGTCTTTTATAGATAGATCTTAGTTCAAAAAACAATATGTAATGCTTTTGTTATGTTGCTCTAAAAATTCTGACAACACTGCAACAATGTTTGGACGAATTGGGTCAGCAAAGAAACAAAGTAGAGAATGTGGAGCGCCAGTAAAAAACAAAAACAAACAAAAGAGTAGGCGGCGGATGGGTGGATGGGTGGTAAAAAAAAGGGGGAGGTGGGATTTAGGAGCAGAGGGACAGAGTCGCGCGCATTAGATCATCACGCAATCCAATATTAATAATGGACTCTGTCGCTGCCAAGGAAAGTTATGGCCACCTCCACACCTTCCACCTTGTCTCAGGGTCACTCTTCCACTGCTCCATATCGATTTCACCCGCCTGGGAATGCCAACGAATCAATAAACAAGTGTTAAGCAAGCAAAATAAAGTACATATTTGATGTAGTTATGAACAGATCTTCAGGCAGTGGCGCTTTTATAAAATGCATCTGTTCGGGGGAAGCGAGTCCATTCAACTGAAATCACTTTAAAAATAATCTTGAAACTGAGAGCATTTTGGGGAGATAAAGACTGCTGTAATACTAATTACCCGTACGGAAATAACCCAATGAGCATTGAAATCGACTGGGAAGACAGAAAATTAAAAGCTCTGAGCCAACGGAAACATATGGCAGTTCAAGTGGACTTGTATGAAATCCGATTAGAGTTCTGAGAAACAAAGTATATATACCATTTACACTGACGAGCAAAACTGTAACACGATTTCATTGTTTCAACTTCAAAGGTCTGTAACTTTTTTTCTAATGCACGGATTTTGAAGATCTTAGTCTTGTTTTGTAGGTTATATTATTTACTACTATTAAGTAAAATTCAAAGCCATTTGATATCAGTTAAAGAAAATGACGTGCCAAACTGTAAAAAAAGTCAAATGTTACAGTTTTGCACTCTGGTTATTTTTTTAAGAAATATTTTTATTAATGATTTTTTAATAGTGAGTTCACATCCCCTTGGACTTTTTTAGCTCTTCTATGCGTCTGGGCATTTTTTGGGTAAACCGTCGTACCATTTCCGGGGGAATTTCATTCCATACGCCATGTTGCCGCTCTCACAACTCCTTCATTCCACTTGGAGGAACTGCATATTTCTCCAGCTGCGATTTTACATGACTCCACAAGTTTTCTGTTGGATTCATGTCGGGAGATTGTAGTCGCCACTTCATAGATTGAAATTTCTGTTTTGAAATCCAATTTTTTACCAATATGGACGTGTGCTTGGGGTCGTTGTCTTGCTGAAAAACGCATTTTTCGGCAGAAAGACCCAATTTTCCAAAATTCCTTTGGAAGATTTTCTTGTAAAATGGATAGATATTGCTCCTTTCGCATTATTCCATCGATTAACAACAAGGAACCAACTCCATTTAAATTAATGCTCCCCCAAACCATGATGGAACCGCCACCGTGCTTGATAGCGAATTGGGATACTGTAAGTCATTGCTACCAATTCCAAAATACTTTTGTTTTCAAGGTTTTATGGTCGGATGAAACAAAAATTAATCCCTTCAAGTCAGATGGGCGCTCTTGGTATTGGATAGAGATCCCACGATCCAGTCACCAAGGAATGAGTGACAAACCGCTAGCGGTTTCATGGTTTGGGGGAGCATTAACTTAAATGGAGTTGGTTCCTTGTTGTTAATCGATGGAATAATGCGAAAGGAGCAATATCTATCCATTTTACAAGAAAATCTTCCAAAGGAATTTTGGAAAATTGGGTCTTTCTGCCGAAAAATGCGTTTTTCAGCAAGACAACGACCCCAAGCACACGTCCATATTGGTAAAAAAATTGGATTTCAAAACAGAAATTTCAATCTATGAAGTGGCGACTACAATCTCCCGACATGAATCCAACAGAAAACTTGTGGAGTCATGTAAAATCGCAGCTGGAGAAATATGCAGTTCCTCCAAGTGGAATGAAGGAGTTGTGAGAGCGGCAACATGGCGTATGGAATGAAATTCCCCCGGAAATGGTACGACGGTGTACCCAAAAAATGCCCAGACGCATAGAAGAGCTAAAAAAGTCCAAGGGGATGTGAACTCACTATTAAAAAATCATTAATAAAAATATTTTTTAAAAAAATAACCAGAGTGCAAAACTGTAACATTTGACTTTTTTTACAGTTTGGCGCGTCATTTTCTTTAACTGATATCAAATGGCTTTGAATTTTACTTAATAGTAGTAAATAATATAACCTACAAAACAAGACTAAGATCTTCAAAATCCGTGCATTAGAAAAAAGTTACAGACCTTTGAAGTTGAAACAATGAAATCGTGTTACAGTTTTGCTCGTCAGTGTATGTTGAATACAGATTAGAATTTACCAGTAAAGCTGGGATTTTAATATAAAACCCGCTGATAAGAAACAACTTAAACTTGTTTATTTGATAATTTAAATCCGAAAAAGATCTTCTTATCCTGCAAAATCTGGTCGTCACTTCTCGGGTTAAATTGAATTAACAACTTTAAACGTCAGAGTATCGATTTGTAAAAACAATTAAGTATTTGTCTATGATTATTTATTAAAACACCTGTATGGCAAACTATACACATAATGGGACGGGCACTGGGTAGAATGACAAATAAATATTGGAGGAGTGGTAAAATCAAGTAAACTCATTAAAAAATGACACATAAAAAAAGGGTGGTATTGCAAAAAGATTCTGATTTTGTTTTCGGTTAAAATGTTTTAATAAAACACACGTTATATACACAGAAATATAGAAGCAGAAAACACGATTTTAAAACTAGTAAATATGTATTACCTTAATTTAAAAAATATAATTATTCGAATGGCGTTGACAAGGGTTTCCCATTAGGAATATGAAAATCACGCCAAAGATAACGAATGAGTCACGAGCTCGTGCAAAAAGTTAATAATACTCGCATTGTTAAACTCGAATTTGTGAGCAGCTTTTTGGTCAACGCAACGCAAAAGCGTTAAATGTTAAGCGGTTGAATTTGCGTACGAAATACAGAAGTGGCCTTAAGAAGAAGAAAAGGCTAAAAATGAAACAATCAGCTGCACAAAGAAGAAGCAACAACAAGTTGCTGTTAGCGGAGATACAGAAATTGGCCAAACAAAAGTCTCCACTCGAGCAGAGTCTCCAAAAGTGGCGAAAGACGAGTAAAAGCCATATTGCGATTAGTGGAAAGGAAAAGGGGCGGAGAAGTTGCTAATTATGGAAGGAGTGGGTGGTCAGAAAACTTTTGTGGGGCTTCAGGGGGTTAATTGAATTTCGAGCAAACAAAAAATATGTGTTGTAAATAACATATGTGAAGACGACCTTTTGGGTAGTGTAGAAAGAAGAAGATTGGAAGCTTATCTCTCTCGCTTCCACTCACACACACACTGCCACCTTGCTTATCAATGCAAAAAATACATTAACAAGTCGAATAAAAACACACAACACACGTATGTTTATAAAATACGCTCAGTTTCGTCATCGAATCGGGTAATTCACAACTTGCCATTTCAGGGAAAACAACTTTTACACAAACACATATGCAGAAACACCAAATAATTCCTTTTTAATTGACACGTTAATTACCTTTTTCAAATGCAACTCTCCACGCTTTTGCGTTGTGAGCGTTTTCACAAATCGCTTTTAATTTCGCCTCACTTTTTCAATTTTCAATATTTAAACGCAATTATTTCGTTTTTCCCCTGTTTTTCACCTGACGCCAGTCGCGTCGACCACTGACGTCGTCGCTTTTTTCGAGGCTTCAATAAGGGACTGAATCGGTTTACTATAACCACAAATGCACTCAATATGTATGCCAATGTTTGGGCACAATTTCTGAAGTGTTTTCGCGGACCGTGGGTGTGAAAACAGCGAAGGAAAGCGGAACAAAATAAATGAAAATTACGCACGATTTGTGGCGGTGTGTGACCAAACTGCGCTAAGCGCGGAAATCAGCATACCAATACACAAAAAATACCTAACCATATGTTTGCGGGAGAGTACAGGGTGGACAAGTACGTTCTTGTGGCTCTAGTCAAAAAATACCAAAAGAGCGCACTTTACATTTTAAGTGCATATTATTAGTATTGATATTTGTGGTTCTACAAAAGTAATTCTAATAACTCATCTCGGGTAAAAGCAAATCAAAAACAAGTGTAATAAATCCCATCATAACCACTCGCACAAGGTGCTTAGTGCACAAATCGGTATTTTTCGATTGTTTACCGTACAAGCACACTGATCTTGGTCGCCATGTTGTTTTCTGTCACTAACACAAACGCAGAAATTACGGCACAGCATTTGGATTTAAATTTTGTGTTGCTGCCAGGAAAATCACATTTTCAGCCCGATCAACTGCAGAAATTATCAAAATAAATATATAGAGTTGAGCCAAAACCAACCCATCTGTCTTTGTGCATTGGTGGTCGAGAATAAGTTGCGTTTTGTATGGTTTTCGTGGTGAGTAAAAGTTCATTGAATAAATCCAGTACTCGTACCTAGAACAGCGAAGTCCCTGCGCCTCTCCCGCTCCTCCACGTTCGTTACGCTTCTTCCTCTTCTTCTGGAGATGCTTCAACAACAACTGCGAGGCTGCAACAACAACATTGCAAGCGAATGGAGCTTGCTATAAAAACAAATATACTGCAAGGGAATAGTGCGATTCAATTAAAACAAGTCGTTAAATGTGTGTAAAGTAGTATTGATTGCTTCCAAACAACTCGCTGCTCTTTGTGCTCTGCTTCGATGAAATCGGTTTTGTTTTGCTTTTACATATTTGGAAAAATTATAGTGGCGTGCGCTAAGGTACAGTTTAGCATGGGTTTTTCTTACAGCCTTGTGCTAGATTATTCCCTAGATTAGTGAGTAGCTTATTGCGAAACAGACCATTGTAAAGTACCTTTTTTGTAAACTTCCATCAAGTGTACAGCAGCAGGAAATATATAAATTGTTGATTGTTAAACGAGTGAATTCTTTAATGCATTCATGCATTTTTCATAGCTCTAGTAACCTTGAAATTTAAAATAAACCCCAGAATTCTCCACCGTAATAATTGTAATGTCAGGGGTTCTGTTGTAGATTACCACGTATGGGATGTCTCATACAAATTACTGTCCATAGAAAAGTTAAAGTTAAGAAGATTCAGGTGGAATTACATACCTTACAAGGTCATGTAGCTCTCTTTTGCTTCCAAAGCTATAATAAATTGATAATTGATCGATTTTGTAACCTTCCTAGGTAAGAAAATATGTACCCCGTACGTAGCAACCATCGTAACGCCATCACCTGGCGAATAAAACAAAAAAAAAAACTATTTTAATATTGCTATGGCAATATCTTATTTTTTATTGTCTGTTACTATTAAAATAATAATAGTTTTATTCAATTCTATCACTATTAAATTATTAGTGTGATTATTTTTAATCTTATAGATATAATCTTTATACTGATGTGCCAATGAATCTTTTTTTGAAGTCACTTTTTGAGATTCTGTTTCTATAAACTGCTTATTCAAATACTTTTCAATTGACAATTTAATTGCACCCATCTTGCAAGATCTAATTACTCTGTTACCGCATCTATTATTATACGCCTAGTGTAAGTGCTCAATACTTTAGGCCACGCGAGCGCAACGTATTGGGACCGTTTGGTCCATTGCCAAAGATACTGGTGCGGAAGCTTGGGGCCTGCGGTGGACTCCCCACCTGGCCGGGTTGTCCGGGAAACAGAGCCGGGCCCGGTGAGCTACTGGGCGACCGGTTGATGCCCAGGCCGTTGTTGCGCAGCCTGGGCGCAACGTAGGGACGCTGGCTGGTGGAGATTCCGCCTGATCCCAGAGGTGGCAAGATGCCTCCGCTCGGAGGAGTAACAATTGGAGGCGGCTGTTGCTGCGGCGGATTCACATTGCTCTGTGGTTGTTGCCCAATGGGCGGCACTAACGAGTTGACTGAGGAATAATTTGGAGGCTGAACCGGAGGTTGCACCGTATTCGGCGGAATCTGGGTATTCTTTTTAATTGCCGGAGCCAAGTACGGCGGACTGCCGCCAGTGCCACTGCTGTTGCTCTGCGGGATGTCATAGTGGCGGCCCGAGGGCGTGGTCACCGGAATGCTGTTGCCCGGCGCCAGGCCGCATGGTTTTGGGTAGTCGTAGCCGACGGGCATCGCCTGGACGTAGTTGTCGTAGTACTGGCTTACCTGATGCATGGGTGTGGAGTAGTTGACGGCTATCAAGGACTCCTTGGTGCGGATACCCGATAGAGCCTGGGCCGCCTGGAGGCGCAGGATGTTTGCCTGTTGGATGTGCGGCAGCAGCTCGGCATCGCCCTTTATCTTCTCCACCACCGCCTCGTCGCTATCGATGTTGCCAACGGGAACAGTCGCTCCCTCGCTCTGCTCACCCGCAGCCACCGCTTTTTCGGTGGTGGTCTCCTCCGCCGGCTTCGCCAGCTCCTTTGGCACCTTCTCCTCCTCCTGGCTGGGCGACGCCTTCGCCTTCTTCTCCGCCTCGGGCTTCTTGCGGTTCACGAACTCAAATAGGTCGTCTATATCGGGCACATCGGGCAGGGATCCATAAGAATCAAAGTTGTCCCGGAAGGCGGTCGCCCACTCCTCGCTCCTGTGCAGAGTTGGATCGATGGCCAGTTTCGGCTGCTGATTTTTCTTAGGAACGTGGGATCCCAAGGCAGCAGCTTCTTCGGGCGCCGAAATGCCACCTACATTCTTGATAACCGTGATGGTCTTAACGCGGGTTCCCTCTTTGGAGTCGATGTTTGTCGCCGCGTAGCTCAGGCTAAGATCCCTTTTCGCTGGCTGCGGCTCCACGATAACCTCGGCGGGTTTCTCCGGATACTTGATGCTGATTATCGTGGTCCCGTGCACTCCCACCAGCAGCAGCAGGCCCAAGGCGGCCATCGTATAAAAGCGGGTAGTCTGTGAAGCATTTGTTTTTAAGTTTCATTACCTGTTTGTTTTTTTTTGTATCGATTTATGGGTTAGTAAGGCCCTGAAGTCATGATATAAGAATTCCACAGTTAATTTCCTGGTAACTTATTTTAATTTTGATCCTTTTGATCACATAACCAATGCGGTGAGGTTGATTTTGAATAATATTTGAAATTATTAAGTTATGGCGGTTTAAAGTAAGATCGCTTTGTAACAAATATAATCTTTTCCTCTCTGTTATCATTAATTTCTTTAATCGATTCGCTCTTAATGTTGGTAAGGCCATTTGAGCGAATCCTTAAAAGAAAAATTGAACACAGAATCTAATCAAGTTTTAAATTATGTATTGCAGTGATGGTCTTTTGTTAAACTTGCGTTTATTAATGTGTTATGAGAATAGTTTGGAACATCAGCATTAAAACTGGATGATTTAATATATTGATTGCGGATAAGTAACAACTGAAGATAGTTTGGTTAAAGTGAATATCCCATAGGAAATACAAAAGTAAGTTTCTGTTGTAAATTGAATTTATGTTTTTAGAGATCGTATACGATCGATTGAACATCAAGTTAGATCGCCTGCTAATGGAAAAAGCTGCAGGATCCAGCATAGTTCACAAATCATGACACACTTTCAAGGGCAATCCATCACTCACAGTCGAGTTTCTCATTGCTTTAATCCTCCGCACACACGATCGATCAATCAATTGATCCGATCGCTTAACGATGCCGATACAATAATGTGATGAATGCGATAATTGCGATGGGGATCGATGACGACCGACTGCGGCGAAGACGACGGTTACGCGGTCAATTCGATTTTCCTACTGCCGGTCCAAGATGCCAACAATGCTTTTTATATAGCCAGGCGGAAGGAGTTTCGGTTTGGGTTTCCTGTAGCTCCACGGCTCTGGATATCTGATGTCTTTGACACCGAGACACAAACAAACCGACAGGCAAGGCAATCGCATTAGCTCAAAACACAAAACTAGCAAACGACGATTGAGTTAAAGCAGCATAATCGCTTTCCCATTACGTTGAAAACGATCAACGGGTTTTCACCAGCCGTTTCTGTTTTTGGGAAAGCTGTCGCCGCCAATCCTCCTCCTTCGCAGCCCCCGATCAATCGATCCTCAATTTTCATTCCAATGGCCACAAATTGAGTGCGTCTAATGAGGAAATTGTAGCCAAATAATGATCGTAGAGCATGTGAATCCGTGGGATCTTCAGTGGGTGGGTGCTATATCTACACCTTCAGTCGGAATTATCACATAAGAGAGTCTTTGGTAAGCTCACTTGCGAAGGTCACCAGCTGAGCGGGTAAGTGCGACCTCATTTAGACCTTAATATGGCCTGAGAGCTAAGGAGAGCTCTTAACTTGTTGCAAACTGGTCGTCTTACGCAATACCAACATAGACGCTCGTCTTGGCCAGACTCCTGGGAAAGTGCCATGCGTATTCATGAAGTAGCGCGCCTAATGTGTGTGCAATGGATCGAACAACTCGAGATAAAATCAGAGCACAGCTTGTCTTCCAAGAAAGTTGTCACAAAAAATGGTTTATATCGGGAAATTAGAATTAGGAGTTTTGGTTTTAGTTTGATAGACTGTTTGGGGAAAATATTAAGTTACTTCTTGGCTTATTATTAGAGAGGGAAAACCTTTTGATCCTGAACATTTTAAAATAAATTTTGATACATAATCAAAATAAAGATTTTTTTGATCTAAACCTGATCTTGTGCTGGAACATAGTAGTTTAAGACATTCGATTTTGCAAATTCTCCATAAGTCTGCGATTATCGTTACAGATCCAAGAATCCACGAAACTCCGTTTTATCACTATCGAGGACCAAGGAAAACTGATGTACATCTGAAGAGTCTACAATCATCAAGGCGGATCACCATCAGTGAGGAACCTCGGATAGCCAGACAGTGAACTAACTGTCTGTACTAAAAAAGAAATAAATAGCTAATCAAATCAATTGATTGATCAAGATGAGTGTGATTATTCGGTTACAAAATTTGCCGTGGACGGCAAATGCGCGCGACATTCGAAACTTCTTCTCGGGCCTCTCAATTCCCGAGGGCGGTGTCCACATTATCGGCGGCGAGATGGGCGACGCTTTCATCGCTTTCAGGTAGTTAGCCACAATCTGATATATAAGTAAACCTATAGCAATCTCGGAGCTCCAGCGGGTCGGGGCCTCAGCCTCTCCTGAGTCGCTGCCGGGCTTTTTCCAAGCATGCATCCACAGCGGAGGTCAAAATAATAGCACTAACACAATACATAAGAAAAAAAACTAGCTATACTGAAGCCAAATGAATCGGGCTTGGATATGGTTAGATGGCCCAAAAAAGGTAATATCAGCCCAAATAATGTGATCTTGCAGGTATCCAATCTAAGGTATGGCTGCCATCTTTCTTAAAATATGAAAAATCGGTTTTACAAACACAAATTGGTTATGTGGTATTGAAAATGCTAAAAATCGTAGAACAAGTTTTCCTGGAATGATCGTAGAACACGAAAAGGTTGCGAGTTTCCAGTTTTATTTATAAATAGCAGAATATTACATTTTATGAAACAAAAGTAAGTACGGAAATATTAGAAACCGTAACTTATACAAAACGTTGCTTAGTTTAGAGTTATTGATATTTAATTTCCGAAATCAGGGTGGAGTTATTGGATCCATATTCAAGTAATTCTTAATACAATGTTGTTAAACTTTTGAAAACATTATTATTCAGCAGGAAAACAAATTAGTTAAGGAATGTAGGTCTAAAGGTCGAGCAATTATGCAATAATAAGGAAAAGAAGAGGTTTGGCCACAATTCATTTTTGACTTGCCTGGAAATAGATTTGTATTTCAGCTGAAAGTAAAGTAACTTGATGAGAAATTAAATTCATCTTGAAGGTTCTACGTGAGCATTGCATGGATTTTTGTGGGGTATGAATACACGGTGCTATTATTTTGACTGCTAATAATCCTGGCGGCTGATCTGAAATGGGGAATCCTGAAACACCTGCGTTCACCAAGACCAGCTTCTAAAAACTCCTTTTTGCGTACCTTTCCTTATTTGTTGCCTTCTTTCTTCCCTGACACTCAATATTAGTACCGACGAGGATGCCCGTTGCGCCATGTTAAAGGATCGCGAGAAGCTGATGGAAGTCCAGGTGCGCCTGCTGCTCTCCTCGCGGGCCGAGATGCAGAAGGTCATTGAGACCGCACGGAAGGGATCCACCGCTGCAGCGCCCATATCCGTTCCCGTGCCCATGCCAGTGGCAGCCCCCATTGCGGTGGCCAAGCCAAGTCCAGCTGCTCCCATGCCGCCAATCATTGGGGGTCTGAACAGTTTCCTGGGTCAGGGCAAGTTGGCCCAACCAGCAGCTGGTGGTGTGCCCTCCTTTCTGGCCTACCAACAGCAGGCTGGAATCACACTCTCCGATGTCACGGGTCGCAGTCGCAGTCGTTCTTCCAGTTCCGATGACAGCGACAGGGAGCGTGAGAGGGAGCGGGAGCGGGATCGAGGTCGCAAACGGCGCTCCGATCGGAACAGCCAGGAGCGGGAGGTGAAGATGGTGGCCAGCGGAGGAGGTCCGACAATATCTCCCTGGGCCCAGCCAGCTCAGCAAAGTCAGCTGCCTGGTGTGGGATTGGATCTCAACATGGGCCTCAGCCTGAACATACCAGCGGTTGTGCCTTCGCTGCAGAGCTACACCACCAGTAGCACCACCAACAACGTGACGAACAACTACAACCTCGCTCCGAGTGCTCCTAGTGCTCAAAATGCCCAGCTACTGGCCGCCTTGCAACAGGTGGTCAGTGGCGCTGCAGCCTCTAAGGGGCAGCAGCCAGCCAAATCCGATGGCGAACCCATTGCCTTCGCCAACGTGAATCCCTATGCGCAGATGTACCCGCAGCTCTTCCAGCAGCAGCAGATGTTACTCCAACAGCAACAGACGCCGGCCAAGGTGTCGCCCTCCATGGGCAGCTCTCCGGGCGGCGGGAGCACTCCGCAGCTGATCGCGGACACATGCTACATTCGGATCAGTGGCATGTGCCCGAGCACCTCGTACAGCGACATCCGAAAGTACTTCCAGGGCTTGTACATTCCGCACAACGGCATCAAGATCATGACCTCGAACGGCACCCGCACCGGAGTGGCCTACGTGGAGTTCTCTCGGGTCTCCAGTGCCCAGAAAGCTGTGCAGCGGAACAACACAATGTTCCGCGATCGCCTGATTCAAATTGCTCCCGTGGGCGATGAGGAGTTCGAGCGGGCCGAGGAGCGTGCACAACGCCAGCAGAACGAGGGCGGCAGAAACCACAATGGCGGCGAGAAAAGCGAACGAGGAGCAGCTGGAGGCGGCATGCCCATGCCCATACCCGTTACCAATGTTCTGTACGTTGAGGATTTGCCGCAGCTCACCACCGAACAGGAGGTGATGAAGATGTTCTCCGCCAGCTACACGGTGGTGGACATCCTTTTGAGCCCCAGCCCCAACAATCGTCGCGAGTGCGTGGCCTTTGTCCTCTTTGCCAGAGAATCGGAGGCGGAGTCGGCGCTGCAGGATACCGCCAAGCACTACATCGGATTCCGCCAGCTAAGGGTGCGCCCCAGCAGTCAGGCGGAGATGCAGAACGCCAAGGAGAAGCAGCGCCGGGCCAATGAACAGCTGCTCAAGGAGGAAGCTGACCAAAGGGAGGAGCTCCTAAAGGATCAGGAACGAAGACAAAAACAACAGGAACAGGAGAACAATCAGTCCAAAAGGTTTGCTGCCGATCCCAGAAGACGCCAGGCGGAGGAGCAGCAGCAGCAGCAGCAGCAACAACAGCAACAGGCGCTGCAACACATGCACATGAGTCCCAATATTAATCAGAACATGAATCCCAACATGATGGCACCATTTGTAAACGGTGGCCACATGCCCTTCAACATGCCACCCCAGCTGCAAAACGGAGGCAACAACTTCCCCTTCAACATGAACAACATGAACATGAACATGAACAACAACGGAAATGCGAATGGCAATAACCCCAACTTTCCCAATGATATCAGTGGCATCCAGCGTCCCCGGCAGGAGGATGTCTTCGTGCGGGTCCACAACTGCGAGTACGCCACCAGGGTCCACGATCTGGGTGAGCTCTTCTCGCTCGAACAACTGCGCATAGAGCACATCGAACAGCTTTTTAATGAACGAAACCAAAGTTCCGGCGAGTTTATTGTTGAGTTTTCTGATCCCGCCAGTTGCAAACAGGCAGTCAGGGAGTTCCACAATCGCCGCTTTCGTGGAAGGGGATTGCGTGTGGTTACCATCACACCGCAGGAGATCGCTGATAGGATGAACAAACCCTTCATGGATTATCTGCCGGGAGGAAATGGTCCGCGAAAAACGGAAAGTAACAATGCGGCTGAAGGCGGTAGTGGAAATACGAACATTGGAAGACCGGAGGGAAATCAAGGACAACAGCAATCGCGGCGTCGTGGTCCGAGTCGGTTCGATGACATCAGCAATCGCAACAATCCGCCTCAGGATCAGCCACCTGAACAACAGCAGGTGCGACAGCATTCTCTGGAAAAGGAGGAGAATAGTTCTGGTAGTTCATCCGCTCCCGTCAAAGCGCACTTCAATCCCTTCGCTCGACCGGATCCTCCACTGAGCAGCAGCTCCCTATCGCCCAGCCAAATCAAGCAAGCCTCCCCAGTTCCTGTTGCCACATCCCTCATTCCGGACAAGTTCAATCGCCCGGGATGCGTGGTGGCCATGCGAAATGTGCCGTTTAAGGCTGAACTCAAGGATATCCTGCGATTCTTTAGTGACTTTAAACTGAGTCCGGATGATATTATTCGGCGTTTCAATGATGAAGGAAAACCCACCGGAGATACTCGGGTGGCTTTTGAATCCCCTGCGGAGGCGCGATCCGCGTTCGAATCGCGCCGCAGAAAGCAGATATTTAATCGCACTGTTCATCTGGATATTATTTAGGCTAATAACCCCTGACTGTTCGACCATCGCTAGCGTACACTGTAAATAGGTAATATTAAGACCAACACCAAACTTACTAAGTAATTAAGACGTGGACAGTTAAGGGCTTTCTGGCCTCGAAGCTGCTTCACTTTGATTGTGCAGAATATTTTTGAATAATGTAATTAAATTATTTAAAACAAAGAAACAGTCCTTGTAAGGATTGTGTAGGAGGTTCGATTTATATATGTAAATTTTTTTTTAATGTTTTAAAACAAAGGTTTTCGTAGGATTTATTTAATGTATTTTAATGATCTTATTTAAGGCACATGTCTCCTCAGATAATATGATGAGCATAACAAAATAAAATTTGTTTAAAACGACCAAATTTAACTTTAAACTTACAATTAGTTTACTTCACAAACAAATAAAGTTAACTGATATGGAAAAAACGTTATAAATAAAACTCTTCTTATTTTAGTTTTTAGTTCGATCAACACAAAAATTAAAGTGTGTCTGGAAACAATAATTTATAAATTTTATTGAATAATACATGTACTTTTTGCGGTCGAAAAATACTCTCCTTAACACATATAAAATGGTTAAAAAATGCAATCTTATACATAGTTCTGTAGCGGTATCACTTGTGACTTTTTTAACGACTCTCGACACAAGGGACACTCATCACGCTCTTCCAGCCACTCGAGCAGACAGCTCCAGCAAAATATGTGCCCGCAGGGAGTTAAACTACTGTTGGAACGGGGTTCCAAGCAAAGGATACATTGGGGGGTGTCGGGATCGGCATCCCTCAGACTCAATTTTCGTTGCAGGAACTTCTTTCCGGTCTGTTTAATCGCTTCAAGCTGCTGTCGTTTGTGTTCCCGCCAAGCGTCCCAGCCACTTATCCCCAGCGATACGCTGACCTGCAGGAAGGTAATCACCCCAAGGATCTTATAGCCGTACAGCGAGAATTCTGGCTGCAGCCAGTGGCGGATAAGGACGTAGTTTATGCCTGTGGTGCGCTTGGACAGCTGGTATTTACTGGCGTCCAAGTAGAAGAGCGACTTGTGCAGGGCCTTCACATAACTGGGGGATTGCTTCAGACGCTGAATGACCTTCTTAAGCTGTGGTTTTGCCTCGGGTCGAATTTCCTCATGGTTGACCACATATGTATCCAATTTTTGTAACAGTCGCTGAAACAGGGAATCGCCACCGAACTCCAGAACAATTGCCAAGAGTTGCAACTAAAAAAATTCATATTCTCAACAAGCAACTTAAAAATTCAAATTTTGGGCTAACCAATCTACTGGGAATCTGCTTGTAGTTTCCGTCCACCTGTATGATCCCTGTATATTCCTCGCCAAGTGTCTGAAGGCTATTTGCCGAAGCGAATCCGTGGTAACTAAGCTCCGCCAGCAGCCTGCACATCTGGTTGTACTTTATCCAGTTTCGTGGGCCGGTGAGCCTGAGCACATCGGAGAAGTCCTCGGCGAGCTCGTTTGTATACCGGGCGTCCTTCTGGACAGAACGCACGATCTCAGGCTGTCTGGCACGGGCATTTCGAAAGTCCATGCTGATGAACCTATTGGAATGTTGACTTTAACATATTTCCGACAAAGGCCGTTCAAAGTACGGTCCAGATATCGAAATCAGCTGTTAGAGTGCGCTCTGCGACATAAAGATGACACATAGCGTGAGCTAAATATCAAATAGGAAAATCTTTAGAATTAGATAACAACAGCTTTGCAAAATCATTTATTTTTAATAAACAAAAAACTTATAAAATCTTTCTACGTTTATCCTTGTCATTTAATAATCATTAAAAGCTTTCGTGTACAAATTGTCTGAAAACATTTTTTTTAATTATCTGTTGGTACAACCCAAACGTCTCACCGCTAATCAAAAGTGCACCACTACTTGTCTGTAGCGCACTTTTCAACACTTACAGTCAGCCATTTTTCATAGGGCATCGCGGATGCTTTTTCTCCCCGACCAAAGGATATTTGGTTTTTCTATCAAAATTCGTTGATTTCGAGACGTCAAATCGAAACCCCCGAAAGCAGAGACCGTGGACCGGTAGCGTGCGTGCAATTGGCAAGTGGAAATTGTTGGAACGGCCAAGTTTTTGACTCCGAAAAAGAGTAACCAGCGCAGACGTCACACCTTTTCAGACACCAATACTAGCAGACCGGTACTAATACATCTGTCAAAGCATAGGCTAACACAACAATAAAAAATAAGCGCTAGAAAAGAAAAGAAAACGTAAAAGCGATTCGCAAATCAAAGTACTTATTGAGTACTTTCGCCCCGCCTCACGTTTAACTGCATTTCCTCGCGAAAGCCGCATAGAATTTTTTGGAAATATTACGCAAGTATTATTTCTGGTCGTACCGTTGGTTAATCATGGCTCAGTAAACATGAATCCGCAACGAGAATATTTTGCTCAACGCACTCCGTGTGGAGACGAAGGCAAGACGCAATTAGCTGCCCATTGGCAGCTGCCCAGCACTTATTCTAGTATTACTCCCCGTCAAAAGTACACCAGCAACAATAACAGCTACGATGGACAACAACAACAGCAGCAGCAACAAGAAACCTCAATCCTCTTATCATGGGAAGTCCTCGTCTGGTGATTCGCAAAGGAAGTCTAGTGGTACGTATTGTTCAGATTTTGATATTTCATGTAGTTTTTAATAGCTCGAACTATCATTTAGAACAAAAGAGTTTGCAAAAGAGTATTGTGACTTAACAAAATGAAATGTTTTGGTAATAATAATTTATTAAACAGATCCTTCCTATTTCCACTACGCATTAAATATATTCAACGTTTAAGACAAAATTCTATCCTTTTCCGCAGACGTACATGCCAACAGCAACAAGCAGCGGCACAGTCGCCGACGGGAGCAGCTTCCCACACCTCGCAACGATCAGCAGCAACAGCAGCGCAACGCCAGGCAGCAGCAGCAACAACAGGCTCAGCAGCCCGCTAAGCTACGCCCCAATGTGGACAAGCGGCCGAGGGCTCGCGGAGGCGGCGGATCATACGATCTGTCTGCATTCCGCGGAGAAGACGGGACTCCAGGCGGCTCCGGACTAGCCTACGCTGGCGCCGGCTACTCACGTGGCGGTGACTTTGACCATGAACTGAACTCTGTGTACGCACAGGGCAGCAAGAAGCAGAACTTGAATCATCTGCTTAATTTTCACTGCGTGCCAAGGGAACTGGAGCGAGGCCATCATCACCAGCACCAGCAGCACCACCACGGACTGGGCATCCGAAAGCAGCGCTACAACAAGGAGCAATTCCTCCAGGCTAACTTTCAATTCGTAATTCGAACGGGGGCCAAGGCCCAAGTGAATGGGTCACCGGATACGCTGATCGATTGGAGCTACATCGAGCAGATCAACATCCAGACCACAGAGGAGTTGCAGTGCCCCATCTGTCTATACCCACCGGTGGCTGCCAAGCTCACCAGATGCGGTCACGCTTACTGTTGGCCCTGTTTGCTGCACTATCTTTCACTGAGCGACAAAACCTGGCGCAAGTGTCCAATCTGCTATGACGCTATCCATGCGGGAGATCTAAAGAGTTGCACCATTGAACAGCAGAGGGATTTTCAAGTGGGCGACAAGATTACCTTCGAGTTGATGCGGCGTCGCAAGGGGTCTATGTTCATCGAAAAATATGCTGCAGGGTTAGGAGAAACCTTCGAACGTTTTCCGTTCGTTTTCGCTGGAGAAGAGGCAAAACGCTACTCCAAGTTTCTAATAGCCAGGCGGTCGGATGTGGGCGCCATCATCGAAAGGGAGCGAGCGGAATTACTAGCCGAATCGGATGACTCATGTCCTGAGGATATATTTATCCAGCAGGCACTTGTAATGCTTCAGGAGCGCGGTGAAAAGCTGGGTCTAGAAAAACCCGATCCCAGAGATGAGGAGGAAATGCCACCTCTTGTTTGCGCAGAATCCGAAACCAAGATTGATATTGAGAAGTCAGACGATGCCTCCATTTCATCAGGAGAGGCATCCAGCAGTCTGAGCAGCTCCTCGAACAACCATAATAAATATTATTATTTCTACCAGTCCAACGACGGACAGAACATCTATTTGCATCCTTTAAATGTAAAGATGCTGCAGGCCTGCTATGGTACCTTGGATTTGGGTCCTTTGCTCATCGAGGCGCAGATCGTACAAATGGAACAGCACTCCATGGACGAGGAGCATCGTCGCAAGTTCACCTGCCTAGGGCATTTGCCGTTAACCTGCCAGTTTTCGGTTGTGGAGGTCGAACTGCAACAGCCAATTGTCTCTGGAGGAATACTCAAGCTATTTAAAGGTGAGCTTCACTTAGTTTTCTACGAAATTTCAAATTGAAACCAACTGTTTTTCTTTCTGCAGAGGATATTCTTCATCGCAAGAAGGAGCGCCAGCGTCGAGATCGCGAAGAGCGCAAGCGAGAGCAGCACATCAACGAGATTAATGATCGCCAGATGGGCAAACTGATCGCCAGTGCAGCTAACCTCAACCTTAGCTCGTCCCATGAGTTTCCCACTGTGAGTTTTCCTTGTCTACATTTTCTTTTTGCAATAAAATATCCTATAATCTCTTCCCAAAGTGCGGCTTCGAAGAGGCTTTGCCCACGCCAAGTGGTTCTCTACCAATGACCATCAGCCATGAAGATAGTGGATTACGCCACTCCAGTGTTAACCTGGCCAATGTTAGTCCCAAGCAGGAGTTGTGGCCCACTATCGGAAGTGGTTCGCCTGGCAGCTCTGCTGCGTCGTTGGAATTTCAGGTTGGCGCCTGGGGTCGTTCAGCTCCACCGCCACCACGAGCTGTTTTGGCGCCCCGTACCAGTGACGAGGACTTCGAACAGCGATCAGTTGGCCACTGGGGGCTGGGAGAACTTTTAGTAGGAGCTCTAGATCAGAAGAAGCAGAAGGCAGGAGCTGGGAAAGCCAATCCATCTGCGCCTGGAGAATCCAAAAAGCAAAAGAAAGCCAAAGGCAAGAAGATGGTTCCCCCTGTTCGCCGTGGGCATGAACAGAGCTCCATAAATGAGCGGGTTCGCCATTCAAGCTTACAAGATTTATTGTATTTTTTATTAGATGCGAATATTTCAACGTTATTTCAAATAACAAACCCGATTGTTCTTTCATTGAGGATTTGAAAAATCATTCAGCTAATATATAATTTAACCAATCTTATATTCACATTACACATATGCATAAATATTGAATAGTAATCCAATAAAGGCAGCAACTAATATAAAAAAAAGGAAATGATTTAACCGGAACAGCGCTGAATGTATTTTAAATTGATCCATGTGTGTAAAACGGCATTGATATAACTCTTGATTGTTCTTTGATTGCCACCATTGTAAGGGTAATAACAAATTAATTTACATTTAAAGAGAGAGAAGGGAAATTTAGGGGGTAGCCAAATCCGTCGTCAATCGCTATGAAGCTCGTACTCCAGATTAGAATCTTCTGTTTCTTTGATGTTGGAGTTTGAAGAAGGGTTTGTCTGACCACGGCTCCTCTGGGAACTTCTCTGTTTTACGTCATGGGAAGCCACAGTACCACCTCCATACTCGGGCGGTAGCTCCATGTATTCGTCCTCGGACTCGCCGTCTTCTGTATCTGGATCGTCGCCGTTGATGGAGCCATTTGGACTGCCTGGTGGACTGAGGGCCTGGATGATCCTGCCTTTGGACTCGTTCCACAAACTGTTGAGTCGCTCTCTTCCAAATAGCAACAGAAAAGCATCGATGAACTCGCGCGACTTCTCCTCCCACTTGGTGATGATGTCCACCTTCACTTTGGTCAGCTCCCGCTTACCTCGGGTCTTCAGCTCGTCCATCTTGTTCTGCAGACGGAACTTCTTCTCGGAGAGAAAAGATACGTTCAGCTCCTTGGCTGAGTACCCTCTGGCCAGATTTCTGCGCACGTAAACATCATAATCCTTCACGATCCGGGCCACAATGTCCGAAGTGGACACGCCCTCCGTGCGCTCCGTGACCACAAACATTCCCTTTGCCTTAAGAGGAGCATATATATCGTTGACTCCACCTGCTCCATATGGAATATCATCATGAGCAACGAAATCAATTTTGTGCTCATTTAGGAACTCTTCATTCAGCGACCAAGGAGCATTCGGTACGATCTTTATGGAAATATTAAAAGAATTTTTAAAGGTACTCTATACGTTTTGGATAGTTACCTCATCCACATAACGACAGTGGCGAACAGCCTCGTACCGCTCGAAACCATTCATCACAGTGCGTCCTTTCATTCTGAGGGTCAGTTCATCATTGCATACCCCGACGATCAGATATACATTGGGGAATATGTTCTTGGCCTGCATCAGTTGGCGGGCATGTCCTTGGTGGAACAGATCATAGATGCCATCGGCATAAACTCTAACCCTCCGAGTCGTTTTTCCTGCTCTGGCCATCTGGTAGGTGATCCTTTGTGTATAGTCACACTTCTCTAGCTCCAAAATAGCCTTGTCATCGTACGAGAAAGGGGCTGGCTGGCAAATATTCTGTAAAATGGTAAATGAAAGGCGTATTCAAATTTGTTTTTAATATTTATATAACGTTGTTATCTGAAAATTCGCTTACGAAGTCCTCGAAATCCATAAAGAGCGGCAGCATCCTGATCTCGTGTGGAGTTGTGGGAGTCGCTGGAGCCGTCGACACTGGGGATACCTCGTCCTCCTGGGTCATTTTGTCCATTTCTTAGGAAAATATATACGAGACTTTCTAAGTACAACAGAAGTGGTCCGTTCGAGGGGCTTTCATCCGGACGACTGATTATATAAATTGAGTCTGAGCCAGTACTGAACACCAGGTCTACTCAGTCCGAGGATTGAGTCCCAGTCTCCGAGGGAGAGATGTCCGATTCGCCAACTGCGCACTAGCAGCGATCAGAATAAATTGGCGGCAACTGGTGGCGAATCAATACAATTGAGTCCGGAGGCTGGCGAGGCACACGACTTGCTGGCGGTGGTCTCTAGTCGCAGGCCCGGATTCATCGCTCATCTTCAATTGCCGCAAATTGAGGCGCAAACAAATAGGAAGCATCGAGTCGCCTGACTTGGCACGGGTCCGCCGACTCGATCAGGCGATATACATATGTATTTATGTATATGAAAAAGCCACAGCGCCATTAAACAAATCAGTGAACCGCTTCAAGCCGGTGAATGGGGTACTAATTGCGAGGGAATGGGTGTCCAATCAAGGCGAACAGTTTCATCATCGGTGGCGGGCGCAAGAATTCCGCAATTGCCATAGATGGTGGATAAATAGGATGCGCAATTGCTGGGGAAATATTCAACTGTCCATGCTTAAAGCAACGTAACTAATTGAAATTTTTAAATTTTTAATCATTTGTTATTGTAGCGGAAGAAACAAATGCAAAAATATTAAGTATTCCAAATATAAACGCATTTTCATTAGATTCAATTTTTATTTTCAAAAAATATTTAACAAAGCATTTGCAATAAATCAGCTATTGCCAACTGTTTTTGTTTTTTGTATTTTCCGAATTCATTTCGTTTATTTTTTCTATATTGGTTGGTGTTCTTGTTGTGGTGTTGTGTTAACTTAATTTAATGTTATGCGAAATAATTTAATATAAATATTTCTAGATATTTTCGGCACCTCGAACAACCGCTGCCGCCGATTTCGTGAACAATCCGCAGAGTGCCTAATACAAAAATGAGTCTTTTCTGCGTTGGTTTCGTGTCCCATACGCAGCTGAATTAGCGACAGGACTCCCTCGTTTCTCGATTGTGAAGTGGATGAAGGAGAAGAACGAGTGCCAACTAAAATCTAGTGGATTACAGTACCACTTAGAGCTACAGTAAATAGAAGGGGTTTTTGGGAGCCTGCGAGGCGATCCTGGGGCATCTAGATTGTGTGCCGTTGAACTAGTTGCAAACGAGTCGATTTACAATAGCATCAGACAGTAAGAGAAGAAGAAAAGGTAGAGCTAATCGTCCAACACTAGAATCAATCGCTGCGCCGCTCGTACTCAGCGTCTTCGTCTCCATCCGCATCCAAATCCGGTGACCGACTCTGGAGACTCTGGTAACTCCGGCGCGCCAGCGAGGAACGCTTCTGGCTCGGTCTCTGCTTGCCGTTCAGCGAACCACTGCTGCCGCTGCGCTCGCTTAGCTTCTCGGCCATCTCTAAGTACTCGTCAATGGTTTCGCTGAACTCCTCGCCAGCCTCCGTGTCGTCGCCGTTCACCGATCCCGACGGACTGCCCGGCGGACTGAGCGCCTGCAGCAGCTTGCCCTTCGATTCGTTCCACAAATGGTTCAGGTTCTCACGTCCGAACAGCAGAAGGAACGTGTCGATGAACTCGCGCGACTTCTCCTCCCACTTGGTGATGATGTCGCCCTTTACTTTGGTCAGCTCCCGCTTGCCGCGCGACTTCAGCTCGTCCATCTTGTTCTGCAGCCGGAACTTCTTCTCGGACAGGAACGAAACGTTCAGCTCCTTGGCCGAATAGCCTCTGGCCAGATTACGCCGCACGTACAGATCGTAATCCTTCACAATGCGGGCCACAATGTCCGAGGTGGACACACCCTCCGTGCGCTCCGTGGCCACGAACATACCGCGCGCTTTAAGAGGAGCATAGATGTCGTCCATGTTTTCGGTTCCGTACGGAATGTCGTCGTGGGCCACAAAATCGATTTTGTTGTCGGCAATGAACTCATCGGACAGCGTCCATGGTGCATTCTGAACAATCTGTAAGCCAGCGAGAAGGGAGTTGTAAGGTGATAAATCCTGTAAATGCGGGGGAAGTACCCACCTCATCCACGTAGCGGCAGTGACGCACGCCCTCGTAGCGCTCAAAGCCATTCATCACGGTGCGTCCTTTCATGCGATGGGTCAGCTCATCGTTGCACACGCCAACGATGAGATAAACGTTGGGAAATATATTCTTGGCCTGCATCAACTGGCGGGCATGGCCCTGGTGGAACAGATCATAGATTCCATCTGCGTAGACCCTAACCCTGCGCGTCGTCTGTCCGGAGCGGGCCATCTGGTAGGTAATCCGCTTCGTGTAGTCACATCTCTGTCGCTCCAACATGGCCTCCTCATCGTGGGAGAATGGCGCCGGCTTACAAATGGTCTGCAAAACAAAACTTTAAGGATGAGTAAATCGAATAGGTGGTAGATGGGCGTATTAGTCATATGCCTACACAATCTTCCTCAATCTTATCACACATGGTTATTACAAATTATTTAGATAGAAAATATATGTTCCAAATTGTAATTTCACTTTCACAGAATATAGTTATGATAAGTTTTTAAAACTGCTGATTGATTTGGACTACTTTGTTTTGGCTTTTGTTAACAGGGCTTAAACTTTTTGTAACAATGCCCTTTTATCTTTTACTTTATTATTCGTTAACTTTCTCTTTATACGTTTTGATACTATGTGAAGTGGAAAAGTTTTCCCCTAAAGATCTTTGGAACTCTTACCGCAAAATCAGAGGCACCGCTGCCATTGAAGAATTGCTGCGAGGTTGATGGGGGGACCGCCAGAGAGTCCGGCGACGTCTGTTGCTGCGGAACATACTTGCGCTTGACGCCACTGAGGTAATCCGACGACGAGGAGGAACTGGCGATGGGGGGCAGAGAGTCCTCGGCGGCTGTGGCTTCACCGCCGTCGTCGGCGTCGCTCTGTGAGATAGTGCGCGTGCTGTCCCGCAGAGTGGTCGCGCCGGTGGTGGGCTCGATGGCTCCATCGCTGACCACCAGCACGCTCTCCAGCTGAGCGCTCTTGGACTTTGTCTTAGGGCTGTTTGTGCGCTGATCCTGAACCTCCGATCCTTTCGTGGCACTCGAGGAGGCGGTCGACGAAGGCATGGCGATGGCTGTCTCGTAGGTTCGCTTCCGGGTGGTCAATGTGGAGGCGGAGGCGTTGCTGCTGGGCGTGGCCGGTGGCGATGTGCTGTTAATTGTGCTTTTGGCGAGTATCGATGAGGTGGCCATCGCAGCGAATGTTTGGGAGCGGCAGTTTTAACGATTTCGCAACACGGTCACAAAGGAAAAACAGAGATTCAAGTCACTTTCACCTGAAAAAAATTGAATAGTTTCTTGTTTAAAAAATGAAATAATCTAATCAAATCTAATCGAATTCCTTTGCCATTAGTTAATTGTATTTTTAAATGTTATGCACTTGTTTACTGAAAATTCTATTAATAAAATCCAATAAAACCGCAAAACATCTGTATATAAACAAATGCAATTGTACTCAAACAAAACACATTAGCTTATTGAGGTACCACCTCAAGTCGGTTATGTCTTGTAGCTTTTTTACGTAATCAGATATTTCTTTTTTAACCTAATTAAGGGGAATTCGAGTCGCTAAAGTTGGAACTAAATTTTGCTGACCACACGTGACATCTGACCAAACTCTACATTCTTTTGCCCCCTGCCACGCCTCTCTATATCTGGCGTTGAACCACGGCCAAATCGATTTCAGTTTTAATTGCCAAACGGATGATTTAATTCGCCACGCGCATCGAACCACAGAAATTCCCTAGAAAACAACTGACACAAACAAAGCGCAACTGAAACAACCAAATCGGTTGGTAAACAACAACAAGAGACGATAATAATAGACACGTTGTAATGTCGGAGCCGAAGGAGATGAGCAGTTAAAGCGATGAGGGGCAGATTGGGGAACAAAGTGGGAGGCTGAACTAGTTCCGAGTGGCACTGCACTTTACGCAAACAAACGCAGGCGGAACACGTGAGTCAATTGGGGCAGTCACAATGACTTAATCGTTCAGTACTGGAAGCTCATGCTTTTCCGCACGCATACACACAGTGGTATATTCCATTAAACATTCCCGTTTATAATAAGTATTAATAGAAAGTTATGCTTCTAGTACCAAGAATTTTCTTTTGGTCATCGTTCAATGACGAATTTCGGGAAGGTCGTCCAAAATCAGTTTTTGTGCCAAAAATATCAATACTAAACGCAAATGATTGAACAAAATCCACATGCCACACACCCTAAGACAAGGGGCAGGCATATTTGCTCATAAAAATGACAGCTTTCATTATGAATTTGCAAGTTTCTCCCGTTATAATCCAAGCAGAAATTCAAAAGTGGGTTTAAAATAAAACAAATTACAAAAAAATGTGTGTATTTTTAAATACAGGTGTATTGCATGTGTATGCATTTCTACATATATTATTTTTTTTTCTATTAATTGCCTAAATCTCCCACTGTGCGGTCAGCTGTCTAGTGCGTGGCCCCACATTAATGTTAGGTAGACAAGCGATTCCTCATGTTTATTCATTATGACACACATATGTATCTATTTATCTATTGGGCTTGCGTCGGAATATTTCTTGGCTTTGCTAATACGTCAGAGATTTTTTTTACGTCTAGCCCACCTTTGAGATCCCCCAAAAAAGTGATAAGCCAAATTCCACTTGAACACTCCAAATGGGGTGCAGAATGACTAAATGGAAAGTATTTTATTTATTTAAAGTGTTCAAGGCTAAAATGAGATCTGATTCACTAAGAACTCGTTTTCAGTTCAAGTTCAAGCGGACAAAACGTTTGTGAATAAGATCAGATCTTAAAGAAACGTAACCTAGGGATCAACGAAATTTATAGCGACTCTTAAACTTGCTAATTTTGTTGCCAGGCCGAATTTCAGGTAACACCTTAGCAATCTTAAGCTGTGGTACGTCACAAGTTAACGTCGTTCGATGTACAGTAACAACTACATATATAAATCTTGCCTATTTAGTTTTCCATTATTTTATTTAGATTGGATTAATTAGAGCGGAAGCTATAAGTATATAAACGGTCAAAACGGTAAAGATTAAAAAAATTGTTTTAATAATATGATTTCAATTGAAAGGTAGAAATATTTGTTAAAATAAGCATTCAACTTTTACACGAAGATAATCTCAACAAACCTTATCTTTCCTACGAGTTTCTACTGTAATGACAAGAATTTGAACAGTTATGACGAAGAGTAACCTCAAACGTAGTGATTCAAAATATAAACAAAACTGAGAGAGTTCCATTTTAAATTTGTGTAGGTGAACGAATGGACGAGTGTAGAACACAAAAAATCGATTATCAAATTGCCGGGCAGTAAAATCAGGTGAGAGATAAGATTTCGCTACCTGCTGCTAACTTATCTGCAAAAGAATAATACATGAGAGCGAAGGTGCTTCCGCTGCACTTTAATCACGAGTATCGAACACGATAAATGAGTTTGGCGGAAACGAGCCATGTTTCACTTCTGCCAGAGATAAGGTGAACATGGGCTAAATTATACAAAGCACATGGCAAACACACTCCAAGCTTGATAATCGGTCGGCCCGATCTTGCCAGCCTGGCAAAACGGATGGAACGCAAAGTTCTCTATCAGCACGGAGGTTTTTCTTTATACTGTGTACATACGTATTATATGTTTCCCAGACTGAGGTCAAGCTAACCCTGCGAGAACCAAATGTCTCAGACTACTAGATAAAGTTAAAAAAATCGCCTGATTCTGTGTAAAGACTATTAAAAAAATTTAATTTCAATCTCAATATCCAGATTTAAAGAACTCATATGTACTTTGCTAAAACTTTTAACTATTTTTGACGATAGTCTAATAGTCTAAATAATAAAAACCGGTTTATAGAAAATTTAAGTTTTTGCAAACCTTAATGGCGTTCTTAAGAGTCCAAAGAACTCTGGCGAATCTCACGGTGGAGTAGAAACTGATTTTAGAGTTTGCCTTTGGCTGTTTATTCGCTTTTGGTCAAGAGCGAAAGGTTGGAAAGTACAGTTCTGAGCCCTAGAATTATGAAAATCTGAACATTTATTCAAATCTCCGAACTTACGAGTGTTTTCACCATTGATAAGCTGCGATCAGTGAACAATGATAGACTGAACGTGGGGTGTACTTATTATAGGTTGTTCGCAATGATAACCTTGTGGCGTTGGCTTATCGTTAATGGACGTAGTATACCAAAAAACCTAGTTGACGTCAACTGAAGTGATTTTGGATGCTACAAAGTGCGAATGAGATCAGTACGTGCGAGAATGCTGTGGAAAGTATCGTAATGGGGAATAGGAACTGTAGTTTACTTATAGACACGTTTTAGGGGCACCCTGATTGAGCTTTATAGGTTTCGACCGAGAGATAAGATTGCCTACAAGCATTGTGCAACTCTTTATGTCTCTTTTACGCACTCGCCTACGCATAAAATACGAAACTCATTGAGTAGACAAAACAGCTGATTTTGATTGTGCGTTGATCTCTCCAAACACGCTTATTCTCTATTTGGTTTCTCTTTTCGCTCTCTCTGTTTTGGTTCGCTGAAAAAGAGAGGCCACGCACGGTAAAAAAAAAGGCTTGGGAAAGTGGAGCACCAGTGACTAACACTTGCCCCATCGGAATGACGTTGCCGCTTGGGAAATCGTACGATCGCAGGGCAAAGTGCGGACTAAGATGACGCGTCATTGAGAGTGTGAGAGAGAGAGGGAGAAAGTGGGGATAGAGGGGCGGTCCCCTGCTGCACGTTGAAAGACGAATAATCATACGACGTGTATGACGTGGCGACGGCCAATTAATGGCGTCTTCTTGCCGGCTGCAAAAAATCGATAAGCGGCGCGCAGCAGCTGTTTGCCAAGGGGGAATAAACAGAGCAGGAGAAGGTGATTATGTAAACAAGCCTTGAGGAGCCAGAAGCGCAAAGGCACATTGCTGAGCAGCCAAAATAGGGCCCCCAAAAGAGAGAGCTCTCTTCCTCTCAGTCTCTTTCCAATTGTTCACGTCATCCTCTCAGCGTAAATATTTTAGTTCTCTAGTGACCCGCATTGAAAAAACTGCACCAAAATAGATTCCACTCTCCACTTACTTTCCACTTTCTTCCAACCCGGAACGGTTCTTGCAATTATCGATTAGCTTCTAGCTGTTTTCTCCCTGCTTTCAACTCAGTAGTTCAACTGGAATGACGCACACACGGAACACGAGACAGTCGTCACTTCCACTCGGTTTGTTAACAATTAAAGCTTGTTTGTTGTTCGTCGGCCACAAACACAATTTCGAATAACGCGAACAGACACGATTACTTTTTAGTTTGTGCGGCTAGAGGGACCGTGGCGGGATGGCAAAACATGCCTGGCGGTGTGACCGTGTGGGCAACACATGGAAGTTCTCTTCCAGGGCTGATTTCAATACATAATGGTTTCTTTAAACTTACAAAAATTTTTGTTTTAATCATTTTTTAATTTAATACTAACTGATTTAGCTATGTATTTTGACAAACATTTTTATATTTTTAACCTAACTTAAGAAAACTTCGTAAAAATTGTCATGTGCTGTAAAAATTTTCTATGAAATGAGGATACACTATGAATTTTAAAATTATTTGGTTTATACTCATTCTTGAGGTAACGTCAAAACAAAAATGTTGCTATATTTTAAGAATTTAGTTTTTCGTCGCAGTGCCATCGGGCATTTGCTAAAGGCCTTGGTCCTTTGATCCTTGAGGCACACAATCGAAGAAGAGCGAAGTACGGACACCAACCTATGACTTTGGATGAGAAGCTCAGTGAAGGGTGTAAAAAACACGCAGAGGCAAGTCTTCTATGAGTGTCGACATTCTTCAGGTGTTAAAATTTGTAAAAAAAATTTTAAGGAAAATTGAAAAAAAGTTATTTTTAACAAAAACAGTCCACATTTATCACTTAGAAAATAATTGACGATAGAAGCCTTGTCGGACCGCCTGATGTGGGAGACGATCCTCTACATGGAATGGGTCCTATTGATGGAAAATATACCCAAAACATTTGCATTTTTCGAAATGCCTTGCCAAGGAGCTGTGTTCGCGAGTGGTTTCACTACAGAGGCTATGATGATGACTGGAAATATTACCAATTTACCGCCATGATTTGGAACGCCTCCACAAACCTTGGCGTTGGTGTGGCTAAAAGGTAACTTGCATTATTATTTAATGTCCTTTGTTGTAAAACAACTTATCGCAGAAAGCAAACGCGTTGTCTAGTGGTAAGGTATGTTCCACCTGGCAATATCCTCAAAGAAATGAGATACAATGTACCAAGTCGTATCAAGGATCCTTGGGATGAAGAAGAGGCGTTCGAAGGCCTTGGCACGGATGAGGAGGACGAAGATCCAGACGCTGTAACTAATTCGGATGGCTCTTGCATGTTATTTGATAACTGCGCTTTTTTTCTATGGTATGTTTTGATAATTGTGTTTGTGTGGTAGTTAATTCATTTACTTGAATTAACAAAATCGCATTACACCTCCAAAATTTTGTAATGTCTTTTACATATTTATTGACTTTCAGTGTCTTATAGTATTATCTGCAAAGATTTTTGGCTAAAAAATAGTGTTGTAAAAATAAAGCTTGAATATAACGTAAACACCTTTGGGTAAATCTCATTTCGCTCACTCTTAAAACTCCAAAAATATAGAAATGTACAAAATATTCGCCGTATATATTGGCGGTAATAAAAATCAAAGATTCTTTGGTAAATTAACTAAATAAAAGCTACCATTGAAATTGGAACTCAGGAGAGTTAAGTGGATTTGGTTTCGGGTTGGGAACTTATCTACTAGCTACACACACGCATACGTTTCATATATATATGTAGATTTTTGAACAACATTTTAGAATTCTTTATAGTAAACGTCTTAATTGCACAGTAAATGTCTTTAAAATTCGATTGCGTCGATGACAAGGAATTTTGTTCAACTTTGGCTTCATTGTTTCGGGATCTGCATCCATCCCCCAATAAAAACGTATAGCGTTTGACTTGGTTTCTTGGCAAGCATTCGAGTCGAATGGCAAGTGGCTAGGCTTGGGATTAGAATTAGAATTAGGTGTAATCAGGGGCAAAAGTTAATCCGCTTCCTTTTAAAAGCTAACAACGAATTCTAGAGTTCCGAGATTCCTTAAGAGCATATGTATATGAGTATTCTCTAGGTCACTGGTTGCAAATGTCCGTGGGTGAGATGTGGTATGAGTATTGCAGTTTTTAATCATCCGTCCCTCAGCACTGGGACGGTATGCGGATGCCCTGTGTGATTGAGTTCTCCAGCACGATATGGCAGTCGTCCAGCGGCTCCAAGATTTGGATTAGAAACGTGAGAAGGTTGCGTCGCCGCAGAAAGCTCTCCTCCTCGTACATTTCGTGGGTCACTTTGGTCAGGGCCATTGGCTTAATAAGTCGTGTCAGCAGGTGCTCTCTCAGACTCAGGCAGATTAGCAGCTGGAACTTCCCATCCTTGCCGAGGGCTGTCCCGTTGATCTCGTCCATTAGCTGGACATACAGCCGCCAAATGGTGGAGATCTCACGACGCTGTAGGCTGCTTCCTCCGCCTCCGCTTCCGTTGCTGAAGGAGGAGTCCAAGCTAGATGCCGAGTCCTCCAGCTCTAGTTGAAGATTTTGCTCGAACAGCTCCTTGATTTTGCCTGGAAGTGAACAGACAATATAGTACAGGAATTTTTAGGTAAAAAAAAAGTTTTTTGAGTTCTTACTGAAATAGTCCCAGAGGTATAGATTTCTTCCGAAAAATCGCGATGATCGGAATCCGCAAAGGAAGACCTGCTCCAGACACTTGACCAGTCCATCATCCCCGCACAACAGGTTGGTCAGCGTGCCAACATCGCGATCTCGGCTGGGTTTGTAGTGCCACTTGACCAGCACGTTGACACAGTTGCCAAGCTGGTGCTGAATTTCCGAGGGCGCCAGTGACTCCTGACGCTGCACGCTGGGACTTCGTGTCCTTGGGGGAGTGCGTGTATCCGAGCCGGGGACCAGCTCAGCATTTTTGACGCTCATCGACACACGTTGGCCCACCAGCAGGCGCTCCGTGGAATCGTCATCTACGCCGCGACCCAACCAGCGGCCACATGGGAATCTTTTCGAAAGGGTAAGCAACACGTTTTACACACGTTTTAGTTTTAGTTCGTACGGGTTAGCTGTTAGCTTACTTGTAGGTGTGGCCGGTGACCTCATTGCGCATCACCACCTGCTCCACTAGCCACTTGTGGCTGGGTCCGGAGTTGTCGTGTCCAATGCGCATGGTTGTCAGTAGGCCAAGGTTCTTGTACTGCCAATAGACGGGAATTGGATTAGTTGCTAGGTGGTTTTTCGGGAAGGGGTTTGAGTTTCATTTTTTTTTTTGTGGTGCCTTCGTCTAACTTACATGAAAAATGAACTCCAGGGATCCCTTTGGTACCGGCACCCGCTGTGTCTCGTTCATTGTGCCCGAGACCATGATCCACACGTTGCTGGAGGTATGATAGGAGCCGTATTTGCGGGAGGGAAAGATCACAACGCGGTAGGGCAGCTCTGTGGGCGGGGAAAGGTGAGCAAAACCAAAAGGAGCATGTACAGTGACAAGTTATAGAGGACTGCTAGCGAGACCTACTCGTTGTGGGGTAGATGTTGGTGAAGCTGAAGTAGTCCACCGTGTTTAGGGTAAGCAGGTGGTAGAGAAACTGTTCCTTCTCCTCTTCACATCGTAGAAAGGCCGACCGTTTGTACAGCGAACGGAGCAGAGCTTCGTCGGACAGCAGGGTACGAAAATGTCTGGATAGCAGCTTTTTTTCGAGGGATAGACGCACCCAGGCGCGGGTATAGCCAATGTGGGTCTTGATATCCGCCATGGCTAGCACGTTTCTACGGATAAGATAATTTATTAATTGAGGGAACCTTTTTTTAATCTCTCGCTTAGCTACTTACTTCACATCGAACTCCAGGGACTCTGGAAGTGGACATAGTTGCTCCAGGCCCACGAATTTATTGCGATCCCGCGAACGACTGCGATTTGGACTTGGTGGACTGTCAAAGTCCGTTTGGAATGTGGAGAGATCTGATGGGTAAAATGTTTTATATTTGAAAAACCTGTGAAGGAGAGCCCAAAATCCACTTACAATCCATGCGTTTCCGCATTGCGTTCCAAGCCAGTGCCGGCGAGGCTGTGGCAATGTTCATCTTGCTGCCAGGACTGCTGGACACCGGCGGCGTTTGATCCGCTCCAGAACTGTCGCCTGCTCCCCGGGCCTCCTGCATCTCGAGATAAGCCTGCAGATGGGCCCACAGGGCGGACTTGCCCTGCTTGTTTTGCAAACCATGCGACCAGATCTTCTCCAGCAGATCGCACATGCTGGCTATTAGGGTGTTTTCCTCGAGGCCATCGCCCTTAAGGCCCAGGGCCACTGCCTCGTTGCCCATTTTCTCGAGCAACATGCGCTTGGTCTTCGACTTGATGTCCTGTAGTAAGGTAGGAATTAGAAAAATTGTATTCAAAAAGTAACTATGCAAGACTTACCTTTAGCAATCGCTCAACGAACGTCCAGTTTGCCTGGGCTATCAAAGCTGGACTTACATCTGCCGTGGTCAGGTTCGCCGAAAGTCGGTTAATGGCATTGCTGTTGGGCTTCTGGTCCAACGAGATTTCCCTGGCCCGCCACTTGTTGCCGTTCTTCACCCGCCGCAGGCTGTTACCTCTGTTAGGGATGCGGACGCGGATGCGGTTTCGGATACGGTTTTTTGGTTGAGGTTGGTTGGTTGTTTGGTTGATGGAGGTTATCGCGGATGAGTTTTAAGTTTTGATTTGAGTTTAGTTTTAGAGATTCGAACGAGAAAAAAGAGACAGCGGATTAGTGGGAATGCCGAAGGGGGCTGGAGGAAGGGGAGGATGGGCGACCGCGTGTGGGAGGGGGCGTAGCAGGCGGTGAGCTGTGGGTGGTGGGTGCATGCGGTGCAAGAATTTACGAAGGGGAAAACGAAACAAAACAAAACGAATAGTCTCGGTTAACGATTTGAGAATGCAGAATTTATTGTTAAGTGGTAATGCACTAAAAGAAAACAATACGATTATAAATAAAAATATGCTACCAACAGAAGTGAGTCTCCAGTGGAAAAACGCGTTTTTTGATTCGATTTGATACAATTTTAGCTAAAAAAAAGTACATGAAATACATCTACGTACATTTAGGTGACTATGATATCTATAATTAACATTAGGTAATATCAAACGTTGCCAGCCTTTTTGGGGCTAAGGTACATTAATGTCCCCCATACCTGGGGACGTTTTGTTTATTGGATGAGTGCGAGGGGGTTAAAGGGAAGGGACTGGTGTTCGATTTTGAAGCAGGACGTGCTCTACGACTAACTATACAACAGAACTGAGGGGAACTGAGGGAACCTAGGCGACTAGGGCAACTACCTCGAGGCACACTCCTGGTTGAGCACGCCCTTCTCGAGCAGCGGAAAACTGCGAAAGTAGGCCGCCCTGTTGGCCAGGATCTCGCTGGGCGGTGTCACCTCGATGTCGATGCAGTTGAGCCGCTTCTCGAAGCCCTGCTGCGAGTCCTGGCTGAGCACGCAAGGCTCGTAGCTGGCGGCGGCGATCATATTTTCTCCGTGACGTCGCCTAAAAAGGATCAAAGTTAAAAGCTTATAAGAATCCTATCAGTAACTAAATTCTTGAAGCACTTTAAAAAAAAATATAGATGATCTAGGATCTACTATAAAAAGCTATGGGTACCTTACAAATAAAGAATTGAGGTATATTGTATTTTGTAGTACTGACCTCAGAAGTTTTATACGCTGGTCGAAAAGCTGAAGCTGCTCATCCGGTTGCGATTCCCACATTGCCAGGATCTTGTTGTCGATCAGTGTGGCGAACATTTGAGATTCAAGGAAGCGCGAGAGGAAGGCGCGATGGTGCTCCGGCTGGTCGGACAGAAACGAGGACTTGTCGAAGTTCTGCAGCGTTTCGCGATTCGAGAGCCACTCGTCTCGGGCCTGGTTAGGATATATTACAAAGTTTTCGTAGGCGTGGAACATGTGCACGAATCGATTGAGGAAAATCTCTCGCACCGAGTTGTTGATGCGCAGGTCCTGGTAGTACTGCTCCACTGGGCTCAGCTTTTGTTTTTCTGTGCGGCGGCTACTGACTGGCATGGTGGCGTCCACTGCATCAATGTCCTGATAGATGCCAACCGGCGAGGAAGAAAGCGAAACGGTGGGACTACCCACCGGAGAGCCAGCTCCCCGAATGCCTCCCTTCCTACGCAAAAAATCAGCGATTCGCGGGACGTGATCTATTCGCGAGGGATGCGCTATCAGCGGCTGATAATCCACGGCACCACCACCTGGCGATCCCGACAACGTATAGACCGTCTCTTGCAGCTGCTGAAATCGCTCCTTACTACGGCGTGCAGCTTGCAGTCCGGTGGGCAGCGTGCAGCTGGAAATCATGGCATCCACTCCGCCAGCTCCGCCACTTCCAGTACCGCCAGAACCTCCTCCGGATCCCCTACCGACATAGCCATTCCGGAAACTGGGTTCCTGGTCTCGATCTCTCTCAATTTCAAACTTGTCGAGCACCGAGACAATTTCTGCCATTAAATCCATCTTATGTGGGAAGACTGGAAGCTCTTCGGGAAGCTGGATGTGCTTTTTATCGATGTCCACAAAGCAGAGTGTTGCCTCGCTGCCAATTTTGTGAGCTGCCTCGCATTCGGCGTGCAGGCCCATTACAAAGGGCACCGGCGCATCCAGGAAATGATGCAAGGCGGCAGGCAAGATTGGAGCGTAAACATGAGGCCACACGAACGGAAACAGCAGGGAAGTAATGCATTCGCCTACGATCATAAGTCTTTGGTAGTCTGCAGTGGAAAGAATTTTATTTAGCAGGTTAGTTCCTGTTGTGTTAATGAGACCTACCTGTGGAACGCAGTAAGACTTGATTTTCTAGAAGGACGCACGTTAAAAGCTGTATAACACACTCCACGCCCAGGTACTTGAAAAGCAGGCGCAGCGGAAAATCCAGAAGAGGCAATTCAGTTGCCAAAAGAGGTCGCTGAAGGATCAGGGCAATAGCGGGTAGATGGGGCTCTGTTGGCGGCAAGTAAACGCGAATCGACTTGCCGGGTTGCGGCAGCATCACCTCGTACAGTATGTTGTAAACGTAGGACTCCAAACTTATACCAGCCCCAGGCTGTCGAGGAAGACATCTAGTGTAAAAGAAAAGTTATAATTTCAGGTATTGCTTGGAAATTCGTAGTCCACCGCACTAACCTGTACAGATTCTTAAGAAACATCTGAGCTGCAAAGGCGTAGGGAGCCTGACAAATAAGCGTGATGCTTTTGGCTACGTACAGCTTGTCCTTGTTGATGTCGTAATAGCTTTGTGCAGACTGCGGCGCCTGTCCGGCCACCTTGAAGTGTCTGGGCAGCGAACGGCTAACCGGACCATCCTGCTTCACCCGACTAAGCGAGTGCGTCTGCTGACCGTTCGACAGTTCCGTGATAAACATGCTTTGAAGCGTGTGAATGGCTCCGCAAATGTTCCTATTGCGGATTTCCTCATAGAAGACCAGGCTGAATCCGTAGCACCGCTTTCCATCTTCCCGCGTGGTGGCAAACGAATGGAATCTGGGCTCAATGTTATGCTTCTGGGTGCGAAAGCGCAGGCCTTGCGGCAGGGAGAGCTGTGGAACAGATACGGAGGGAAGGAGGGTCACTTCTTAATCTCAAGTGGCGGGTATAAATAAAATCCATTCATTCAAACACATGCCCAGATGCATGAGATAAGATTTCTCGGTGCGGGGGTAAAGCGAAACGTAGTCGTGGCATCAATTAAAGTGCTCTTCTCTCTACTCACAACTCGTATCAATGAGCTGGCTAGCCAAGCATGAATTTCCAACGAAAGGGCAGCCAATTGAGCTCAATTAGACATAAATATGGATTAGGGTGGGTCGGTCGTTTTGAATGCGCGGATAAAGTAAATACTTAGGTCATTTTAAAGAATTTTCTTTTCGACGGTTTCTCACATATATGAGGAGTTGCGGTTGTTTAAAATAAAAAAAAGTTAAAGTTGACACATATCCTTCATCTTCTGACCTAAATAGTCATAATTTAAAAACTTGACACAAACAAACGAATACGTTTTTTTTTTTTTGATTCGTAACAAAGTTGTCGTATTGACTTTAAATTTTAAATCTTTGACACTGTCCAATTATATTTTAATGACCCACCCTAACACGTATGAAATAGACTCTGAATTTACCATGCAAACGCCGTGGGCATCGAAGGGATTCCAGGGTACATTCTCGGGATAATGGGCAAGTGGTTTGCTTTTGTAAGCACGGTCCAGCGGGGAACAGTGCAGGTTGTCTCCTAAAAAAATGTCATTAGTATTTCATTACTCCATAGAAATCTCCACCAGGATTAACTAACCCGCAAACCGATCGGGCTCGAGGCCTGTATCTAAATCCAGTCCACATATCACAAAATAGTCGGCGAATCGCGAAAACTGCGGATCCGCATCCCTTTTCAGTTGATTCAACTCAGATTGGGACTGCGACTGCTCCCCGGGTGAAACGGGCGATTGCAGCTGGGCGGATGTTGGAGGCACCTGGTTATTGCTGCCATTTCCGCTTCCGCTGCTGAGCATCAGCTTGGACAGGCGACTGGTGACCACATTCTCCCGCGTGGTCATGGCACCTTGTCTTCGTCCTTCTCCTCTGCGACCTCCCCTTCGCACTATTTGTCTTTAATCCGCCAAGTGGGACATCAAACAAAAAGCGCTGTCTCCATGTGTGTGTGTGTACTGCTTGTGTGTATACATATACCGTTATGCGCTCGCAATTTCGTGCACTTTCCAATTTTACACAACGAATCAATTTCCGTCTGCAAAAACACGTTAACGTATAACGAAAAATTAAGTGCTATTTTCGCTTGTTTATTTTTATTTTTACTTTCTGTATTGGTGTGTGCAGGAGAGAGTGTATGCAAAATTTCTATGCCAATGTCGTTTGCCTACGTCCGCCACCGAGCACAACAACAACAGAGACACCAACGCCAACACTCTCCTTCTCACCCTCTCTTGTTACGCACCCCTCTCCAATCTACTAGTTATCACCGTTTTAGTTGCTATTATTATAATTGATCGAAAACTGGGTTAAAAACTGGCTGGCAAATAGTTTGGAGCCACCAACAAAAGCAGCTGAGGAAACAAATACTCCGCGGAGCAGAGCAGACCTGAATTTTTTTTAGCGAAAAACAAACTACTTTGGGCGCCAGTGGGACCAAACGGTAAAAGTTGTGATTACCTAAAAAAGTATCTAGATTAATAGATTCAATATTTACAAATATAAACATTTTTGAAATAAATATTGAGCTCTTATATTTTATCAAAGAACGAGACTTCATAACTTGTTATTAAAAGTCTGTAAATTACGAAAATTAATTTAAATAAAAACAATATTTTATTTAAAGATCTTGTTAATTTAATACCACCACAGGGTGATTATGGTATGCAGAACCAGTTCCTAGCGGGGAGTTGGGGTGAGAAAACAGCACGACGCAGTCAGCACGGAACCAGTTCTGAACCGGAGCATAGCGAACGACCTGACGTGAAAAAGTGTATCACATAACATATTAAACTGGAACGTAAATTGTCGCCCCCGTCGTGCCAGGAGATTTGGTCCGGGAAAAACGAGCGAGGAGTAGAAGCGGTCAGGAGTACTCGCAAAGAAAAAGCTCCTCGCAAAGCATACAATCGTCTTCTACATCCTCACCCACATGCGATTGATTGATTGATTAAAAGCACGAGACCACGAGTTGTTGGGCGAGATGCACTCATCGCTCAACTGGACCTCCCGCCTGATCTCGCGCGCCCTGCGCAGCAGCTTTTCCACACTCCTGGAAACAGCAACGGGCGGAGGGGCAGCGGCGGCTAAAGGTGCCAGCAAATCGGGAGCAGGGTCCTCGGCCGCCCAGCGACCCCGTTTTGTGTCCGTCGTGTGCGGTTTCGCGAAGGACAATCTGCGACACAAGTACAAGCCGGGAAAGTACGGTGAGGACTCCTGGTTCAAGGCCTCCACGGAGAGCGCCGATGTAATGGGCGTGGCTGATGGAGTGGGCGGCTGGAGGAGTTATGGCATTGATCCAGGAGAGTTTTCATCTTTTCTGATGCGCACCTGCGAACGGTTGGTGCAGTGCAGCCACTTCAATCCCCAGCGTCCGGTCAACCTTCTGGCCTACAGCTACTGCGAGTTGATGGAACAAAAGAAGCCCATCTTAGGCAGCAGCACCGCCTGCGTTCTGATCTTAAATCGAGAGACGAGCACCGTGCACACGGCCAATATCGGCGACAGCGGCTTTATTGTGGTGCGACAAGGCCAGGTGGTGCACAAGTCCGAGGAGCAGCAGCACTACTTCAACACACCCTTCCAGCTTTCTCTGCCGCCTCCGGGGCACGGCCCGAATGTGCTCAGCGACAGCCCCGAGTCGGCAGACACGATGAGCTTCCCGGTGCGCGACGGCGACGTGATCCTGATTGCTACGGACGGAGTGTTCGACAATGTGCCCGAGGATCTGATGCTGCAGGTGCTCAGCGAGGTGGAGGGCGAACGGGATCCCGTCAAGCTGCAGATGACGGCCAACAGCCTGGCGCTGATGGCGCGCACCCTGTCCCTCAACAGCGAGTTCCTCTCGCCATTCGCCCTTAGCGCCCGGAGAAATAATATCCAGGCGAGAGGCGGCAAGCCAGACGACATCACCGTTGTCCTGGCCACCGTAGCGATGTGAGGGTGGTATCCCCACACACCCTATCCTCCCTAGTGATTAACGTTTACTTGTAGTCCGTACGTGTTTAGTTAGCTTTAGGAGCCTGTTCTGTGGTTCTGTCTACCGTTTAAGCTGCATGTTGAGATTGAGATTGTGGATAACGAGGACGATGACGAAGACGAAGAAGACGACGAAGACGAACCTTTGAATTGTTAGTTACATATATAAACCCGAGCAAACTCTTTTTCGAAACGACGAACTTCGACGCATCCTGGTGAGCGACCCCCGCCTTGATTGTATACATAACCCTCGCTATAAGTAGAGAAATGCGAATTATCTGCCCAGGGCGATCTCTGTCGTCAGTGGGCATTCTAATCACCACAAACCATAAACAAACAACCGATTGCGAAACAAACCCTATGCATACGAAGGTCCGGATCTCGATGGTGGACCCGGAATGAAGCGAGTCGAGGTGCAGCTGTCTGACTGAGGACTGAGGACTAGCCATTTTTACCCAGGCGAACTGTCTTTAAACAATTTTTGTCGAAATGTACTCACTGATATTTGCGACCCAATAAAATTATTCATTGAAACAACAACGAAAGCGATCTGTTATCATTTCGAGATATACAATTCGTTAAAACAATAATAAAATATATAAACAAAACAAATTTACGGAAAACTGAAATAGAACGTTCTAATTGCTCAGATTAGCTTCATGGCCAGAAAGATGTAAATTAATAGACACAGCAGTGGGAAAATTAATAAGCTGTTCGAGGAATCAAATTATTTTGAGAGGAAGATCTTCATTTATGGGGTGTCATCAGTGTAATGTATTTTAATTTTAAAATTATAAAATTTTTAAGAGTATTCGTTTTTTCTTATCTGGAAGAAATCGATTGCCCTTCTGTGACGCAGGTTTACTTATGTTCATACATATGTACATACATATATGCATTAAATCAATAATAATACAAACCTTTATATAAAACACATCTTTCTAATTGGCAAGATTAGCGCCAGAAAAAAATAATACATATATGTACATATGTATAAAATTATATTTACATATACATATATGGTAACAGTAAGGGGTAAATAAAAAGGTTTTATAAACTACAAAACTACACAAAAAATATATTATCAAGTCAAAACCGCTTTAAATGAGATGTGCATCCGGTAAGGAAAATTTCTGTAGACCTCTTAATTTCTTATTAAAGGTTCAGTGATTAATTTAAATTACTATTAATCCCAATTCTCGGAAGGTTCATCATTATTTTACAGCTTCGGGTTTGGAAATAATAAATATTAATTGATTTTTTAAATATAGAGTATTAATATTTCATAATTTTTTTTACAAGATCAAACGGGGTAGATTAATAATAATTATTCAGTGTAATAACAATTAAATTACAATTTGTTTTGGTATATTTTTTGAAATGCATTCAATAAATATACTAAACTTTCCATCACCTGCGGTCACTCTACAGATAAGGAATCAAAACAAAAGGCAAAAAATTAAATGTCCTATGTTGATATCATGCGGAACGAGCAAATGTTTTTGGAATTAAACAACAAAGACAACATAAAGTTGTATAAATTATACACACACACACGTGGATGCAACAAATCTTACGGTAAGCACAGCTCATATTGCGCAAACATATTTCACGGTTGTTTCAAAATCTATAGATGCGGATCTGGTGATGAATCTAAAGGATCACCCAAACGCCAATGTGGGAGATGTGGTGGAGATTTATGCCCATAACGAGGAGAACGATACTCGCCTACTGCTCCAGATAACAGAGTTCAATGGAAGCTGCGGTCGAGACTTGATAAGCATTGAATCGGGCATCGCACATGCCTTTAAAATGCGTCCTTATTCCAATGTGGTTATGCGCAAAGTCAACCCGGCGGATGTGGCCCTAGATTCCATAGAAATCACCTTCAAGGACCAGTACATGGGCCGCTCTGAAATGTGGCGCCTAAAGACATATTTGGTAAGGGAAAAATAGTATTTTAGGCAGGACCCCTTCTTTAGTTTGCTCTGCCTTCCACAGACGGACACCTGCGTTTATGTGAACAAGAAGATCGACTACAACGACATGCAAATCCGGTGTCAAGTTTACGAAATGTGGTCTCAGGGAGAACGTGTGGCCAGCGGCGTTATCACGGAGGATACGAAGATCGTCTTTCGCAGCAGTACATCGATGGTCTACCTTTTTCTACAGATGTCCTCAGAGATGTGGGACTTTGACATCCACGGAGATCTGTACTTTGAGAAGGCAGTAAATGGCTTTTTGACTGAACTCTTTCAAAAGTGGAGGAAGTTGAGTTGTAATCATGAGGTTACCATCGTGCTGTTCTCCCGCACCTTCTATGCAGCGAAGAGCCTGGATGAGTTCCCCGAGCACATGCGCGACTGCCTGCAGCAGGACTACAAGGGTCGCTTCTATGAGGACTTTTACCGCGTGGCCATCCAGAATGAGCGTTGCGACGATTGGTGTACGGTCCTTGGTCAGCTGCGCAAGTTATTTACTTCCTACCAGGTGAATTATATGTGGTTAAGCCCTGCAATTACTCTATTAGGCTATCTATGTTTTCTTAAACAGGCGACTGTTCTGCGCTATCACGAAAGAGAGAACATGAAGATTCCCCCGGCCACGAATTCCTCGGCCACGCAGGGAAACTTTTTGGAAGTCCTGAATATTTCCCTCAACACATTTGAAAAACATTACCTGGACAGAACATTCGACCGCACCGGCCAGCTTTCAGTGGTCATAACCCCGGGCGTTGGTGTCTTCTCCGTGGATCGTGAGCTGACCAATATCACCAAGCAGCGCATTATTGACAACGGAGTGGGCAGTGATCTTGTGTGCGTGGGAGAGCAACCCTTGCATGCCGTGCCACTTCTTAAATTTCACAACAAGGACACCACCTTGACGTCCGCCGATGATTACTCCCTGCCCCACTGGATAAATCTAAGCTTCTACTCTACGAACAAAAAGATAGCATATTCCAGTTTTATTCCCAGAATCAAACTGCCCCTTTTTGGCTCCCAGTTGACCCTCTACGACGGCGCAGGTGAAGGAGAAGGCGAGGAGAACGAGCGTCACTTTCTTAGCTGCAATCAGTCGGAGTACAAGCACAATTCGCTTTTCGATTACGATGCGTATGACGAGCAAATCTTTCAGCCGTTGCCAGCTCAAAGCACTTGGTAGGGAGAATGCTGTATGAAACCAACTAACTCAACTTAATCATTTTTGTCTTTCCACAGCTCCTTGCAACGGGTGGTGAGGGCCAAGAAGACATCGGTGCCCAGCTTGGAGACCTATGCTTATAGGAACAACGACTGGGAGAACCTAACACCCACGCAAATCCCGGCCATGCGGCGCAAGATGTCCGATCCGGACATTCATCACGGAACTTCTGCAATGTTGGCGGCCTTGGTAAGTTACTTTGCGCCTAAACACACATTATCATACTTAGAGTACTCTTCCGATCTCATTTTAGCAGCCCGATACCACAAATCTTTCGGAGTCCCTGGCTTCAGAGAAAAACTCCCGCAGGGCCATCGTCAGCATTGCTCCCATAGTGCGACCTGGTCGTGCTTTGATCAACCCTTTTGATCCCTCGCAAGTTACCATTAAGCTGACGTCCAATCGCCGCCGCTGGACGCACATTTTTCCGAAAGGACCAACCGGAGTACTCATACAGCAGCATCACTACCAAGCAGTGCCGGCCAAAACCACACAAGCGGGTCAGCAGCGACCATTGCAACAGATTCAAAACAACAGCCAGAGCGGTAGCATAAACAACAACGACCAAGAGGACTATGGATGTGAGAGTAACGAGCAATATGACCGAGTGTCTAGTCACTCCTTGCTCAGCAAGTCAGCCTCCTCGCAAAGTTTCGTGATGGGTGATGAAAAAATTGATTGTGAGTGTGACAACAAAACTAAGTTCTTCTGGCTACAATCAATTATCCGTAGTTTTCAAGAGACGTCAGAATTCCCTGATGAACGCCCTACCTGCCAATGTTCCCAATCTAACCGCCACCCAGGCCAAATCCTATCTTTGGGGAGCCACCGGGGAGCAGGAGTGGACGCCAGCAATTACCACGGGTAAGTGTTGCTCAAACAGTTTATTCGGTTATTGTTTTTAGAGACCGTATCGCGGGGCGATTAACTCAGGGGCACCAGTTGAGATGCCCTTTAAATACTTGCTGCAGTTAAAAATCATGACCAGTTCAACATGGTTTCACCCGCGAAAATGTTGTTGCAGTACCTGATTTTTCTGTTCCTTATGGACCACCGAATCCAAGCCAAAGATAGCTTTGTGAAACCCTCAGATTTGGCTGAATTTGTGGATAGGATCGGTCGCTTTCATCGCCTTACTGCCATCACCTTGGTGAACAGCCTCGGATCGATTGATCCCAGCTATTTGGATGAACTGCATCGCCTACTGATGTGCAACAGCAGCAACCATTTCCATTTGGTGCCGCAAATGACGGCCAGCGACCAGGATTTATCGCCTCTGCTCTTCAGTGCGCTCCAAGATGAGGAAACGCTGTATTTGGTCTTTGCCAGAGATTCAAGCGACGCGGTGGTGCAGTTGCACGCAGAAAGAGCCAGGGGAAGGCGCTACTCGAAGACCATTTTCCTGCTGAGAAAAAAGGAGTCCCTTCTGGAAGTAAAGTGTTTCTTCCAGCATATCTGGAAACTACAGTTCCGCTCCGCTTTGGTTGTGGTGGCTGCCCGGAAGTTTTACCAAATGGATCCATATCCTGACATTAGAGTGATTCACATGCGACGACTATCATCTTATGATCCGCATCATCTGTTTCCGCCTCCTTCTAGAAGAAATCTTCAAGGCTATAGGTTGCGGCTTCCCGTTCAGAAGGACATACCGAATACCTTTTGGTATCACAATCGGAAAGAACATTTTTGGAAACTAGATGGCTCTGGCGGAATTATGATCTACCAGTTTACGAAACTTATGAATTTGACCATGGATTTGTATAGCTTGGAGGTAAATGGGTCCACGCTGCTAAATACGAAGGCTCTCGGGGAGCTGATTGTGCGGGGTGAAGTGGAGCTGAGTCCGCATTTGCACAACGTCCTGCAACCGAACCACCAGCTGGACTACTCCTATCCCTCGCTGATTTCATCTCGCTGCTTTATGATCCCATTGGACAATGAAATTTCAAGGAGCCTTTATGTCGTCCTGCCGTTCAGTTATCCGGTGTGGCTCTGCTTGCTGTTCACGCTGCTCGTGTTGGAGTTCGTGTTTGTGCGCCGTCTGATGCCGGATATCCAACTGTGGTGGATAGTGGGAGTGCCAGGAGCTGGTGGGGCCAGACGCGGGGACCTTAAACCTGGCAGGTGCATGATCGCCGCGCTGATTGTTTTTGGAATCTTTATGGTTGTCCAGTCGTACAGCACCAAAATCTCTTCTTTTCTGGCCGTAACTCTCACGAGCAGTCCAACCAGCAACTTGGAGGAGTTGTTCCGTCTGCCAAATCGCATTTTGGCGTTGCCCGGCGATGTGGACGCAATCGTCGGTTCCCTGGGTCATGCAGAGCAGTTTGCCGCCAAGTTCAACCTCACAGATCTCGAGACCTTTACCTCAAAGAGAATCGCCATGGATCCGGAGTACATATATCCAATCAGCCACAATCGCTGGAGGTTCTTCGACATGCAGCAGCGATTCCTTAAAAAGAAACGCTTCTTTTTCTCCAGTATCTGTCATGGCTCCTTTCCGTATCAATATCAACTAAGGGTGGACTCCCACCTCAAGGATGCCCTTCACCGCTTTCTGCTGCACACCAGCCAGGGCGGTCTGCAAAACCGTTGGCTGGAGACTTGCTTTCGAAGGGCCCATCGCATGGGCTATCTCAGGGACTTCTCCACCTTGGCGGAGATGGAGAAGAATCTGCGGGTCCGACCGCTGGCCCTGAATTTACTGGCGCCCGCCTTTAGTCTGTTTCTGTGCGGACTAGCGGGCAGTGGGATCGCGTTCCTGGTGGAAATCCGTATGAGCTTCGGGTGCAGACGAAAGCCACTAAAGTCCACTAATCGCAACCCAGGGGATTAATGCATTCGAAGTAGCTCATTCTAACCGAAAACTCTAGTCGAAATAGAACCCAATATTAAGTCTAATCTAATTTTACGTACGATTCACCTTATTCCCCACCATCCACCACCAAAATCGCCACGAATGAAACTCTATCGGATCTAACCAACGAATCGAAATTTGCAACCCATCATATATTTGCGTATCCCATCGAATCCCATCTATCGGGCGTTTTAGTCAAGCATCTGAGGCCAATCGTCGAGGGCGAGCATCATCATCAATTGGGCGGCCTGGAGGCACTAAGGGCTGTAGATCCGACCACTGGTATGGAGGCGGGCGGCGGAAGAGGAAAGATCATCATAGGTTTGGACAAAACAAAACAATTTCACCACTTTTGAACTCTGTACAAAGCATTAGCGATGCATCCGAAACACACAGCACACAAAAACACACTTGCAACCATACACAATCACGTACTTAAGATCCTCTGATCTGTAGTTCGGCTTTCTTGTAGTTGATAGTCTTAGAAGCTTATGTAGAAGCTTTTTGTTGATAACTTAATACTTTGCTTAGAAAAAATAATATAAGCTGGAAGTACATAGATATATTCAGATGTAGAGTTCGTTCAGGCAAAATTTAAAGTAATCCATATCAAATATAATCAGGGGATAGTAAAGAATAGATCTAAATATCGTAATAAAAAAGTAAAGATCCAGAGGAGCACACAGATTTTTATAACTTTTGGTCGAATGCTGAGTACGATTAGCTTAAAAACTTGTTTTTCATAACACTATATTTACATTATGAGTTTTTGATAAGGTTCTATAATCCGTAGGTATGTAAAAATTCCTTTGGCATCATATTTGCTTATCAGTGGACCTTCACCCAGTTCTGTAGATTATCTTTGCTTTGCACTCACCCGCTTAAATCCCGAAAGCCTGCACCACAACACCCTTGCATGTAGTTACTCATTTACAATAATTGTAGCCTAAACCGTAGTTGGTAGAAAGCCACCCAAAAAACCAAGAAAAACCTCGCACAAACCCATCTGGAGGTGGTTGGAACCCTCTATTTTGGTAACCCTCACGGGGCTTGGGAGCATGTTGACCAATTAGATCGCATGTTTCCGTTGTGAAGTTCCTTGTAGCGTTAGCATGCTTGCCACGCCCACCCGCCCACCTGTATTACGTACGCACACGCTCTACACACATGCTAACCCATCCGTTGGTGACAGCTCTCGTTCCCGGACTGGAGTCCTCTTCCCACTTTGGTTATGATTTCAGTAGTCCTTCTAGCTTGAGCGATTTTGATTTACACACCTGTACCGGCGTTGGCTTTCTCTCTGCTCTGATTCCCTCTAACCCACTGAGAATTATTCTAATCCTGCGCTGGATCCGTTTGCAGGTGTCGACTGGAAGTCGCTCACAATTCCCGCCTGTCTGCCCATCACCACGGACTACTTCCCGGACAAGCGTTCGCTGAACAACGATTATGTGATCTCGGATTACACTCTGCTGCCGGATGACGTGAATCATGACTACGCCCAGAGTAGAGCTGTGTACCGAAAACCTCTTTCCACGGAGGAGGTGTGCAAGGAGATCGTTTCCCAGCGGCTGGCCCAAGGCTTCCAGCTGATCGTGGTGGATGAAAAGCCACCGACGGCGGGTGGTTGCTCTTCAGCATCCGCCGTTCTGCCGGTGAAGCCTCCATGTGAAACAAACAAGGAGTACCTGCTGTCCATTGGCCGCATTTTTCACAAGATCTCGTTGACAGGATCCGTAATCACTGTTACGGGTTACAGACCCAGGTGAGTGATATGCAGTTGGGTAGGCTGAAGTATTCTAATTTCACTTTCCTCTCATAGACACCCTTATCCCCCCATAAATGTTGACTATCGCTACCGTTTCCATGCTCCTCAACACGAGACATATGAAATCTCAGGTGTGAACTTCACCACGGAAAAGCTAGAGAACTTCAACTGGAACCACATGGACCTATACATTTGTACCAGGGGAGATGTGGATTATCCATTAATGGAGGTATACTAAACAAAATAGTGGAATTTATTATTTATTTATAATATCTTATTTCAGAGCCTCAAGTACTGGCGTTATCGCATGTATCTGCTGCCCAGGGAAAATATTGTGAGCAAAATCGCCAGTTGCCAGCGTTGCGATATCTTTCCCGATGCGACTGCGGATAATACCCGGGAACAGGTGGAGGACTTTGTCCGCCTCATCGAGGCGGTCAGCAAGCTGAAGCGCCAATTTGCGCGCAAGGCGAGAGTAAGACAGAAGAGATTCCTTGACTTGGCTTTTGTGCATTCGTGATCCGTTGCGTTAATTCTGTAACTGCGTTCTGTCTCCTAATTGACTAATCGTTCTACCAGCCATGTCGACTGCGGATCAATCTAGGATTGATTGGCTACACAAGCTTTAGATAGGCTTTGCAAAAAGGCTTAAATTAGAAAGAGAGAACTTTAAAAACCATTCAAGTACACTTGTCTTTTTTATTGAACTCAATTTAGTTGTTCAAGTATACTAAACATAATTTACAATAAGATTTTTTACTTAGAAGAAGTGCAGCTTAGGGAGAACAATCCTAGAACTAGAACATTTTAATTAATTAACATTGCATCACAAAGCCCGCTTTTAGTGCCCGTTGCCTTTCCCCTGATGTATCGACTATCGCCTCACTTTTGCAGGACAGCCCCATCGCCCACAGCATAACCAAGCGACGACACAGTACCAGCATTATATCCAGGCCTCAGCCTAACCAGGTTATCTACTCAACTTATTTCAAAATTAAACGTTGAATCCATTGTAATTTCTTTTGTTCCATCTGATGCGCACTTTTGCTTTATTTGAATTCAAACTAACTTTTATTTGCGCACGTTTGAGTTGAATAGTTTCGATTATTACGATGGAATTGCGAATAGATCGGCTTATCTAATATTTTTGTATCTCTTTTAAACGTCTCTGTCTTCCCGCCACCCACTTTCGACCTGCCCCAATCCGCTCCAAATCTGAATCTGAATCCGAATCCGAATCGAACTCCTCAGGGACTTACAAACTCTCCGTTCCGAGAGCGAGTCGGCAGTAATCGACTGCCGGAAAAGCGACCAAGGTTTTTATATCTAATCCAACAAAAAATAAAAATAGATCTAAGGTCCCATGTCTCTCTTGTACACAAACATACACCCACACAAAACCCACATATATAGTAAACACTGTACTTGCATTTGCTAAAACCAGGAACCGTAATTGCTACTTGGTTTTTGTTATTACTTGTGTAACTAAAATTTGAAATATCTAGTGAACCTTTATGATTGGTTCTTTCAACTTAAATTACCTTAAAAAAGTTCCGCGAATTTTAAAAAATTACTTTACAGTAGTTATAAGAATTTTAATAATTGAAAACTCTAGATATTAATTTCAACATAGATTTTTTCTTAGTTACTTTGCGGTTTCTGGTACAAACTGCACGATTCGCTGGGTATTTGGTTGGCTGCTGATCCTAGCTGGTTTGCTCTCAGGACATCTAGGATCCTGGGTCTAGGCTAATTGTATATATTGTTGCTGGCTTGTTGTTTGGTTATCCCTTTTTTGTATTGTACTCGTAGTCCTGTTGTTTTGTGCATCAAGTTTGTGCAGATTTTGTTGGTTTGTTGTTTCATTTCCTTGGTTTTGTTACCTCTTTTTTTTATATAATTTATTTGGTATTTGGCTTTCAGCAGCATGACACACCTAGAATCACTGAAAAGCATCATAACCAATTAAACTCACCGCAGCAAAGGTTTGTGCCACCCAGAGGGCCAGAATGACATTCCATCCTGGTTCCGTTTATTTATCACGATTCGTCTAATCCCCTTACACTCATAATCGAAATCCCTAACCGACATACACACAATTGGCCTGCTGAACCCTGTATCCCCAACCCAGATACACACACGCACCAGACCCAACATGGAAGAGAAACCTGACTGAAAAAGTTATCTTTTACAATCAACTAATCCTTTTATTTGTACTACTCCACATGGCAGCATTAATGTGCGTCCCAAGTTGGAAAGTGGACGGATACCGCGTATATTTCCCGCCACCGATGCAGCAGCTGCTGCAGGAACTGCAGCCAGAGATGACCAGGATGATGGGTGGGTTCTCCATTTAAGAATTCTAGATCAAGTTACTCATTGTTTTCTTTCCAGTTTCCCCGTTGACATCAAGTTTAGCCCGAATGCCACGCTTGTCGAGATTTTTGAGGCCATGAAGCATCCTGTAACAGGAGTCGGTTACTTCTCACAAACCCAATCGCTGCCCTCCTGCACATTTGTGTCCTACGATGCTTTGATGTGGTTGAAAACCCGCCTACACCATGGAAGACATCCCTTAGAGTTGCTGGAGGCAATGCGCAAGTGAGTTTTATTTTAATTTTAAAGTAACGATTCACTTTTAATACTTATTTTTTGAAGGGAGCGTATGATTTGCCATGCTTCGGGAGATTGGAAGAAGCCTGTGGTGCCTGGTTTTGTGTTCTACTATGTGGTGCAGCAGGACAAGAATGCCAAAGGTAATTTGGCTTACCAAATGTTATATTTGAATGTGATATTTATATAATTTTTCTAATATTTCAGATTACGCCCCGCCACTAAATGATTACAGTGCCTTTGTTAACGAATGGCTGGAGATTGAGTTTCAGGGTTGCAATTTCCTCTGGCATGATGAGCCAGTGACCACGTCAGTGCCCAATTTCCTGAGAGATTCACCCGCTCCGCAATCCTGGACAGAAACCTGCAGTAACAGTTCGTATTGACAATTTATTAACCATCATTTTGCTTGCCTAACCAGACATGTTTCTAGAACGCGTTTACCGCCAGTCGCATTTGGAGATCGACGTGAATCAGAAAAGCGATCGCATGGAATGGGGTCATGTCAAACACCACACAGTTCTGCAGCCGGGTTTCGCCTTCGAGATTGTGGTCGAGTGGGTCACCTCGTCGGGTCCCATAGTAGCGGATTTGGTGGGAGAAACTCCTTAAAACATATAACTATTAGTTCTTATTGTGATTTTTTTGATAACATTAGATTGGTGGCTGGATGCGCAAGGCGAATCAGTTTAACTTCCTGGTCTCAGTTCCAGCAGATCCCATGGCAGAGCCTTTTACCAAGAAATCTGATCCTCTGAGGGGACCTATTTTTATTCCTCTGTGTACTACATTCCTGCCCAATGCAGCTGGACTTTTCGATGGTATTTTCAGATATTTTTTGTTAAATAGTCGCCTGGTTTATTTAACTTTGTTTCGTTTCTGCAGAGTTTCCCGAGGAAAGCCGATCGGATCGCATGTTGTTCCTGCAGGAAGCTATTTTGGGCAAGTTCGGATTTTTGCCCTGCGTCTTGGAAAAGAAGTACAGCATTGGCAAGGATGTAAGTTAATATATACCATTTATGGCACTCTTATTTCAAGAAACTATTTATTTAGCTGCCTAAGGAGTACCAGTACGTGCACCGCACTGGCAACATGTTTGCTTTAATACGGTAAGATCCTAAAGTCACTACACCATAACTCTATAATAATTCCTAACTTTCAGATGCGCTTCCAACAACTACCAGGTTGAGTCTCCCATCCTGCAGGAGGCGAACGTCACACGCTGCGTCTATGGGCACACGAACAACACGAATGTGCCCAAGAAAGTGGGTTTTCTGTGGGCCTGGAATCACATGATTCCCAACAAGAAATGGAAGGCACAGACCATTAGCAACTCCGCCGACGGGGAACTTTTTCAGCTTAAGTTGTTAAAGGATTTCCGAGAGTTTTGTTCGAACAGCGATCTACGTCTCTCTACTTTCTGGTCACAGTCGCAGGAACTGAAGTGCAAGGCCCAAAAGTTCGAGTTCAACAACAATAACACCGATGAGGTAAAGGTTACATAAAGTTGCTTCGCATTTTGAGTTGTAAATACAAAAAATATAGGATCATACATCGTATCGAATAAAAACTTGACTTGTTTTTAAAGCTTGAAAAAGTTCACATGTTTAAAACCAGTTGGTTTAATTTCAAAGTTCAAATGACTCTTAAAGAAATTGCATTTATTTATCTTAATAAACTCAACACGTTTATAATTTCAAGGGGATAGAAAAGAATAATGGAAATACACATTCGGTAAGCTTAGGGGTCTTAAATGCTGCTAGGGGTCTGTGTCCGAATCCGTCCCTACGAAAGGGCGAATAGTCAATCTTTATATATAGTATACTCCCATTTGGGGGAGTGGCTATAGGTGGATGTTTGACTAAAGCTAACCTTTTTGGCTCTCATCTTCTGGGTGTTCGCTTGGGTTTACTTCATTTGTGACGGCTTTGGTCGTGTGGTGTTATCGAGTTATATTAGATTACGATGACCTGGTTACGTGTTACTGGTGCTGTTGATGGTGCGGCGTTGCTGTGGTTACACTGCTGGTGATTGTTGTTAAATGCTTTGGTATGCTGACAAGCGCAAGTGTGTCTATTGCTCATCCTTCAAGAACAGGGCCAGTTCCTCGCGGTCCCGCTGCAACCACGCGGCATTAAGACGGATCGTCTCCACCGCCTGCGATACAGTGCGTTCGCATCCGGGTATCTGGTTGACCTGGAAGAATTCCTCCACCTCCTTGGCTCGCTCCTCGGAGGCGAAGTTCTCAATCAGATACTTGATCAGTCGTGAGAGAAGGAAGCCGCCCTGGAAGTAGTACGTTTTAGATTTATTTTGTCATTGCCATTTGGTTAAAAATTCCACTCACCTGGTAGCGTTCAAGCAGCTGCTTGTTGTTCTCCTTAAAGAATTCCCAGGCCATGTCACGTCCTTTAGGATTAATGGCCACGGCGACAATTACAAAGACAGAGTCCTGAGCCCTCACTTCACCCTGGAAGAAATAACTACTTTAGTTAAAAACCCCAAACCTTAATGAAGGGAGTACCTACCGACATGGCAAAGTCAATGACGCGGCGCAACAGCTTAACGTCTCCGCAGCAGCCGAGAGCTCTTGAGATGCGATCCTGCTCCTCATGCAGATCCGTGGCCCTGTACAGATCCAGCATCTCCTCGAAAATCTTCTCGTCGCCGTCCTGCAGGACAGCCTTGTAGCAAGTGGTGCGTAGATCTGCCGGCAGCGGATTCGTGCCGTTCACGTGACCCTGGAAACGGTTTTTCGCAATGTCAATGGTATCTTCGCTGCGAAAGGAGACGAGGCGAGTGAGCACCAGACTCCTGAGCAAAGTGTCCAGGTGATTCTCTCCGTCGCGCGGTTCCCAGCCCAGGCGATAGGCAACCGGCTCGTACAGATTCCGACCGAAGCGGTGGAAGTCCTCCATAAGATCAGTGTGCGAGATGAGGATGTGCAGGTTGGTTAGCGAGTTAGTGATCGCAGTCCACACCGTGTAGTTGGTCTCGTTCCTGTACGAATCGACGAGAGCCAGGACCTCGGCAGTGCTCGCATGCCCCGCCTGCACCATGGCAAACATATCGTCGATCAAGCCGAGGCGATCCAGAGGCGGCAGCTCCATCATCTCCACGGCTGGCATCAGTTTTTCTAGCATCTCTTTCGAGTAGCGAGTGCGGTAATAGCCCACCGTTCCTGGATTTATCTTGATCCAATCACCCTCATCGACGTTATCGAGTGTCACCTCCATTGAGGTCTTGTCCAGCAGGAAAGTCTTTGTAATTCCTGAGGGATTCTTCGAAGTTGACACCGAGATGGGCACCACCCAAAGGCAGTTCTCATCCGCCTGCGAGCCATCAGCCGTAAACTTGCACTGCTTCAAACGCAGCAAACGCTGGTTTTTACCAGTCTGCTCCGACTCCACGCTGATCACCGGGAAGCCCTTGTGCTGTGTCCACGAGGTCATCACGTCGCCGACGTTCTTTGAGCTGGCCTCCTGCAGAGCAGCCCACAAGTCCTCAGTGCAGGTGTTTCCATACTGATGACGGGTGAGATAGAGGTTCATTCCCTTCCTGAAGTCATCCTCGCCAATATAGTCGTGCAGCATGCGAATTACGGAGGCACCTTTGTTGTAGCTAATCTCGTCGAATATCTCGTCGATCTCGGATGGGTGACCCACTGGCACCTCGATGGGATGCGAATTTTTCAGGGAGTCCAGCTCCAGGGCTCGCGTATACATGTCCGTTACAAACTGCGTCCAAATGTCGTACTCTGGGAACAGGTGATGCACGCACAAAAACTCCACGAAAGAGGCGTATCCTTCGTTTAGCCATAGGTGGGTCCACCACTCCATGGTCACAAGGTTTCCTGCATGACAATGTTTCGATAAAACAATTTAATTTAACTTGCAAGCATTTTACATATGTTACATTCTTCTGATATTGCTGGTGAGTTAGTAAAACAGAAATATACTTTCGTTTCTGGGAATACCCTTAAAGAATTGAATTCAACAAACATTAAATTCAAGACATTGACACTAAAACCCAAAAGAAAAATCAACTCCCAAGCAATCTGCATACCAAATTAAGCTTCAGGTGCTTCTGCGTCAGACAACCTGAATTGAATGCATGAGTGAATCAGAAATTCTAGTAAATCCTCTTTCTAAAGATCAAAGTCAGCGGTAAAATCTAAAGCAACTACGGTTTGCCTTTTGCATAAATGTATATTGATGGAGGGCGAAATTTAAATTTCCTTGTTACCGGATATAGAAAGACTTAAATACTCACCGAACCACTGATGGGCAATCTCGTGACCCACTGTCAGGGCAATCGACTGCTTTCGCATCAGCGAGGTGTTCTTGGGGTCCACCAGAACGAAGGTCTCGCGATAGGTGACCAGGCCCCAGTTCTCCATGGCGCCTGCAGAGAAGTCTGAGATGGCGATAAGGTCCATCTTGGGCAGCGGATAGGCGATGTTGAAGTAGTCCTTGTAATAGGGCAGCACCTTGGTGGCCACCTCCAAGGCGAAGGTGCCCTGCTCGCGTTTGCCAACGGGAGTGAAAACCCTGACAAGGACGCCATCATCGGACTTTCCCTCCACATAGTCGTATTCGCCCACGACGACGGCCACCAGATAGGTGGACATGATAGGAGTGCGGTCGAATTTCACTCTCCGCAGACCGTCCGGCAGGGAGTCCTCCTTGATGACCGGCATATTGGAAAGTGCCACGCGATCCTTGGGCACCACCAGTGTAATGTCAAAGGTGGCCTTGATGGCCGGCTCGTCCCAGCAGGGGAAACAGCGACGGGCATCGGTGGCCTCGAACTGGGTGACTCCCGCATAGCGCTCATCGCCGTTCGGTCCGAAGTACTTGCTCCTATAGAAGCCCTTCATCTTGTCGTTTAGCTCCCCGGTGAAGGACATGTGCAGCACACCCTGCGTCTCCGCTGGGATCTCCTGAACGAATTCCAACGTGGCCGTCTCATTCTCCGCCGAGTACACGATCTTCTCCGGCTTCAGCTTGCTGCACTCAAAGTGCAACTCCACGGAGTCAATAACAATGTCCAGGGCATTCAGGGTTATCTGGGTAGTGGGCTCCTTGACCTGCAAGGCAATCAGTCAATGTCAGTAACCGTTAGGTGAGGAACCCGAGCCCCAAAAACCAAAAAACCAGTAAGCAGAAACAGTTAACCATAAACGAGAAGAATGGGCAGAATCCACAAACAGTTACTTCAAGGTCGTAGAAATGCGGCTTTCTTGGCTTTGTTGTGGGTTTCCGGCTTAAGCCAGACAACTAAAGCGGTCGAAAACGAGTTTTTGGCGAAATTTATACACTGTTCAAGAAAGGATCCAACCAATTGAAAGTCTAACTTATAAACAAATGGTAATATTATTCGTCAGCCGTCTTATCAGATTAATCAAGTTTCTGTTAAACGCCAGCATTTGAGATTTACATAAACCTGCAGTTTTAACCACTTTTTTGTTGTTGGTAAATATGAATTATCAAGCTATAACAGAAAATATTTTCTGTTAATGGGAAACTTATCGTAAAATAAAAAATGATGATGCTATTTTGTTGGAAAGATGGATATGGCTTATTAAATAATAACCAGTTTTAACCACTTTATTTTGTTGGTAAATAGGAATTATCAAGCTATAACACAAATTATTTTCTGTTAATGGGAAACTTATCGTGTAATAAAAAATGATGATGCTATTTTGTTGGAAAGATTAAAAATAGATTATTAAATAATAAAATAGCTTCTATAGCTCAGATTAAAATACCAACATATCTACTACTTAAAGCGGTGAGGTAAGCTAATAGTATTAGGGGACAGTCAGCTTTAAAGGGTAAGTAATTTTTTTTACCGATATCTTTCCCTAGGGTATCCAAATAGCGACCTAGTCAAACTTATCATTTCCGCCGTTGACGCAAACGAAACGTAAACAATATCCACCGTTATGAGCTGCGTTTGCAAAAAGAGATTGTCTCGAATAAATTTTGCGCGGTACCCTCGAGTGCCAAAGCCAAACCGCCAGTCATTCCTTCTGCCGACAAAGAAATCGCAAATCGCATTTCCTAGTGGGAGTACTTATATCTATATGTGTTCATCAGTTCGAGTGTTTGCTTGCATGCAAATTGCAGCATAAAGAGAAATGTTTACAAGGAGAATGTCCAATCTTAAATATTTTTGAACACGTCAGAGGAAAAAGTTCACACAATAAGGCGCAGAAAATAACAACAATGCGGGGAAAGTGAAAGTGGCTGGAGAAGTGAGAAATGGAAAGAGACAGACGAAAACAGTCCCAACTCCCTAACTCAAACCATTGAATACTTGTTGAACACTTTTTGACAATGTTTTAAAATGGTAAATTAACAAGTTTATAAGGTTTACCTGAGTTTTATGTATGTAGTATGTTTAAAGAACCCTTTTTATACTCACATTGACTTGCACTATGGTCTTGCCCTTAAAGGTAAACTGCTCGAGATTGGGCTGCAGCAGGAGTTCGTAGTGACGCGGAACCACATTGGTGGGCAATCGCTCAAACTTTGGCTTCTGGGCCATTTTTTGCTCCTGCTCCAGTTGCTCCTCCTTGCCAAGTAACTGCGATTGCTGGTGTGCTCGCCGAATTTGCTGGTGATTGCACCCTGGATGATGGCGATCCTGACCGGGAACCACGTCAGCCGATGTGTGAGCTAAGATGGCACGATACTGGCTACACAGATCCCCCAATAGAGGGGCGTCACTACTTTTCAGAGGAGCTCCAAGCGAAACAGAAGAGTAATCCCTGTAGAACTGCTTCTGCACCTTGACAAATTGCTTCGATGAGATAAGCGCGTTGAGGTGGCCGCTTTCTGCTCGGAAAAGTGGGTTTAGTTGGGTCTTATCTGCTGCACTTCTTGTGAGCAAGTTAACCAGGGGGTTATTTTGACTCCGATAATGGTTAGCAACAATATTGCAGTTGTCGTGGAAGGAGCTGTTGGTGTTGTTGTTATCGCCAGGCGTTTTTAGTAGCAATAAAGGGTTGTGGGTGGCAGGGAAATAGCAACACTGGATATATCTGGCAGCTGGAAGAGGGAATAATCTGGTTAGCACTGGGATAGCACACAAAAAATTTAAGCGTGAATTGCACTGATAAGCGTTGTTATTTGATTAGCTATCGTTTTCTTTTTTGGGAGGGGCGGGGGCAACTCAAACCTTCGCACAAATGTTGCTCGAAATCGGAGTTTGCCTTGGCCAAATCCAAGTTGAGTTTGCCCAGTTCTGCAAGCACAATTTTACTATCTATTAGTTACCGAAAACCCGAAATTTGGCGGAGGAAACAATATGCGGCGGCGAACAACACGCTTCGAGTGGCCCACTTGGAAGCTGGAACGACTGGAAGCGGGCCGCTCGACCGCAGATCAGCTGTTTTTATGTCGCCCACGCAACGCGCTAAATGCCAAGACCTAACTAAAAACCGTTGTATAACTACCGTTTTTTAGCTTCCAAGCCTGTTTGGCCGTCCGAATGCCACCTTTCAGTGCATTTTTGTACATGACTTACGCCAACAAAAAACCAAAATAAATATAAAAAACACAAGCAGTGCAACTCTACAGCAGATTTTGTGTGTTAAAAGTGGGGCGCTTACCAACACGGTCGCTGCAGTTCCAGCCGTTATTTTTGGTTTGAAAATGTGATTTTTGCATATATATATAGTACCAGAATTAAAATTTTTTTGGTACAAACAGAAGTAATTTTGGCTTGTGATTGTTAGAGCAGAAGCAAGGTGATAAAGAAAATAGGTTGTATTGTTTTGTTTGTATTCACATAGAAAAACGTAACAGCTGCACATAAACTAAGGCCAAAGAAAAAATACCCAAGACAAATTTTTATAAAGAGAATTTCTTTGAATAAATATGTTTTTTTAATTTCCAATAAACTCTATCAAAACCTATCGACTATTGGCTAGTGCTGCAAGCTGTTGCCATTGAACACCTTTCCAGCACTGGGCCGACGACGGAGCCTCTGATCAAATCAAGTGGACTTCAAATTTAGTTTTAAAAACTGTTCGGATCGAGAGGTCGTTACGGGGTTTCGCGGCGCGTTCTTGAAACCCATTCGATATTCCGTAAAAACAGCTCGCTGTTTTTTAGACTCCTTCCCTAGCACATCCCCAATCCGTTGGCCAATAAACGGTAACCGCTGCAGTCAAGTCCGGCGACCTAACCATAAATCCAGGCGGTTGTGCAATCAAAGGTGTCCGTAAGCCATAATACTGCCTCATAATGATCCGGATACGCAACGGGTTGGAAATGCTGCTAATATTATTCCTCGCCACCTGCCTGCTGACTCCTGCCCATGGAACGCCTCTGGAGTGGGGTAAGATGACCGTCTTCCAGCGGGTGGAAGTGAACAGTTAATACCAGATGGGATGTCCCTCTGGCAACCCTGTTGCCTAACCTTCATTCTCTGTGGGGGGTACAATTAGAAATCAATTCGACATAAACAAATGCAGCCAGTAGGTCTTATGTAATCGCTTGACACTTGGTCGTAGCATATATTGAAGAGTGTGCGTGAGGGTGTTCGCTATCAGCTGACTATCGGAGCTGCCCCGCTCCAATAGCGTTTCTTTTATCTCCTTTATCAGCGGCAAGAGGCGCTTTGCTATCAATGCACACGTCGCTGATAACAAAAACTAATAGCTAAGTTCTAATGTATGATATTTCATTATTGGTCATTATATTGTTGTTGCACTTTCCCCTGGAAAGGTTACTGTACGCTCGCTCTCTTTGGCTCTCTCTTTTTTTTGGCTCAACGTGGCCGGCCCAAAACAACTGTAAAATACAGTTAAACTTCTAAATAACCAAAACCTCAAACTGGAAAAACCTCTGACCATTGTGTGAAGGGGAAAATTGGAACTCGAATTCGGTTTTATCTCTTAACAGGGAAATTCTGTGGGGAATAAATCTTAATATTCTGCAGAAGGATGGTTCATCAGCAGCTTCACTCACTGTATTCGGCATTTGCCACCACGCTAGCGGCCATGTGGCTCATTTACTTTGTCACGTATGCCACAAAATCGAGTTGCCGGTTTGTTTAGATTTCGGTGATTGTTGTTGCGATTTCTTGAATTTCATTCGGTTTTTAGTTTCAGTTAAAGTCCAAGACCGAAAAGCTGACAAGTAAATTTTTTTATGTCATAAACTGAAACCTTTCGAGGAATTTATGAATTCATACATGAAACAGTAGATCCATTTAATTCCTTCTAATCGGGCAAACACAGATTGCTTTAGAAAATAAACCCAGAAAGCATACATATTATGTAAATAAGTGCACAGCTAATCATCTAGAAACCCGATCTTGGCATATGAATGAACAGTAAATCAAGATCAGCGCACGTGGGAACTATGGTGTACTTTTCCCCGGCATTCCATTAACACTTGCCCGGTTCATTATTAGATAATGTTAATGGGTGGAAATCGCAGCGTGACGCACAAAAATCGAAACTCTTTATTATATATGTAGGTATTCCAGAAGATATCGCTTATTTCATGAGTTATAACGTGTAGGCCGTAAGAATGTTGACCGTTGCTTTATCAGGCATTTTATTTGGTCGACTGTATTAAATTTCGATCACTTCAGTTGCAGTCAAGAAATTCTCATTGAAGAACTTTTATTGGTTAAAATAAAACCTTTTGCTACTCAATGGGTCGAATTTAAAATATCATTAAACATACTACTTTAAGTTTTATAAGCTCCAAAGAATATCATTATTGCTTTGGTCTAGATGAAGTCACAATATCCTAATTATTAGTAGGCTTTAGTAAGTCTCCTGACCATGCTTTAAACTTGAAATCGATTCCCGCCAAAGTTCCACCAATGAACATTATTATATTTTGCCAATTTAGCATTTTCTGCATCGATAAAAACGTTGACCTCAAACCAGAAGCGTGGAGGCCGACGGAAAGGTTCGTTCGCAACTGCGTTTCGAGTGGTAAATGCTGGCTGGACTATAGTTTTTGCGGCTCTTTTTTACAACCATCGATAATTGGCCAGCTTTCGGATACATATGCATGAATCATAAATTACCAATAGCTTTATTTTTATAATAACCACTAAAATTGAGTAGATATTATCTGAATCAAAGCTTTAAAACTAGGATTTTCTCGAACAAGATTGAGTGAGAGGCAATGCCCATTAGTCAAGTTAACTTGGGGTTAAACAAGTTTGTCTAATATCTAGGTATCTGTTATGCTGTTTTTTGTGGCCATTTGATTTCTTACACCGTTGGTGACCTAGAAAGATTTTTTGACAAAATGCTTGGGCCAATGACCACATCTTAAATGATGGATTATCGATCTGATGGGGTTCATTGCTTGAGGAACTGTGAAAGTAAAGCCTTGATTTAATAAAATCCAAGCCGGAACTGCTGCCATTTCGTTTTCTGTTCCGCAAGCTGCAGTTTTCCCATTTCCGTGCGAGGAGAATGGAAAAAGCCAGTCAGGATTGTTTTTATTATTTGTTTGCATGACGGCAGGTGTCGCATTTGCTCACCTGCCTGGCTAATTAAACAAATGACACGCCCCCAGAACGTTGGCAACTGGTTCTTGATCTCGTTTGGGTTATAAAAAACAGAGGGGAACGAAAAACGAATTCAGATTTTGGAACGGAATCACCACCATTTACCGCTTATCAAATCTTGTCACCATTTTATTTTGCACACCGCCATGTTTTTGTGTACAAATTTCAAGGTTAATATAGATTAGGGGATTGATTCTTGGATCAATTTAATATTGCCTTATCCTTATTTCTATAATAAATAATTTATTGTTTATGTAATGCATACAAGTAAATTTTTTATTTCCTCGAAAATAATTCAGTTTTGCATTTAAGGCGCTAATAAAAAGTTCATTTATTTCATTAATACTTTGTCGATGAGCTGATTTATGTCTCAGTTTCAGGTATTTTAGGGTCCTTTAAGTCAGTCAGTTTATTCTGATTAAAGTCTTATAACAGACCAGAAATAACCTTGAATACCACTAATAGGTAATTAACATTGACTTTGCGTGTCGCAACGTTTGACATTACCTATCAAGGGATTTCCCTGGGGCTTTCACAGGTTGACGTCTTTGGGTCCTCGTCGCCTGTTGACTAATTTACAACGTCTTATCAGTCTAGACCTTAGACACATTTTCAGTTTTGATGTTTTGAAAATATATCATTTTTCGATCTAGGCGATGCCGCATTAAATAATCAATTAATAATAATAAAACGCAATTCAGTCAGAATTCACTACTGAATGTTGTTGCAAAATTCAATTCGCGTCGCAATTTCCACAAATGGAAGAGCTTGATTGGAATTCGCGACACTTTTGGCAAATTTAATGACGAACGACAGGGGCTCGAGAATTTGGAAGCCTTTTGATTGGGCTTAATTTCCGCACACAAATCAATGCCCTTAGTGTTTTTCTTATCGATATAGTCAAGTGATGCGTTAGAGCACATTGGACAATCCATAGAAGCCTTCTAGAAACTGTGTTGACAAACCAAAGTTTTTCACATTCAGACTGAACGATATCGGATTTTTGATTAGATTACTTTGATAAATAAATTTTTTGTTTATATACATAAACTGCAAGAAGCATTAACTATGATTAATGATTAAAAGGTAGGGGAAACTATCACGTAGTTGTCATTTCAATGATCGGTAGATAAATAAGGCTTTGTTTCTTTAATTAAGCCTCCTGAACTATTAATAAAATTCAGCATAGCCTATAATTGAACCCAAGTTTGAAGATTTCGAAGATTTATTAAACACTTCTTATTTCTTGTACTATTTCAGATTTCGCAGTAACGCTGAGGTCGAAGATCCAGTTTATGGACAGCTCCTGGCAAACAATAGCCACGGCTGCCCACGAGTTCGATGAACTTTCCGCCCTAACATTTGATGAGTCCGAGGAACTAATCTACTTCAATGACCTGAAGCACCAGAACGGCAGCATATTCTCTCTAAAAAGGGATCTTCTATCCGCTTCCCACGTGGTGGAGCAGACAATTGCACGCACGGGCAATGAATCTGTGGGAGGATTGGCCTACGATCCGTTGAACATGAACCTCTTCTGGTCGGATACGCAGCAAAGGAAGATCTTCTTCGCCCCCATCCACGGCTCTGCGCCGCCCAAAGTTTTGGTAGATCTCAGCGCGGAGGGGGAAGGCCGGACGGTGTGGCTGTCGATGTGTGCCGTCGGAAGCTGTATTGGACCAACTCGAACATTACGCATCCCACGGTGGAGCGGATAAATCTGGATGGTAGCAACAGAACCGTGATCATCGACACCAAAATCGACATGCCAAGGGGAATCGTTGTGGACCAATTGTCAGATCGGCTTTTCTGGATCGACGACCTCAAGGGTGTGTTTTTTGCAGTGGAGAGCTCAAGGCTGGACGGCTCCGATCGCCAGGTGGTGCTGAAGGACAAGCACCACGAACCCTTGAATCTGGCTGTGACCAACAATGCGATTTACTGGACAGACCGGACAACAAAAACGGTCTGGAGTCATCCGAAAGTGCCGGTGGTCAAGGTTACCACTACTAGCAAGCCGGAGGTCGAGGAGGATTCCACAGATCCGACGGTGGAAAAGCCTGAAAGTGATCCAGAGCCGGTGCCAGAGGACTGTCCGCTGGTTCGTGTGGCCAATCTCAGCGAAGAAGCCCGAGGCATTGTGGCCCGAACTGGTTTTTATCAGAGACTCCAAAAGGACCACCACTGCGCCAGCATTGTGCGCAAGGTGAAGGAGCGCTTGGATGAGCAGAGCACGAAGATGGAAATACGCAGCCTGCTGGATCAGAAGGTGAAGATACTGGAGAACGAGCGCTGCATGAACGGAGGCGAATACAAGTCGGCCACTGATCTGTGCATCTGTCCCACGGGCTACAAGGGATCTCGATGCGAAATACGCGAGTGCCACAACTACTGCGTTCACGGCACCTGTCAGATGTCCGAAATGGCCTACCCCAAGTGCTACTGCCAGCCAGGATTCACGGGCGAACGCTGCGAGGTTAGCATGTGCTCAGGACTGTGCCTCAATGGCGGTCACTGTCGGGTGTCCAAAGACGAGAAGGAACCACCCAGCTGCGAGTGTACTTCCAAGTTTGGAGGCGCTCGCTGCGAGCAGAACTCCACGGAAATCTGCTCCCTATTCTGCCGTCTACTGAAGCACGAGCCGGAGATCTATGTGCCCTTCGGCTGCCACAGCATGTAAGTCATCTAGTTTAATCCCTTCCAAAGGAGCTTCAACTAATTTTCACTTTTCTATCTTCTAGTTGCGAAGAACTGGCTCAGGCCAACAGCACCCAAATCGCCGTTCCGCAGTACACACACTTGGAGGTCTGCATCACGCCCAAAGTTTGGACCGGCAGCGTAATCATCATCCTGGTCGTAGGCATCGTTTGCAGCTTGCTTCTTGTGGCCGTGATCGTCCACGGAATCCGTCGACTGTACAAGCCCAAGAGGCCACGCATCAGGAAGACGTTTGTGGTGCGCAAGCAGGCCAGAACCAATTCGGCAGGAGACACACCGCTGACCAACCGTCCACTGGCCACTGAGCAGTGCGAGATCACGATAGAGAACTGTTGCAACATGAACATCTGCGAAACGGTAAAGCTCTATATTTACCTTTCTAATTCCTTTTAAACCAATATTAAAAACTTATGTTGTTTTGCAGCCCTGTTTCGATCCCAAGCTGGTGGAGCAGACGCTGTCCAAGTCCAGTTGCAAGGAAGACAAGAAGATACTCATCCACAATATGGAGGATGACCTGTACTAGGGCGCAGAAGACTGATAACAACCTGCCCCCTAAAAACAGAACCTTGTGATAGTCGTCGTCGAGTGCGGACTGTGGTATTCGAGCTTGAAAAGCTGCTGCCCGCCCGGCCCTCGACCCCGTTTGCCGGCAAGGTGCTCACCCAAAACAACCAGCAACCGCAAATCATTGCAACATGCACCATGCAACACCTGCAGCAACAGCAACTTAAAACTGAAGAGCCTGGGACACTTAAACAAACCATTTACTCAAGCCGAAGCAACATGTTGTACTTAGCGATCCTTCGGTCTCGTTAATTTATTCGTAGGATCATTTCATCCCAGGGTTAGGATTTTTAGCTCAAAGCTTCATCAAAATTTTTGAGTTTTATTTTTTGATTTTTATTAACTTTATTTTGGTTTTAAATTTGAATTCATATTGAAATGAAAGCAAGTCGCGCGACTGACATTAGCTTTAAAAACGAAATACGCACGGATACAAAGAGCCTGTAGATCGTAAGCTGAGACAAAGACCATTGTGATTGTGATTACTTACACCTAAGCTGTTGTAATTAACCCTTTCCAAGTGAGTCATTGTTCAAGTTCCTGCTCCCCCCACTTGTTGTAAAAAAAGAGAAACAAACAATAGATACAATTCGTCGCCCCAACTAAAACGCAATTCTTGCCTCATTAGATAATCCCGTCACCATCAACACCATCGTGCACTACTTAAGAAACGTCATAGAAAAAGACCCGAAAAACAGTGGGGAAAACTCTGCCAGAAAGATCGAGAGTTGTAAATATTAATGAATAGTTTAATTTTAGTTGTAGTCCTTAAGTAAAGGGTTGAATAAAGAAAGACTTCACGCAATTGAAAATTTAAGAGGGCTTACTTGCTTTTTACCAGCACCATTAATGTCAAGATTGGCATTATTCACTATAGCATTTAAATAAGATTTACTTATTTAATTAATCTATTTCTTTTCTTTTCATTTCATTTTTTTATTTTAATCTACGTCAGTCTTTTAGTGGGGTGCGATCAATCGGGGGACTTTTTCAAAACTAAGGAAAAGATGTGTCACAGTATTATCACAATCCTATTATAAAATACTAAAAAAATTATGGTACTTTGGTGGTACCCATTAATTTAAATTAAAATACTTTTTTTTAACCTTTTGTATTAAAACACGTACTCAGATAAACTTAAAACGATTTCGAAAAACAATTTCGCTCAAATTGTTTTCAATTTAGCTTTTAGCTATTTTAGCGTTTAAATAGACAACAATATCGATAGCCGAAAGAAATAATCGATGCTTAAGAAAGTGAAAAACCATAGACCGATAGTGTCATCACTATTTCGTATCCATCTTGACAAATTTTTTGCAATAAATACACCAAAAAAGTTAACAAATATCAGCATTACGGATAACAAATCACCACAAAAATATCTGGAAAACAACGAGCATGGTTAGTAGCATGGAAAACAAATGGAGGTTCATTGGAGGAGAGAGTTTTCTATCTGTTTTGACATCGCGTGTGTGGACAGCCTGTGAAATTTGCGCATTTTTTCAGTACCACGACAGTGGCGTTACAGTGAGCGGTTTCAGGGGGCAGAAGTGTGTTCAGGGGACCGAAATTCTGTAAGGGGGACGGCGCGTGAGTGCGGCGGGGCGACAGAAACCGGGGAGCACCCCAGTGACCTTGCCTCTATTTGGCACTGATACGTCACAGTTGTGAACCCCTGTGGAGTGTGTATCTATTAGAATTAACACCACGCGCTCGCACCTCCGAGATCGACTGTATGGTGGTACAGCCCTTTGGCCGCATAATCGAAATTTATCTTAGGAACATGAACATATGGTGCTGACTGTTTTGTTTTAACTCAAGCCGGGTTGGCTTTACCACTTTCATAAAGTTAAAAATAAAAAAATCTAGACTACTTTAAGGAAAGCTATTAAGCTAAGTGATTGTATTATACCCGAGGGTATTTTAGAATTATTTTAATGTAAATTATTAGTTGATTATTAGTTAATATATCAATCACAAAAAAGCCGAACCTTTATGGTGTGGCTTGGTTTATGAAATAACTGGAAATTATTGAACCCTGTGAGTAAGAAAATTATAAAAGGAACCTTTTCTTTTTACAGGGCAGCAACGACAGAGCATCGAGATCGCCGCGTTCAGATGATCAGCGAGAGATCAGCGATATGCCGGTCACGAAAAGATCGCGCTCCGACTCGGGTGAGTTTCACAGCTGTCCGTCTATAAATAACTATGTATGATGGAATGATTACCGTGGCGATCAGCACATCGCCCCCAAAGAACATGTTGTGTATGTCTGAGAATGAGCTTGGCACATAGGTTAAGCAGCAAATCAACAAAGGAGCCGGCCAAATTGAATTGTATTTTTTGGTTGTCCAAGCATAAAAACATAAGCACATCTTATATTTTCTCTCCTACTTGTACTTGTACTCTACTCTACTCTACTCCGTTGCATCTAAGGGCAGCACTGACGCCACTAAATAATCGGTTTTTCTTTTTGTTCTGCTTAAGTAATTGCAGACTTCATAAACGCACGATGAACTCGTAACTCAGACTGTGAGGTGTGAGGTGAGGTGAGAGTCAAACAAATCGATTTGAGAGTCAGTCTATCGCCAAAAATCGAAAAAGGCGCGATCCCCAGTCGATAAACGAACACACATATATGCAATGCTATATATAACGAAAGCCAAAGCGCAATGAAATGCGTATGCGTATTGTTCATAAAATCTAGGGCATCAGTGAGTCCTGAAAACGAACCGATACGAGTCGACGAATCGCCAGAACTAATCAAAAATGCATATATAACTATTATCTCTCTCTTTCTCTTTCTTCTATATCTCTTTTTTTTAGTTATCGTAAGCGTTTTTCTACCTTTTAAGTTTTTTCCGCCTAAGACTAAGTTTAATCGAGATCGAGGTTCGGGTATTCGAGATCGAGAGAGAGATGACCAATTAGATAACTCCACTACTACTCTACTACTACCAATCTACTACTACTACTACTACCAATCAGCCACAAAACAGCCCAACCAGAACATCGACATTAATCCGCTTCTAACCACCGCCACCACGTCGTCGCGTGCCGCCAGCCGGGGGACTGATCCGGATACCGATCCTGATCCTGATCCTGATTCTGATTCTGGCTCCGGTCCTGTCCTGGTTGCATTTACATTAAGTACCAATGATTTTGTGTTTTGCCATAGCTAGTTCAGCCGTCAATCGACCGTCCGTCCTGTGAAATCCGAGTGTGAAGTATTTGGGGTACTGGAAACTCGCATAACCCATCGCCCGTCGATCGCCCGATCTTCCAGATCACCCATCCATCCGCATCTAGTAGCTTATTAACTTTTGACCCTCGAGTCGAGCTCTCGGCGAGCTTTGGTCATCGTAAAACCAATGCAATAAACGAAAGTAGTTAACAACTTTGTTGTAGGTAGGGCGGTAGAGAACCTAACCAACTTAAACATATTGTTGCTCTTATTATCGTTTCAGCGTCTTGTTTTCTTTTTTTTATTTTTCTCTTTTTATCACTGAGCAATGTAAAATGTGTGTGACCCTTCTTCAAGTCAGTTACCACGCCCCCAACTCATGGAAATCGAATACGAATACGAAAACCGCACCTAAGGTTGCTTATAATTTCTAATTTTTATATACTACTCGTCAGAGCTGAGCACACACGAGGAGATCGGCTTATCCCCGAAGAGCGCAGCTCGCATATTTCCTTTCCAGAGGGGATTCCCCGGATGTCCTGCTGTGTGCCCAGTTCGCAATCTCCCGCCCACAATCGGATGTGTGTCGGCGGATGGAATTTTGATTTGATACGCATACACATTACTCGACACATTACCTCCTATTTATAGATTATATTATATTAATACAATATCCACACTTGCATCACATACACTACGTATATCAATCAATTGCCTATCGATAAGCGAATATGTTTTATTTGACGGGAGCTTTCTCTTTTTATTCTTGCATTTTCCAGCCTTGACAAATAAATGACAAAAACTCAAGCCCCTCTGCATAAACGATAGACTCATAAGACTCTCATCCAACGCAAAACAAACAAAAGCGAAAGCATTAACCTTAAGTATCCAATTATCAATAATCGTGACAATTTTACCGATTGCCCATCGATGGCGCGCGCTACAAAAACCCAACCGATCCGCTTGAGGAGCCACCGGCGGCGGCCTCTATATGATTAACAATTTGTTTTCTTATTTTTTTTTTTTTTGTCTTCATCTTTCTTGCAGGCAGCAGGCAGTTTTTGTCTTTATTTAAGCGGTTTCAAACGCAATCTCTTGACCAATTTGTCTGTCCCACTTTTGCCTTCGGAAACAGACAGAAAGAAAACAAAAAACAAAATCAAAAATTGAAAGAAAACCAAACAAGTCAAATGAAAAGTCGAATCGAGTCCCAAACAAATTGCATAGCTGATGATCAACTGAAACTGAACTCCCCACTTTCCCAGTATGAGATGCACTAATCCCTCTTCCCAATTCTAGGCAAGTCCACGGATTCGAAAATTCCCTACCTTTCGCAGCCGTTGTACGATCTCAAGCAGACGGGCGATGTCAAGTTCGGTCCGGGCACCCGTTCGGCGCTTCTTGGCCTGCTTGGAGGCGCCCTGCCCAAGCTCTCGTCGGAGCAGCACGACCTGGTCAGCAAGGCTAAGAAATACGCCATGGAGCAGAGCATCAAGATGGTGCTCATGAAGCAAACGCTGGCACACCAGCAGCAGCAGTTGGCCACTCAACGCACTCAGGTTCAGAGGCAGCAGGCTTTGGCCCTCATGTGCAGGTAATTAAGTTTTTAATGGATATAGGGAGACAGATTTTCTGTGGAAATGATGCAGACCGTATATAATCCTGGCGAAGATTGGTTCCCTCTTCTGCAGCTCCGCGTTACTGGAGGCAGTTGCTGTAGTTCCTTTCACTGTGCCCTCTTAGCTGATAAGATCTGACTCCTAAACCCATCAAACTATTTCATTTTACCTTTATTGAGAGCTCGTCAACTAAAAACCTTTCCCTTTCAGAGTCTACGTGGGCAGCATTTCATTTGAACTCAAGGAAGATACCATTCGCGTGGCCTTTACGCCGTTTGGCCCCATCAAATCGATCAACATGTCCTGGGATCCCATCACGCAGAAGCACAAGGGATTCGCCTTCGTGGAGTACGAGATACCCGAGGGCGCCCAGTTGGCGTTGGAGCAGATGAACGGAGCCCTGATGGGCGGCAGGAACATCAAGGTTGGCCGACCCAGCAACATGCCACAGGCCCAGCAGGTGATCGATGAGGTGCAGGAGGAGGCCAAGAGCTTTAACCGCATCTACGTGGCTTCCATTCATCCCGATTTGTCTGAGGAGGACATTAAGAGCGTCTTCGAGGCCTTCGGACCGATACTTTACTGCAAGCTAGCCCAGGGCACCTCACTGCACACGCACAAGGGATACGGCTTCATCGAGTATGCCAACAAACAGGCCATGGACGAGGCCATTGCCAGCATGAATCTCTTTGATCTGGGTGGACAGTTACTGAGGTGAGTGGGTTGCACCTTGATGAGTACAATATAATGATTTCACTAATGAATCTCTTGCAGAGTGGGTCGCTCTATTACCCCGCCGAATGCCCTCGCCTGTCCCACAACGAACTCCACAATGCCCACGGCCGCGGCAGTGGCAGCAGCGGCGGCGACGGCCAAGATCCAGGCTTTGGATGCCGTGGCCAGCAATGCAGTGTTGGGCTTGTCCCAGAACACGCCCGTCATGGCAGCCGGAGCGGTGGTAACCAAGGTGGGCGCCATGCCGGTTGTTTCGGCAGCCACATCAGCGGCTGCCCTGCATCCTGCTCTGGCTCAAGCGGCGCCTGCCCTTCTCCCGCCCGGAATATTCCAGGCACCCACTCCAGTGGCTCCCAGTTTGCTGGGCGTTCCAGCCGGCTTGCAGCCCCTTCAGACGGTGGTGCCTACTCTTCCGCCACCAGCTCTTCTGGCCACGCCCACTATGCCCATGACTGTCGGAGGCGTTGGTGTGGGAATCGTGCCCACAGTGGCCGCTTTGACGGGCGTGGAGGCCAGCAATGGAGCCGCGGCTGCTGCCGCACTCTCGTCAGCTGCGAATAATGCCGCTGTCACGGCAGCAAGCCTTTCAGAGAACATCAAGAAGGCGCACGAGAAGCAGCAGGAGGAGCTGCAAAAGAAACTGATGGACGAGGGCGATGTGCAGACGCTGCAGCAGCAGGAAAACATGTCCATCAAAGGCCAGAGCGCCCGGCAGCTGGTGATGCAGCGGTTAATGCGGCCAGTGGAGTCACGGGTAATCATCCTGCGAAACATGGTTGGTCCCGAGGATGTGGACGAGACCCTGCAGGAGGAAATCCAGGAAGAGTGCAGTAAATTCGGCACCGTTAGTCGGGTAATCATCTTTAACGAGAAGCAAACAGAAAACGAGGACGACGATGAGGCGGAGATCATTGTAAAGATCTTTGTAGAGTTCTCGGCAGGAGTGGAGGCGATGCGAGGAAAGGAAGCACTCGACGGAAGATTCTTTGGCGGCCGGAAAGTTGTGGCCGAGCTTTACGATCAGGGCATCTTCGATCAGGGAGATCTGTCCGGCTAGAAGGGAGAACTGGGTCCAAAAATGCGATACCTTTGTCTCCCGACCTTTGTTCTGTCATTTTTTTACGTAGCACTTAAAATGCAAAACGATAAAAGTTTATTTATTACGCCAGTCCGCAAACGATTGACCATATTGTTTAGCGGCGCGGCAGCTAGATTGCGATTATGATTATGATTGAGATGATTCTGCAACGCAGTGATTTAGGTTTAAAGAAAAAGATCCTTGTAGCGAGGAGAGAGCGATTCTCTGTGTTTTTGTATTATGGCTTGCCCTCGGAGCACAGAAAACCACAAAAATGAAAACCCAAACAAACACACAACGCAAACTAACAACATGTACATTTACATTTGACTAATTTCAGCGCTTAACTTACAAAATAAATATTAGTTTCCCAATTAAAAGGCCGATGTTTTGCTTTTATGAATGTTTTAGTTATTGGCAAAAAATTGAGGACCACAGAAAGTGTAAATTTTTATTGAATGAGTGCATTAACCATGTGATCATCTAAGTAATACAAATTGTTTACAAGAAGGTGAAAATTATTTTTTTGAAGTTGGCGCCTATTTAAGCGTTTTGCAGCACTACCTAAATAAGTGCGGTATGTTTCTGAACACAAATGGTATAATTTGGTATATTTTTATGCCTACCTCTTTAAGGAAAGCAAAAAGAGCTGAATAAAAAATCGATAGTGCTTGGACATCGATATTGTTTAATGATAATCGGTCTCATTCCATCACTAGAAGAAAATAGAAATCAAAATAATGAAGTGATTTCCATAAGAAAAACGCGAATTTGCTGGAAAAACAAATAGCATTTGCTGGCTCTCGAGTGCCGCGGCTAACGGGAAAACGCTGCGCAATTGCGGAATAAAAGATAACTTTTCGCAAACTCGCTGGCAAACAAAGACTGAGCAGCAGTGGCAGGAGGAAAGCAAGCAAAGACAAAAGCAAAGTCAACGCAAAGACAAGCGCAAGGGAACAACAGCGAGGGATTTTTTGGAGGCTGCTTGGGGCGACATTAAAAAAAAAAAGGTACAGAAAGCATGGAGTTCTCCGGGATTGGTCTGATTGGATTATAGTTTAAAATATCCACACAGCTGTCCGCAGTTGTTTGTTTAACGTTAGAGTTCCGTATTATTCAGGTTTTTCTGATAAGCCAGACAGACTGACGCTTTTTCGATTACTATTTTGTTGTCTTGTGCTTTTTTTTAATAACTACGCAACCACACATGCATCCAGTTTGTTTGTTGGCATTCTATATACACATACATATATATTTATTTGTGATATGTGATATATGTATGTATGAGATCGGCGGAACTTGAGTTTGTCTATTGTGCATATACACACAAGGTATAGGCTTGTACTTGGTTTAATTTTGGACTTCGATTTAAGATGTATTTAATCTTTTTATACCTTACTCACCTGGTTAATTGGATGCCCTCTGATGTTGTTATTGATTATGTAACGCTATAGCTATCGGAAGCCAAAAACTGAAAACAGATTAGACAAAGGGCACGTGCCGGACAAGATTGGCTAGTCATTTAACGCAATTTAAATCTCAAAAGTTTGTAGCTGATTCCAATGTTTTCAAGCCAACCTTCCAAACCCAAAAAAATGAAATATGACATGATAAGTCTGGAATTTATTTTATAAACACGCCGTTCTAATCTTAAATTTTCTAGGAATGTAAGTTAAGTGTAGGGTTTTGTTTTATCAATTGTTTATAATTTTGTAAGCTTGGTTTAGATTAACATTTAAAATCAAATCACTATTTTTAATCAAATAACTCCTTTGGGAATAATTTTAAAACTAAAAAAATTCGTAATTGAGTAATTGATTAGATTTTCTAAAAAACCTCAATAAATAAACAAAAAAAAAAAAACAGTTTAAAATTTAATTTAAAAATTATGTCAAGTGAAATATGCAAAAACAAATAAATATATTGTAAATTAATTTTTGATTTCCTAACTTATAAGAATAGACTTTTTTAATAAAGCGTAAATAATTATTAGTTGCTTCAAGCTATGATGAAATACACAATTCAAGTCAAGTTTTCGATGAATCACAATTCTATCAACTCACTTTGTTTCAGACAAAACATACACCATTGAGGCACCAGTGGCTGAGCATAAAAACAGCAGCTCGAAGATGAGCTGCAAGGTGCGGCTGATGGAGGATGGCTCGCTGGACGAGGAGCCGCTGACCCTCAAAGAGATTGCCTACCAGAAGCTGTGCAACAACCTCGACATAATCAGCAGCCTTTGCCCCGAAGGCCAAAGATGCCTTAATCCCGGCATCGTCCTGCCCAACGAGATATGCGATGGATTCCTTGAGAACTACCAGCGGTTCAATCGCCCCCTGGACGACAGCGTCATCAGTCTCTTTAGGGACACACAGCGTACTTCGCTCAAGATCGTCAATTTGCGCAACAGCACGCTAAGCAGTACCGGTAGGATATGTTCTTTTTATAGATAACTCTTTGAATTAAAATGGTATATTGCTCCATAAAGTTTGGAAACATTCACTTTAACCTATCACACATTTCCAAACGATTTAGAAAAATAATTTCTCATCATGGTTTAACTCAATGTACCCTCTTCGTTATATTTAAAACTTTTTCTTTGGGAGTCTTTCATAACATTTTTTAATTGCAGGTCTGGAGACCCTGATGCGACACAAGCTTTTCGCCCTGTCCATGTGGTACTGCGATATGATAACCGTGGGATCTCACCACCTGCTGGCCCACTACGGCGACAGCCTGCGCTCCCTGGAGCTGGGGATCAGCTCGCATCTGCTGCAGTACGCCGAGCCCAAGGAGAAGGACCCGGTGGACTTTCAGCTCACCTGCCCCCACCTGCGGCGGTTAGTGCTCAACGGTGTGGTGATGCACCATCGGCTGCAGTTCGCCCACCTGCACGACTTGGGCCATCTGGATCTAACCTCCTGCGTGTTGGCCAACTTCAGCCTGGAGGCACTGGTGTCGCTGCCCAATCTGCACACTCTAATTCTGTTTAATGTGTGGCCAATTGCCAATCAGCTGCATGCGATATGCTGTCTGAGGCGTCTGTGTACGCTGGACATATCCATCTCCAGTTCTGGAAATGGTCATGGCACATATGATCTGCCTGATCAAACGCTGGAGATGCTCATGGATAATCTGCGGCACCTCACACATTTGGATATCTCGGGAACGAATTTGGCCGGCAATGGAGTGGCCACCAAGGAGTCCACAAGCACCAGTGGCTCGCAGTCCAATATAAAGGTGGAGCAGCCATTTTCCCTCACCGACATCCCGGGATTGGCTTCCCGTACCCAGCGACCGTTGCAGTTCCTTGGACTCTATCACACGGCTCACTGGGCCTGCAAAAGACACGATATTCCAGCTCTCGAGGTGGCTGGAGATGCCAATGAGCAGCAAATCCTCACCGCAGCACGGTATTATCACGACAGACCAGTGCTTTTGACAAGGGTGAGTCTGGAAGTTTGTTTGCACCAGCTGGGATGTTTTACTTAATTTCCCTTCGTTAGGTACTCAACGATCTGTACCATCTGTTTCGGTTCGAGAACTGCAAGGACATACACACAGCACTGGATGTTGTACTCTCCGCAATGGATCGACATCTTAGGTTCAAGCACATGCAAATATCGGGCAGGTTGGTCTTTAATATAAAATAATGTAATTTCTAAGATGTAATACTGTAAACTTCTCTCCTCAGTGCCACACTATTTTACATAGTCAAGGGCAGAGATCGCTCCAAGTTCGGAACGCAGCTGCGCAACCATCTTATTCGCACACTCCTCAATGGCATGGAGATGCATCTCACGGACGATACTATGCTCCGGAATGGTTACCTCACACTTACCCAGTTTCATATGCCCGTCGATGTGGTGAGAATGGCTTGACCTGTTGATCTTTTGAGTTTGGCTAAGTTTCTGGCTTTTTAGCTCTTTGAGTACGAGCGTCTCATCAAAATCTTGCTGCACGGCGTTTCCAAGACGGAGCAGGAAGGATTTGTTCAGCGCATAGCCATCTATCTGTTGAACACGCTCGCTTGCCAGGTGGATGGTCGACAAAAGCTCTTCCTGGGCGAATTGGGTGTCGTTAGTGTAAGTCTCATTTATTTGAATCCATCAAGTACCATTGTACCATTTAAAGATATCTGTGTTTGTAGACAATGCTGACGCTGATCAAGGATCGCCTGACTCGCTCCGTCTTCGACGATGTGATGGAGGTGGCCTGGTCCACCATGTGGAACGTAACCGATGAGACTGCTATTAATTGTAAGAGATTCCTCGATGGTCGCGGAATGGAATACTTCCTCAAGTGTTTACACGTAAGTTCAAAGGGGATATAGATCGAAGCCACTGTGTCATTGATGGTAAACTGTGGATGAAGGAGAGCTGAATACTTTTATTTGTCTGTCCAATTAGTGGAACTCTTCAAGTGCTGGAAAGAAAATATGTGAACTCCTTGGTTTTATGAAATAATAGGATACCATTTTGTATTCAAACCTATTCAAATGAACTGTCTTCTCTATAACAGACTTTTCCCGATCGCGACGAGCTGCTGCGAAATATGATGGGACTGCTGGGCAACGTGGCCGAGGTAAAGTGGCTGCGACCCAAGTTGATGACTCAGGAATTCATCGAGGTTTTCGCCCGCCTGCTGGACTCCCTGAGTGATGGCATCGAGGTGGGTGGTGCTAGTGCGAATTTGATGGCGAGAGTGCGGGAGAGAGAGATGGGCAGTGCTAACCATGCTAACCTGCGCTTCCAGGTCAGCTACAATGCGGCTGGAGTGCTGGCGCACATCGCCTCCGATGGAGCCGATGCCTGGACCATCAAGACGCCCAGCCGGGAGCACGTTTTGGAGCGCATGGTGTCCGCTATCCAGCGGTGGAACATCAAGAGCGAGCGGAATATCAACTACCGGAGCTTTGAGCCGATTCTAAGTCTGGTGCGCTGCTATGAGACGCCACAGTGCCAACATTGGGCAGTTTGGGCCCTGGCCAATCTGACGCAGGTGCGTATGCCACACCTTTCATCATCTCCAGAGTTTTGAAATATATTATCACTCTGATATTTTGCAGGTTTATCCTGAGAAATATTGCCAGCTGGTGGAGCAGGAGAATGGCATTCAGATCCTGAACGAGCTGATCGAGCACGAGAGTCCCTACTGCGAGATAAAGCGCATTGCCCGCCTGGTTATAGACCAGTGCGATTCCGGATCTGATCGCATGGTCGAGGGCTAAGAACATGTGTAGAATATAAAAACTAGCTGTAGGATTCGAGTTTGTTGTAATGTTTTTTTTCCGCTTCCTCTGTTCCCCGTTTTAAGGCAAGTGCAAGTGTTATATTGTTCAAGAGATTCCTTCCTTGCCTTTTATGTTTAGTGCAAAAACAGCAGATAGATGCAAGTATAAGCTACTCGAGAAATAAGCAAAAATAATTGATAATTACATAATTGCTAGACGATGTATCACATGTTGTAAGCCAGCGATCTTTTTCGGCCGTCAGAAGTGTAAATATTGTTAATACCGGAAAGAGAAGGAAACTAATAGTGGAAGCAAGATAGCTGGAGATTTAATAAATCCTTGAATTGAATTCCTCCGGACCGATCATTTTTTCTCTGGCTGTTTAGATGAATGTCTTGAATTTAACTTTGCGATCTGTTCCTAGACTTGTGTTCATTTTTCGAAGCCCACTCCTCACATATCTTATCTTTTCGCGTCATTCGCCTAAATAGCTCCAAGTTATGGAGGTTCGTTCTATAAAAAAAACTAGAACCCTAGACTAGACCATAAGTGCTGTAAATAATTGCAAGTAACAGTTTTAAAAGTTCTACGCTCGGCATTAATAATATTTATAACATTGTATGTTATTATTAGTTACCTTATACATATATATATATATAAATAATTTGATTTGTAAGCGTCATCACGCCTGTGTCTTACACTTCCTTCGCCACCCAATATCACCTGAAAAGCCCCCTGGAAAACTCCTCCCATAATCGCACTGTTGTTAAATTACAGTTGAACTTTCCTTTTGATTATTAACTTGGCTTTAACTAAGTTTGCTTATAGTTTAAGATCAAATTGTGAGGGTAGCGTTCATACACACCATATTTGAAACTATTTTATTCATTTTTAAATATTCGAGTGGTTAATCTTTAAATAGCCGCTCTAATTCAAACCAACCTCAGGAAAATACTTATATTTGAAATTTAAAATATTTTAAAATCTTTGCGTAATTATACAAGTAAAAACTGTATCCGTGTACTACATTTTGGAAAATAAAAATTGTTGTAGGCTTAAGTATATTTACTTATTTTTAGTAAAAATAATTGGAACATGTAATTTAATTTTGAAACTGGAAAGTTCGACTGTAATTATTAAAACATCACAATTCAATCGCAATTTTGTAGCATAGTGGGGAGTGTTTGGCAAGGAGAGCGTCTTCTTCATATGTATGTGGTATGTGTAAATTTCAATAAAGCTGCATCTATGTAAACGTTTGTGGGTGAGAGTGCGGAGCTCTGGAATTGCGTCATTTCCCCCCAGCAGGGGGTGGGTAATTGCAGTCCGTAAGAAGGAAATGCCAACGGGTTGGAAATGCTTTCCAAGTGGGGCGCATGTGCTGTGGGAATCCTTCATCCCATCTCTCCGAGGCGAGCTTAGCAACCCTTGCGTACCCTTATTCACTTGCTCTCCCACTCTCTCTTGGCTCTCTCTGCTATTTTGGCCGCTCTTTCTTTTGCCAGTTGTCAATTTGCCGGTGGAAAGTTCGCTTGTTTGTTGTTGGCTGGATGCGAGTGTGCAATATTTTGTATTTGTTGGTAAAAACACAGTGGCTTAAAAATAAAATAACTAAACAAAAATAAAGAAAACCTTTAAGTGGAGTCTAAACAAAAATAGAGTCCTCCAAACAACAAAGAAAGAAACCCCCTGGTGAGCAGTTAACCCATGAAGTCGGTTTTCTGAGATGAATAGAAAGCAATTTTTGTGAATTCTGCAAAAAACTCATTCAATCATTTTCAATTGCCTATTTTAATTCAACAAAGTTAAAATAAAATAGTTCCGGCAATTGACGAGGCGTAAACAAATGCAAAACAATTGTTTGCCAGATGGATTCTGCGCAGTTCCCCTTCGAATGGCATCAGGATCAATAACCTCCTTATCAACAAGGAAATAGGGGAAAAACGACAATAAACCGTTGCCTTGGAATCAAAACAAAGGGCAGCGGGGAAAATCAAAACAAAAAGGAAATATGTTTGCCGGGCATGAAATAGACTAAGGTATTGATTACCGGTTTTAGCCTATGATTAACCGGAATAATCTTTCTGGGCCCGCGAAGTAGTGCAACAATTCTTAGACACAAATTGCAACAAACTGTTTTCACAGGCCCACAAGTAATATTGTAATATAAATAATATCTGGTTGAAGACCTCTCAGCGGTATTCGAACCGCCGCCATAAATTCTGAAACAGAACTACGCGAGAAAACAGACAACTCAACGTGTTCGACCAAACCGGTGGTGGAAGCTCCATCGCCAAAGTTTGATTTCATTGAAAGGAGCTTTTGGAGAATGAACTCATGAAAAGCTCTGCACAGTGGCTCCAATATCACAAATATTTCTAAAAAGTGATTGTTAAAATAGTATTCTTATACTACTCATTATAATAATAACATATTTAGTGTTACTTAACAGAAGTATTATTTTATTTACTGGATTTTGCTTATGATTATTCGGAACAGCTGAACTATAATAGCTACGCTCACTGCCAGTGGCGTTCCACAAGGTAGCTTAAAACCCTGATCCCAGAAACCAACCTGGATTGCCAGGAACAACAGGATGTGGCCCGGCTCCGAGCGAGGAAGCTCTCGGGCCCTGGAGAACCCAACCAGCCAACAAAATGCCGGCGGTAGTAGTCAGCAGGAAACGCTGGCCGACATCGAACACATATCCACCATTGCAGGATCATTAGCCTCCATTGGATCGATCTCGCACACCCAAATGCGATATGTAAGGTCTTAGATGGGTTTATAAGGACCATGTTTATAACATTTAACCATTTATAGCAATGCACCAACGATGCCGGTTATGATACGGAACATACATCCCTAAACTCAGACTTTGATGAGGCCGAGTTACGTCGGGAGCTATTAAGAGATGTGAGTTTTCATAATTATTCTTAATATTCTTATTTCTTAATTATAATCTGATTGAGAAAACCCAATAATATTGACATTTTCTTTCATGACCAATCCAACAGAAATGGAAACTTCTCTTTGATATGGTAAGTAGCTAATACAACATTCCCTACCAAAACCCATAGGATTAAAACCATGATTCCAATTATTTCTTCGGTATTCCAGTTTGATCCCGAGGGCTTTGGCGAAATTTCCGTTGAGGAATTACTGGTGGCATTGAAATCGCCGGAGTTCCTGTCCCAAGTGCCTATGAACAAGCGCGAGCTTCTTTTTGAGCGGGCCAAGAAGGCGAAGCTGCCCACAGGACCCGGCTACGTGACGTTCCAGGACTTTGTGAATGTGGTAAGTCCGCCGCAATCACAATGGCCAATGGCCACTGGCCAAGTAAGCAAAGTGCCCGAGTAACCGTGCGTGTGTTTGTCCCGGGCTGCTCATCAACGGCAAACTCGATTTAAGTGCAAACACAGGTGCAAAGTACTAGGCCGGGACGAGGACCAAGTGTAGGCTCGTGTTCAAACAGAGGGAGACAGGGGACAGGGAGGACAAGGCTTCGTCCTGGCCGCTTTCTTGTTTGGCAAATGCAAAAAGTGCGCTTGGCAAATAAATGTAACGCTTACGAATACACAGTGCAGAAAAAGGGTCACTTAACATGTCCAAACGTTTTGCATTTTTATCACTCAGATTAGTTCGAGTCAAGTGATAAAATATGTCCTTTAAATTTTTGTCCATCTCCTAAAACGTTAATACAATACTTCAACTTCTTCCACCCATTAATAGAATGTTGTGCCTGAAGAAAATATTATTAATATTAGGAAAATTAGTAAAAATAATATCTGATTCATAAACATTAGCAACATTTTTCAGATTTTGAATTAGAACAACATGAGTATTTATTTTTCTCCATGTACACCCATGGCTCCTTGAGTCCTTTTGCAACGCTTCGCTGGACATTTGATTGTTTGCCCTGGTTACCTGGGGTCTGGCTATTGGTCCTGATGTGGTTCGAAAATACTGGCCAGGATCTGGCTGCCTTGGATTTAAGCTCTGATGCAGCGGCGATGCTCCTGCAGGACGAGTGACTTCTGTGTGCGACGGGGGAAAAGGACTTTTCTCAGCTCTGCCTTTGATTGGCAATCCTATTGCATTTTGATTGATTCTACCTAGTTGATTGGCACGCATACAAACCGCACACGACAAAACACTCATGCATAATCAATGCCAAAGTGAATATTCCATCGCCTTGGCCGTTCGATTGTTTGCCAAAGTGTCCTTAAAGTCATGAATTAGCCAGGCTGTCATGTCCTTATTTGCTCCTCGCTCTCTCTCTCTTTCTCTATGCCTGTGTGTTTGTCTAACGGTAATTGTGGATGGGTCCAAGCCCGTCCTTCGCACAATGGATTCCCATTCACGTTCCCCCGAGAAGGACATTATTAGGTCCTTGTTTGGCCTGCTAATGCATTTGTTATTCCAATTGAGGGCTCGATTTCCACTCCCGTCCCGCCACTTTTGTGTGGAACTCATATCTCCGCCGGCAATCTGAGATCCTTGTTGCCATCGTAGACAACATATTTCCACTTAATTATAAATTTCAATGATCTGCTGGTCAGCACAGGACCTGGCAGAGGTGGGCTAGTGGAGGGATCGCCAGGAATGCTGGGGAACGATGTACAACCTGGCATTGCGCCATGCATAATGCAGGCTGATGATTGTTGCATTTTCAACAAAAGCTCGCACGTGACAAATCCTTTTATGGCAGCGCACAGGAATCGGTGCTGTGGATGTGATGGTGGAGGACAAGGACGTGGCCAAGACGAAAGACGCCATCGAGGGGCGCGATGTGTTGAACGTTATGACAACTGGAGGCACGAGGCTCGCTGGCGACTGTCGTTTGTCTTCCTCGGATCTTTCTGCATCTGGTCGATGGGTTCGGGTTCTCTAACTGCGGACCACGCACCAACCATCAGGCGCAGCAGGCGGCGGCAGCCGGTCAAGAATCAATCTGTGTGTCCCCGGCCAAAAACGAACTGGTTATGCTCTTAACTGAAGTGATCAGAATAATTCACCGATTTCCAGCTGCTTTTTTGGTCATCTAAAAGCGTATCTATATGCATTGAATGATGTTTACTCAGAATAGGTTATTTTTTTCAAAGAAAATATGATCTTAGCAATTTAGAAATTATTTTTTAAAACTATTTACAATCTTGGTTGCCTAAGAAAGTTGATCCCTTTCTTTCTTTTTCGAAATATGCATTGAAATTCTTCGACCTTGTCTTTGGCAGAGCTGTCTTTATCCAAGTTTAAGAGACCCTTCCATTGACGGGGTATCCACTTTTAATTGCAGTCGGTGGTGGTGGTGGATCGGGCAAAAAGCAGGAACGCCGCCAAGGAGCATTCTTGCATTAATCAGAAAGTCAACGGAGCTGCCAGGCATTCGATCATTCGATCATAAACGAAAGCAATTGCGCACAACTGGTGGTGCAATGTGGTCCGCTGTGTTTCCACATCCACATCCACCTCGACGTCCACGACCATGTCCCTGGCCATGTCCCGGTCCAACCCGATCCGGTCCAGTCCGACTGCCATTATTATCATAATCAGGAGGCGCAGCTGGCAGACGCCGAAGCTCCAGCTTTTGCCTTTTGCCATCGAGCTGGACCAGCTGAATCCCAACCTGTGTGCCTGTGCCGAGCACGCACCAAGAAATTCCAGCGGCTTGTCTTGAATGGGCCAACTGCAGAACGGTTGCTTCTCGGTGGAATGCCAGCCAGCTGCTGTTCCTCGGCTCCTTCTCCTCCTGGTGCTGCATCTCAGATCGGGTTTATTGAATAACATTGGGGAGGTGCAGTCAGAGAAAAATCCCGATGATCGGTTAAACTCGGTTCCTCCATCATAAAACAAGAATTTCAGTTTCCAATTCTTTGTGGGGTTTATAAAAAATATTTAAAAATATGTTTACATTTCCAAAACATTCTTCCATAATCTAAAAATAGTTAAAAAAATATTTACAATATTTTAATCACATTTTAGTAGCCTGTATTTTTGCTGAGTGTTGCAGTGCTCTCCTCGAGTCTCCTGCCTGCTGATCCAACCTCCGCCGAGGTGGCGTCTGCCGCCGCTGATCTCGGGGAGCGATAGGCGGCGGAATCAGATCAGATTCGGACTTTGGAGCCGCGAGTGTGACTTGGTGGTGACTTGGTCTCTGGGCCCCGAAGTAGGTGCAAAATGCCTTGCGCCTCGGACTCGGGGGAACGAAACCTGGAGGCGATCTCGACGACGACGACGCGGTATTAAATCAATGCCAATCCATAAATGGCCTACGCGGCGCGTAGATTGAATTGGAATCTCCTGGCGATTTCATTATTCTGCAATAATATCGCGTAAATCGAGTGGGGCCGCCGCGAGATGAGCGAACATTTCTGGTTAATTATGAGGCGGCAGTTGCTAACTCCTGACAGCATCTGATCTGGCTTATAGGGTATCAATTATGGCCTATTACGCATTTTTTCTGGCCTAAACGATGCCAATATTAAAGCAGCTATAATAGAATTTTTAGCTTTTACTTTAAGTGTTAAGAAAAGAGGATCTTTATTTTGCTTATAAAATCTATTGATTGTTTAAAAGAGTAATTCTGTGGAATTCTTTATTCCTCGTTTCATTAAGAATTTTAACAAACGGAATGTCCTTGTTTTAATGGCTTGCACACTTTACGGCTCACCATGAACTCGTTTCTTAATCGAAATGTACTTACGGTTTTCCTCATTCTTGCCTTTATTCCTTTTTTTTTGTCCTGCACAAAAACAAGAGAATTTCATGTTTACACCGTGATGGCTGCTTGACTCGAGAATAGTGCTCCAAGTGGACGTGACAGGGCCAAGGATGATGTCGTTGTCGAATGCGGTGCCTCACTTTGCACCCCACCCACACGTCCTGGAGGTCCTTTGTGGCCCCCTTCGTCCTGCAGCAGCGGCATTCCTCCACCTTCTCTCCCGTTTGGCTGCTGACGATGTTTGGTCAATGGTCAATTTGGCAGCCGTTTATTTTGATTGTTGTGCATCCGGGGCAAGGATAACGACGTGCACACGAACTGGACCAGGATCCAGACCCCTTTTCCTGGCCCTCCCAGCCACGCCTTCCCCTTTCCCTTTTATCTTCCCCGCCCATTTGGCTGCGTTGCAATATTTTTGCCATCGTCACGGAATTCGCCGATAACCGGACCGAAAATGGTGGGGGAAAGTACTGTATACTGGATACTGGATACTGAATACTGGATACCCGGTGGCAACCTCTCTGTGTGGCATCCTGCGGAGTCATGTCCCGTTCACATATCTCGCAATGATCACTTTTGCATGCTTTTCCACAACCTGCAGGTGTTGTGTGTCCCATTCGTATGGTTTATATGCCAAATAATCCGCGCCACGGAATTTATCTGGAAAAGGGGAAATCGAATTTTTTGGTCTGGCGGAAGAGCTGCAGCGTAATCCGCTAACACTTGTAGTTGGCAATCAAATTAGATTCGTGGCCTGCGACACTGGGTACACGATTCCCAGCTCCCAGAGACACTCACTTTATAGGGAGACAACTAATTACGTTGAATAAATTTAAATGGGGTGCGCACCTGACATTTACGACGACACCATAAAACCCGAGCTACAAGCCAAGGGGTCAATGAATGTCCATTGCATTCCTCCTACACGTACACAGAAAAAAAACTAAGGTTACTAACATCTTTAACTTCTCTGATCGTTCATAAAAGTATATGATTTCATTTACAGTTCGTGGGAAACAAGTTTATATTATTTGTATTTTTTTTTGTCAATAGTAATATAATATTTATTGGTGACGCTTGGAATCGTTTTCTTTTATTTATTTTTTTTTTATTTATTTATTTATTTTTTTATTTATTTATTTATTTTTTTTTTTTTTTATTACACCTATAGGTTTCTTCGGGTGCAGACCCCTGCTCCATGGCCCTTCAAGCTCAAGTGCGTCGCATAATTGCGTGAGTAGGTGGAGTGGCAGACGGAAGCCCAGGCACGGGGTGCGCATCATTAACCCTGCAACCTTTGGTGCGCTAATGAGACGGCCAGTGTCCAATTTTTGAGCTCTACGCATAGGACACGCGTTGCTCGGCTTGGCACCTCGTCGCTGTTGTGTAGTCTTCCCAAATGGCAGCCGATTGCGGCTGCTCAGTGGGTTGGAAAACTCCGCTGAGCTATTTGATTGTCCCGAAGAACGATCCTATATCCGATTTCCAGCACGCCCCTCTCGGCTCGCAAAGCAAACAATGCGTGCGGCTCAAGTGGAAGTGGAAGACTCTTATGGCGGGTCCTTGGCTCCTTCTGTTTTTTGTCGATGGTAATGGAGGCATCATTTTTGCCAATCCTCAAACAAAGTGAGAGTGCCTCGCGTGTCATTCCATTTCCGCCTGCCTCGAATCGCAAATCAAATACAGCGTTCCGAAGGAGCAGCTGCCAGGGATCCTTGTTCCTGGTCTTGCTTTTGCATACACAGAAAGAAAATGGATCACAGTTAATTAAGATAATATATATTTTCATTTATATATTCATATATGAATCTTTTTCATATTAGAATATGTAATGGTACACCTGTTGCTGAATTGATCCAAAAAATTTAAGAGTTCAATGATTTACCATAAAGCTTAATTTAAATCTTGAGATACAAGGTAATTCACAATTTCTATACCGAAAAGTGGATAAATATTTTTTTTTCGTGCACACGCATATCCTTAATCTGTACTTGTGTAAAATCGCATATAGCTTTTGATTTGCAGCTCATTGAAAAGCCAACGGGCGGTGACTTCTACTCCAGACCATCTGCATCCCATATCTCAACTTTCTTAGCACAAAAGCGGCGTCAAAGGGCAAGACAAGTCAGGGTACTGGCACTATATAGAACACTCGGCGATTCTGATTCTGATTGCGATTGTGAATGTCGAAGTGGAAGTGGCTGTTGTGGATGCCGCAGCTTGTGTGTGTTTATTGTTCTGGCGGCGGCGGCAAATACAGGAAACTGCAGAAAGGTGCAAACGAACTTCCGCTCCAAATCAGTTTTCGATTTGCTTTTTCCCTGGCTGCTGCTGCTGCTGCTGCTGCTTTCCATATCCATTTCAGCTCCTCTATTTGCACTTTCTCGCCGCTTTTGTTTGGCACGCGCTTCGGCAGATGTCACCTGGAATGAAAATGAGCTAAGTGACGGGGAAGTTGGCTGGTTCTGGTTTTTAGCCTTCTCCTGCGCCTCAATCAATCATCCATTCGGTAGCCACGGCGGCTGAAAGCCTGATTACCCTGTAATTAGGCAGCAGGATCAACGCAGGTCCTGCCAAAAACAAAATTGCGGGGGAAAAAAAAACAAAGAAAAAACAGGCAAATGTGAATTTAATGAGTAAAAATGTGATAATTAGCCGGGACCCCCGAGGAGGCCGACAAAGGGCCAACAAAAAAGGACGTGTCCAACCCATTCCGCATCCTTTCATCTCCGGGCTAATTACAGGCCCAAGTCGTTTGGCCAGACAAGTGCATCCGTTTGCTGTAATTGCCATGTTTGTTTAAGATTTAAGCCATGTCCGCCAGTTCCTTCACCTTCACCTGCAGCGCTTCCCAGGCAATGCAAATTGAATTAGGCCTGGCATAATATTGTCATTCAATTAGATGATCTGGCTGGGGTCAGGTGCTTTCTCGGCTCCAAGGTGTTTCGCTCGTGCAAACATCAACAAGTCCCAGGACTTTCTATTGCTCCTGGGCATGCAAAATATGACATTTAATAAGCTGCCACAGAAAAACAAAGCAAATGAGTGGCAAGGAAAATTGTATGTACGTTCATATTAAATTTAAATATATTTGTGTGGGTTGGAGGTTAAGAGCATTATAAATACATAGTAGGGAAAACTATATGCTTCTTAACCAACTGAAATATAATAACAATCCTTTAGTCTGTATGTGTACATAAAATGAAGATATATTTCTGGCTCTTTATTGCCTAAGCATTTAAATTACCTTGGTATTTTATTAATAGGCCCGAAAACGTGTTTTTACTTTTCCAAATATGATGGTGTCCTCTGTATTCATAGTTTTCGCCTTTGTCCTTTTATTAGCCGTAACAGCAAGCAAAGAACATTGTTAATCAAATAGCTCATTTAATAAGCTGCAGAGCACGAGAACGTTTTACATGGTCACCCGGAAATAAAGCCATTGGGCATGCAGCATGCACCATGACCTCCTCCGCATCCTCGTCCCCCTGCTCCGGCTCCTTTTTTCCGACCAGTTTATAAATATTGCTCAACTGTTTGGAATAAAAATGTCAACACGCCGGACGAGGCCGTACGCAATGCATAATAGAGGGCACACAATGGCTCCGAACCTCCGAAACCTCCGAACCACCGATCCTGTGGACCGCCAGTCATGCAGCCACCGAAGCAACCGCCGGAGGAAATGTCCTTTTTTGCGCATAGCCACAGGCCGGCGACGACGAAAAAAAAAAACTGAAAATACATATCGCCGTGGTTGTGTGATTCTGCTGCAACGGACACAATTCAAAGGAATTTTTTGTGGCTCATAGAGAGCCGGCAACGTGGTGTCCTGTGGTCCTTTCCCCTCACTCCTTATTCCTCGCTCCCGTCTGCCCGTTTGACCATGTCCGCTGACCTAAGCCCAAGCGTTAAAATGTTTTGCGTCAATTTGTCGGCCGTCCTGCAAAAGGTGAATGAAGCAAAGATACAGCAAGGATCAAAATAATAGCACTTCCCTTCGAGAAAGAAGGATATTTTGGCAACTTAATTCAATAAAGTAAATAGGAACATTTACATTTTTTGAGTTGATGATTGTTTATTAAGCTAGGATCTTTAAACTTTAGTTTAATCGTATTATAAATGTTTAAATATGTCTATACTATGTTTTTGGACACGACTGTGGCGAATGCTTTTAAGGCCGTTAAAAATAACAGGGGAGGTCGCCTACCTGGTGACGTCATGCGGCGAACAGGACTCCTTTTCCCTGCGTCCAGGATAATGACATTATCAGCCACAGCAGCCTGCGTCCGCCAAACAAACGATAAGCAATTATTTGTTGGGAATACAATTTTCCCCTATTTTAGCCCTGTTGGCACTTTGTTGTGATCGCTTGATTTTGCCGAAAAATGCGATTTGTCACCCGGCCACAATGCGTGTGGGTGTTCCCATTGTTGACAACACAAATTCTCAGTGCCCTTTGTCTGCGAATCGTAACAATTTAATACCCAGAAATTGGCCCAAATCGAAAAGTCGGAAGTAAAATCGGATTATTTTTGATCTTGGCGATCGATCAGCTGATATTTCACAACGCTGTTTTTCAACACTGATATGAATGGAAAAGGAGTGAAAAGCAGAGCGGAAAAGAAACTTACGCACGCTGGCGGGAAAGTTGTAAAAACGTTCGTTGTCTTAAATGTTGGGTGTTAATCGTGTGTATTTATTAACCGTAATGACTTGTTAAAAGAAAAGTTAAAGAGCAGGAAATCTGTGATCTCAGCGCGTAAGTTTTTATATCATTTAAAATTTCAGTTTAAGCAAGTGAATTTGCATTGAGAACAATTACCCATTTAAACTTTGCACATACACACATGCCAACACCAACAACTAAGGTTGCCACTTTGTGGGAGCCGGACAACAGAAACCACAGCTTCCAGTTGTCAAGGGAAACTTTTTATCAATTAAACAAAATTTGATAATTACTACCATTAAAACTGCCAGACTAGCGCTGATTAACTAAATGACACGTAAATTCCCCCTTCCCTATCTGGCGGAAGTAACTATTTTGTGCCATGAGGCCGGGGCAAGCTTAATTTGTGGCCTTTTTCTTTCGCAATCGTAATTTTAATTGCGTGTAGGCTTCATTTGGATGCCCCCCACTTTTAATTAAACAATACACATTTTCCGCTTTTTGCGGATTTTTGCCCGCTTCGTGGTTGTTTTAATGGCCGACATTCGGCATCTCTGCCAACATCTTAATTACATAATAAACATAATTTAGTTTGGCCGGTCACACGCATAAATGTTCTGTTCATAATTTTATGGCTCGTTTAGTTTTTTCGGGGGGTTAGAGATTTGCGGCGATCTTCAACAACATCAGCAAAGAGTAAGTGAGACAGCAGTAGCATCATGTAGGTGTCCAAGTGTTTTCTTTCCTTTTTGCAACTTTCGAGCAACAATATTCACCCTGTCTTAACCCATCAATGGCATGGGGCTTACAACACCACGGTCACGGTGAAGTTTTCCTCAGGACCAACAAGAAATTCGTGCTTACGGGTGCGCACGCGCAGAAAGCACAGCTTATCCTCGGGATTCAAATCACGAACGCAACTCTGGGCTAGCTTTAAGAAACTAGCGTGCAGATGCTTAACAATTCCCTGGGCCGTAGTTAAATCGAAGGATGTGTGCAGGAGACTATCCGTTGCATTCTCCGACACGACGTATCCTTGAGCCTGTTCGGAAATCCTGTTTGTATTGTCCACGTTGCGCTGCACCACCTCCTCCATCGCCTTTAGATAAATTTTCGACATTTTGAAAACACTTGAAAAACTACAAAGGAAATTTGTTTATAAAATAGGTTTTTCTATGTATGATCTATGATCCGTATTCTTATGAAGTTATTGTGGAACTGAACTTTTTTAGTGTGTTCAAAAATATATTAGTGAAACAAAAGCACGCGCCTACTGGTAGTATAGATTTTTGTCAATTTTTTAACCATTTTGATTGGAAAGAATATGGGACCATAGTGTAAATTGTCAACCTATTTATTATTTCTTGAATCTTAATTGCAGATGAGCGGCAAGCGGACTCGTAGCTTTAAATGCGCCGTTCACCATCGAGATCGTGAAGTCTGTTCAGAAAACGATTTTCAGCTGGTGTTTAACGAACCGCCTTTATTTCGAAAAATGGTGCACGCCGTGGCCATGGAGATCCTGCCCGAGGAGCGGGATCGCAAGTACTACGCCGATCGCTACACCTGCTGTCCTCCACCCTTTTTCATCATCCTTGTTACTGTAGTAGAGGTGAGAAAACATTTCGGTCAATCTTAAAAATATTTTAATACTGACGTTCTTTACCAGCTGGGCTTTTTTATATACCACTCCATGGTCACGGGTGAAACCGCTCCAAGGGGACCCATTCCCTCGGACTCCATGTTCATCTACCGACCGGATAAGCGGCACGAGATCTGGCGTTTCCTCTTCTACATGGTCCTCCATGCAGGATGGCTTCATCTTGGATTTAATGTGGCAGTTCAGCTGCTTTTTGGACTGCCATTGGAGATGGTACATGGCTCCACGAGGATCGCGTGCATCTACTTTTCCGGTGTGCTAGCCGGGAGCTTGGGCACCAGCATCTTTGATCCGGAGGTGTTTCTTGTGGGCGCAAGTGGTGGAGTCTACGCTTTGCTGGCTGCTCATTTAGCAAATGTCCTGCTCAACTATCATCAGATGCGTTATGGAGTCATCAGGTTGCTTCTCATCCTGATTTTCGGTGGGTAACCGCTCTGAGAAAATTAAAATACAATTTTGAATAAAATCCCTTTTTTTATCAGTTTCCTTTGACTTTGGCCTTGCTATCTATGCGCGATATGCTGGCGATGAACTGCAGCTGGGATCATCAAGTGAATTCCTGGCCCTAGATCAATCTGAAACAGTGGTGGCCGTTTCGTTTGTTGCCCATTTGGCAGGAGCCATAGCTGGACTCACAATCGGTCTGCTAGTTCTCAAAAGTTTCGAGCAGAAGCTCCACGAACAGCTGCTTTGGTGGATCGCTCTGGGTACTTACTCAGCGCTTGTGGTTTTTGCCATCGCCTTTAACATATTGCATGGATTTGCTATGTTCAACATTCGCGTTGAAAAAATCAGAGTGACGGAAACGTATTTTAACGATTTCCAGGTGTAAAAAATCCCAGGAGGATTTGCAACAGGATAATCAGAATCTTTTCCTTGTTTCATATTTAATTGATATAGTGCTTACATTTTGTTCATTGCGTTATTTTTTTTGTTTTGAAAGTCGGTTAAGTTTACCGTTTATTGTTTTGTTAGCCCTGTATCTGTAGAATCAGATATATAAATTATTTTCGTTTTGTTTGCTAGTTAAGTACAAAAAATGTATTATAAGAATTGTAAGAGAATATTTACAACAAATCGAACTGATTAGGTGTAACATAATGCTCAAGGAATTCCACAATTTCTATATACTTAAATATAACTGCAGAATCTAAAGACTTTTAGGAGCTTATGGGAAAACTCTGCAATAAGCTGTTAAATACAAATTAAATATTTATATACATAATTGCTTTGAAGGCTATATGGAAACCGATATTGGCAAATCAATAAATTTTTTCTAATTACACAGTTCTTTTAACAAATTGGGAAAACTACCTCAATACAGCAAATGATAAATATTAAATACGTATATGGCAATAAGGTCAAGAAAATCGGTTTCTATTTTATATAGCCAAGCCTAAATCAGCACTGCCAGCTTTAGGGAACAATGAAGACCAAATAAAAGAAAAATAAAAGCATAAATCTACACATTTTGTATTTACAGTCTGTTTTACCTGTAAATAAAATAAATTTAAAAAAATGTTGAAGGGTTTTTTTTCAAGCTTCTAGCTTATAACGGTTAATGTTTTAAAGGATTCGCGTTGCCACTTGGTTTTCGGCAAAGTGGGGTGGGCACACTGTTCGCGATCGTTAAAAAGTATCGTCGCTTTTAAAGTTCTTAGAAGAAAAGTTTACAAAATTGGCTAAAAAGTGAGTTAGAGTGCGATTTAACCGGTTTGCGTGTTGGGCGATAAGTCCTGGCCATCCATCCTTATCATTTTCATGAGTTATGACACAATCCGTTGCCAAAAAACTACCATTTCGTTCGACGCGACACGCGCACCTGCGCCAATCCTTCGTTTTGTGTTAACTCTGACTTTTTGCCGCGTTTCTCGGTTGCGTGTTTTTAGCCAGGACGTTGGCGAAGCATCGGGGCAGCCATCCTGCGGAGGAGTCAACAAATCCCAATCCCAGCGGACACCGAATTTATGTTTGTTTGAGCACATTTCGCCGTTGAGTCATTCGTCAGTCTTGTCACATATTTTCGCGGCGGGCGGAAGAAGAAGAAGCAGACATTAAAAGCATACAAAAAATGCGGGAAACAAATGCAAAATGTGACAGGAACGCAACTGCGTCCTTTTTAGCGATCCGGTGGACAGAAGCTCCTCCCATTGACACTGATTAATGTAGAATTGGGCTTATTTTGCAGTCAAATGGGGAAAAATATTTAAATAAGAAATCTGTCCGGTGACTTGCAGAAGATTGCAAAAAAAATTAATGGAATGGTAAGTGCAAAAAGATCAATTTAAGAATGGCCGAAATATTTATAGTTGCTATTATTCGGTCTAATGATATGTTTTTATTTAAAACATGTTATGTAGAAAACAAGAAATTAATTTGTAGCCATACTTCTAATGTGATCACTTCCTTAAAAATACTTTAAGATCAGGTTTAATGCATTGCTCCTTGCTTCATAGATTAACTTGCTGGACTGCACTTAACTTATTCTTCAGGAATGAAGCCAGTCTGGAGTGGTCTTTAGTGTATAAATCATATCAATTGAAGCCTTCGTTCGCTCGGAATTCAACATGATCAGTACGGCAATCCTCAGTTTGTGGTGCGCGAAACATGTTTATAAAAAGTACAAGTTAATATTTATGTAATTCCACAGATGCGAACAACCAGTCGGCGGAGATCATTACATTGACATATTCATGCGGAATCGGAATCGGGGAATTCCAAGGAAGACACAAACAATGGAGCACGCGACCATGTGGAGCGACGGCATGAGGAGTGCGTCCCACGCGAGAGCTGGTAATATCAACCTGCAACTTGCAACTTGCAACTTACAACTGGCAACCTGCAATATGCCTTTTGTCTTGCCAAGAAACCTCACACATCTCGCATCTCACATCGTCCAGTTGTCGTCGCTTTATCCGCTTTAACATGGACATGGGGACTTGGGCTCGTCGGAATGCTTATCAAGAGGCGCACTTGTAGCTGTCATAAGGCCAACTGAAATATTGGCAGCCCAACCAGAAACCAAAACAGCAACCAGAGAAGTAACCTCTCGTCCCCCGTCACTACTTCTTTCAATGAACTGTACTGGACAAAAAGTCCACTTCAGGTGGAAAGCAAAGAAAAGAGGCACCAGAAGTGCCCCAGGACTTGTCCTCCATCCATTTATCTCACTCGACGCCGGCCACGGCAGCGGGCAAATATGGAAATTTGCTGGCCCGGCCGCATTTTTTTTTTTTGTTGTGACTCGCCGCCTGTTCCCGCAAACCCGCCACTTAAACCGCTTCATTAAACACTCCATGAACTCCCTGTCCTGGGCCAAGTGTCCTTATGTCCTGCTGGTGTAATTAATTTCTGCCACAGTCGGGTATTTGAAAAAGCTTAGAAATGCGACCGAGAAGTGGGAGGAAGCGTTTTCCGTGCCACAAGAGCAATTATAAAAAAGGAGTCGAGTCGGAGAAACTGGAGGTTTAAAAGGAATTGCAGTGATGCATTATAAAATGAAACTCCATAAATGAATACAAGTTTCAGTAAAAAAAAAACAAAATTTGTCCCATAATTATCAGAAAATTTGTTGCAAAGGCTCACCTAAAACCAGTGTTTTATAAAAAGTGTTTATCAAAATTATCGGGTTTAATGGATCAATAAACTCTGTCGTGACGCAGAGCCAATTATAATTAAACCAACTGGTACAGGATATTCGAAGGTTTTCGGACACACGACGAAAAACCAGGACACAAATCAAACAGAACTGGCCTCAAATCAAAGTGCGGGGTAAGTGAGCAAACAATGTTATAGTTATAGCCGAGCTAATCTGATTTACGGCAGGAAAATGACTTAAAGCCCGTATTGAGTTACCCCAAAAACGTGTCCCTTCCATCTTGTTGTATCCTTGCGTCCTTTATGGGCCTTTTAGGTTAATTGCTTCTGTTGCATTCCCTCCATTAACCATTGGTCACATGAGGTCATTGTGGCTTCATTGAGGCGGAGTACTTCCTCATCCAAATGTAAAATAGGAAGTGTGTGTGAGGGAAAGAGACCGGGAAACACAATCAACACGAACCTAATACACGAAATTAGTTTTCATATATGCAAAGCCGAGGGTGGAGCCCTTGGCTCAGAGCTGTCACCACCCACCTGGAAGCTCCCAGGGATCTGCTACCTGGCGGACACCTGTGCGTGCTTGCTGGCAATTCCGTGTTCTTCGCCGTCGTCGTCGTCCTGGCACAGACAACAAAGGATTTCTCTTCGAGGGCAACTGTCAAAGTCCTGGCAGACATTTTCATAATTTTCACATGCTCAGGGAGTTTTCCCCTTCTGCTTCTCCCCCGCTCCCGTTTTTGTCACAGGCGTGCCTCTTAATTGCCCTGAATGGAGCTGGGCAAAGTGGAAGCCGGTGCAGGAGTCGGGGTAATGCTATTTAGAGCCTGCCACGCCGAGTGTCACCTGCTGGGATTTGTGCGAGTGCCTTGCCACCAAGGTCGCGCAAGGAATTTTCACGACATTTTCACTCTTTTCCCGCGGCTTTTATTCAAATCTGTTAATACGCTGGTGTTTTTTGGGTTGGTTCCGCAAATTAAGCAATGAATTATGCTGTTTCTACTTAGAAAAATGTAATTTAATTAGACATTTTCAATGCCTTAACTAGTGTTAATGACGTTGAATCCAGTTTCTGAATCTGGTTTGCAGATTATCATAAAACAAGATAAATATATAATAAACAATCTATTAAGTTAGCTTTTCGTAGACACTCGAAATTTCATAAACCTTTTGTTAGAAACTAAACACCTGTGACAACAATGGGTGACGATGGATCGGATGTAGCTCCTGAAGAAAAAGATTGCACTGCATTTCTTGATGAAATTGATCTTGTGAAGAAGGATCAAAGAACTTCTCTACAGAAACAAATCATCCATAAAGATAACCAAATTTCCAGCGAGCAAACCTTTAGGATTGGGAGCACGGACTCCAAGAGATACTCCTTCTGTGTCTTCCAAGAGGAATCGCAGTTGAAAGTGCTCCAAAATCTGATCGACAAGGAGCTATCCGAACCGTACTCCATTTACACCTATCGCTACTTTGTGTACAACTGGCCAGATCTTTGTTTCTTCGCGCTGGATGGAGATCGCTACGTGGGCGCAATAGTGGGCAACTTGGAGGCGGCAGCTAGTGGAGTTCTGCAGGGGTATATTGCCATGCTGGCGGTTGATGTGGAGTACAGGAAGCAGGGAATCGGAAAGGCCCTCTCCGAAATGGCCATCGATGCCATGGCGATGAGGAAAGCAGCTATGGTTGTCCTGGAGACCGAGATGACCAACAAACCCGCACTGGCGCTCTACGAAAGTCTGGGATTTATTCGGGAACGGCGGCTTTTGCGCTACTACATGAACGGAGTGGACGCCTTTCGTCTCAAGTTGGTGCTTGACGAGTCCGCCATCTTCCTTCCCAGCGAGGACTAGTGTAGTTAGAAATAGTTTCCATTTGTTAATGAATGCTTCTGATCGGTTTCAAGTTGGTTTTCCTTCCCTGACGCCCGCTCCCTTTAATTAGCGCCACAGCGTGCTGCTACTACTTGGGTAGCCCAAAAAAAGGAACTCTGGAGTCCGGGGACTCCTCAAATCAGGTAGATGAAACTCGGCCGCCTAATTGAGCCGCAAAACGGTCGTTGGAGAGTCTGCAAAGAGGCATGCCGGGCTGGGTGATCAAACCGATCGACCAGAAAGGATAATTGCTTCTCAGGGTCAGAGACTCGACACATTAAGGAGCACTCGTCGCCTCGATTAGGTTATGCTTTGATAGGTGGTCCCACATCGGCGTTCTCTTTAGATTCATTCAAACTGATTGAGGGAATCGCAAAGTTCTGGAACATTGCCTTTTAGCAGTTCGAAGGTCATTTGATATTATATACTTGTTTCGGGTGGTCTTTATAATAACCCTTAATAGTATGTATTCTTTGGAATATTTAAATTCTAATCATTTTACAAATATAACTATACTGTAAATTATTTTAAATCTTGATTACTTCCACTAAGTAGAGAGATAAACACTTGCTTTTGGATCTAACAAAACAGAACCTTCTTTCAGGTCATCGCTTCCCTTTAGAGTTCTCTTAGGAACATTGAACCCTTTGAGGTTCTCGTCGGAGGTCTTTTTGCCCGCAGATCGTTGATCTGTGATACCCACTCGAAACTTGCTACCAGCTTCCTCAGTTGAGTTCTGGATCCGACTCTCTGACTTTGACTCTGACTCTGTGACTCGGACGCTGACTCCATTCCGTTCCGTGGCAGCTTTTCGCTGCGCCACTTCACCTTTCCGCCAAATGTAAACAAAAACGTCCAAAGTCAACTTTTGGGCAGGTGGCTCCCAGTCGCTGTCGCAGTCGCAGCCGCAGCTTCTGTCCACAGATCCACAGCTCCAGAGCTCCAGAGACCCGAACAGATGACATGCAACGTTGTGGCAAAATGCCGAGGCGCAAGGAGGGAGGGAAGTGGAGCGGAGCGTTGATTGAGTTGCACCTGCCATTCGCAGAAACAAGCTGGATGACGGGGGAAAATGCGGGACGGCGGGGCAGTTCGGGATGCCCGCGTTATTTATGTGGATTTTTCGGCTTCAGAAGAAGAGCAGAAAGAGCTCTGGATGGCGAGTCGCCTGAGTCTTAGTCCGAGCCTGTCTGACCTCGTCCCCGATTGCTGTTGACATTGTGCCTGAATTTCAATTTGATGTCCGCGAGGCGGCAGCTCCTGTCTTCCATAAATCTTGCTGCCTAGACTCTCCGGGTGCGTTTTGGATTGGATTGGTTTGCTTTGGCTTTGGCTTTGGATTGGCATTGTCTGTCCGCTTGAATGGGAGTTGCAAGTGGCGGTGTGCCTGCCTACTCCGCCCCCAAGTCCAAAGGCCCTAAGCTTGTGCCTCGTTTCTGAGTCACATCTGCTTTATCTGATATATCTGGTACTTCCTTGTCCTTCTGGTAATTGTATAATTTAAGTGGAAATTAATTGGCAGGTGCATAATCTGGCATTTCTGATTATGCACAATTATTGATTCAGATTGCGGACCCCAAAATTTGTACAGATTTGTATTAATGTACTGATTACTTGTAGGTAATAAAGCTACTGCTCATTTATAATCTCTTATGGCCTGCAAATGTATTAATAATTTGAATGTGTAACCATGATTTTTGATTTGGCTACGCTTCTTTGATTATGCATCATTAATAATTAAGATTTAGGGGAAATCAACAAAGGAAAAGATGAAGATGAAGGTCCTTCAAGCGGAATGCTTACTTGAGAATTCCCGAGCCTAAGTCCTGCTAATCCGGCAAGATTGAAAACGATGTTGAATGACAATATGAATTATTACGAAATTCCTATGCCTACGCCTTCATATTTCATGTGGGGCTTTCAATTTGCCACGGCTCAAACTAATATAGAGCAAATATCGATTGGTGGGACGACAGTTTGCGTTTGCACGCTTCGAATGGGGAAAATTCGTTGACATAAAGTCCTCTTCGGAGTGGGTATTAATTAAGGATTTTCCTCAAGTTTTAGTTGCAGTCTTTCGCTTTGAATTCCAGCTCATATTTATGTGGAGCAAATATTGATTGAGTTCCCCCCAACCCTCTCACTTCGCATGCTCCATCGCCCTGAGTTATTTATCAAGAAAACGAGAAATTCATTTATAATTTAGACATTTATTTTTGTTCAATTTTTCTCTGTTTATTTATTTATCTATCATTTTTTGCTATTTGGTTTTCTGTTGTCTCGTGCTGAACATTTCCGTTTCCTAGTTTTTTTTTTTTTTTGGGGGGGGGATGGGCTGTACATATATCGGGGTGGCGGCTGTGGTTTTATTATTTTGAAAATCGAATATGCTATCTTGGGGTTTTTGGGCCCATAAGGATTCTATTTTGGCTTACGCTTTGCTGGCTTTTATGCCAGATTAGCTTTTTTCATTCGGCGATTACTATGAATATTTTTCTATTTGCGTACGATATACATTGCAATTTATATATATTCTGGCGATTTTATGTTTGTGTGTATCGGTCAATATGTCAAGTATCTTGATAATCTTCTTGCTCGATTATTTATTGCCCCTAAATTGTGGGCAAACCACCGACAACCAAAAACTGAAAGAAATATGAGGGAAATGAAAACGCTGTTGTTGCTTTTGTATTTTTGTTGTATTCTTGAAATGTTTTGATTTTATTTTCTTTGGCTTTTCGTGTGTATTTTTCAATTGAATATTTTTTACAGTTGAATTGGTTTGTTTTTTCTCTCTTGTTGTTGTTTTTTCGTGCTTGTTTTGTGTGAATTTCACTAAATTATTAAATAAATAAATAAATAGTTGGCTCGACTGACAAATTAATAAACCCTCGCTGCCCTACAATAAATAAATATAATTAGTAATACTTTTGAGTGTCTGTGTGTGTGTGTAGGGGGATTATAGATAAATATTTGCTCGATTTTGTAACGCATTAAGTGACTTTAATTTAGTTTAATTCGATTTGCTTAATTGATCTGAATTGAATGGTTCTTTGCTGTGGTTTCCCACCGTTTTTTTTGTTGTTGTTGTTTGACTAGTGTGCGACTTAATAGTATTTACAATTTGAAACAATTTGTTAGGGGCTAGTTATATCTAAGTATATGTATCGCTAGGACCTATATAGTTCGAGAGCAGATTATGCTTATGGATGTATAAACAATTTGATACAGTTTGCTGACGCTTCGATTCATTCAGAGTAATTGCGGCCAATAAATACATAATTTAAGAAAACAGGCGAAAACCATTAAACGAAAACTTGGATAATGGGTTAATTTAAATCATAGCGAGAAACGATTAGTTTAGTTCTGTTTCTTGATTTTTCTCTTGATTTTACTTTGTTTTTACACGCGAAATAAATTCAGTCTTTGGTTCTATCACAACATTTGTTTACACGTTTCGGCTTCGGTTTATGTTATTCTCATAGTTTTTCAGAGTTGTTCTTGTTCTTCTTCTTTTTTTTTGAGTTTGTATGTGGTGTTTCGGAACTGAAACGGTTAACGGTAACTGCAAACGGTAACGGTAACGTTAATGCTAACGAAAAGCAAAAGCCAAACGAATTTCGAATTTAGTTTTAAACTAAGTTCGTTGAGTGAACTTTTCTTTTCCACCAACTCTCTGTCTCTCGATCTCTCCTAAAGCTGGATCTTGAGTCTTGAGTCCTCATACTTAGGAAACTCCAAGATCGTGCAGCAGATGCTGGGTGATCACCTCGCCCTGCTCCTCCATCAGCTGGGCGGTGACCGTGTTGATCAGATTGAACACGATGGCGAAGACGGTGAAGGCGCAGTAGACGCCCAGAGCCAGCCACCAGATCATCTGCTCGTACTCCCGGTGTCCGAAGTTCTTCAGCACCAGGAATCCGATCGTAAGTCCAGCCAGGGCTCCCGTCAGGTGGGCAATGTACGACACCTGGGGACCCTTGGCGAAGGCTCCGCCGTCGAAGTACTGGGTGTACAGAGCATAGCCCAGATCGCAGGAGACTAAAAATATAAGATTGAAAAGGGATTTAAGTTAGTTAAGTCGTAAAAATAAATATATTATATAAATATGCAAAAGGAAAATGAATGAATGAATCTAAGTTCAGTGGTTTTTTTTAAAGGATTTTAATGAAGAGAAACTCACCAAAGATGACCACTGATCCGAGCTGCGTGGAGGCGCTCTTCATGTGCGCGTAGTTCAGTGTGATGTTGGCCAAATGGGCGGCCAACAGGGCGTAGACACCACCGCTGGCGCCCACCAGGAAGACCTCCGAGTCGACGACACTGGTGCCCAGGGAACCGGCGAACACGCCGGCCATGTAGATCACACCGATCCTGGCCGTGCCGTGCATCACCTCCAGGGGAATGCCGAAGAACAGCTGGATGACGATGTTGAAGCCCAGGTGGAACCAGTTGGCGTGCAGGAACATGTAGCTGAAGAAGCGCCACACCTGGAGACGTCTGTCCGGGCGATAGACCAGCACCGAGTCCGAGGGAATCGGAACAGGGAGCCCGAAGTTCTGGGCGGGCATTGTGTAGCGGTCGTAGGCAAAGATGGCAATCTAAAATGGACAGAAGAAGAAGGCGAAGGATTGGGGGTTAGTTTTGGGGGGTTTTCACTCTGATTTATGTTGTTGCTGTCTGGCACGCGACCGCGTCCCAAATAAAGTCTTATGAAAATGCTTAGGGAGAGTCCTGCCAACTTGGCAAAGCTTCAACTAAAACTAAACGCATACGCCCCGTGGGCCGTCCTGCGAGTTTATTTGATATTCGTGCTAGTTTCTATGCGAGCAAGTAAAAAGGCATTTACTTTGATTTCATTTGAAACTACATTTTTGATATATAAAGGGTTTTCTCTCTTTTATATGAAGAAAAAAACAGTGATGATTTATCTTAAACTTTATGCAACAAATTCTCAAAGAAAAATAGTAATATTTCTTATAAAAGTATTACTTTACTTTCAACGATTTCTAGTTATTTATATCTTCGAACATTGTAGGGTTTTTCGCATGACAAAAATTTGTGCCCTATCGTGTACTTTTCTGTTCGTTTTTTCGTTTTTCCTTCAGCTGTTTGCCGTTCAACTTGTTTACAATCGATTTTCGGGGGCGCCAGCGAGTCAGACGCAGAAAACGAAACAGAAACAGAGAGACAGAGAGACGGGCTGGGGGAAAAACAAGGAAAACTCTCGGAAAACTTCCGCTCCTCGTCTCCGCTCCCCGCTCCCCGCTCCCCGCTCCTATATCATTTTTTATCGCACTTGGGATGAAAGTTTGCGGCTCCTTTGATTTAATGGGACGAGTACAAAACTTGGCCATGTGTGTGTGTGCTTACCTCAATGATGGAGATCACTAGGATGAACCAGGGCCAGTGCTGCCGATGCACGTACTTCAGCAGGCTCAGATCCTCGGCCTCCGGAAGGGGCGTGGCCGGGACGGGATCCCTCTGCATGTAGATGTGCTCGCCCTGGCGAGTGCAGCAGGTACTACTCGCCGTACTGCAATCCGTGTCGTAGGACGAGGAATTCGAGGAGGAGCACGCGGCGGGAATGTCAATGATGGTCTCCTTGGCGGCTGTGGAACTCTCCTCCTCCGGCGACTCCTTCTCCTGGCCCAATTCCACCTTGGTTTCGTTTACACACTGTGCTGTTGGATTCTCCATTCTGGCGCCGTTGAAGAGGAAATTCTGTAAAAGACGGCGGCACGCATAAAGTGTGTAATTAATTAACTTGAACCGAACAATAAACAAAAATCAATTAAGTGCATAAATTATTCATAAAACAGAGCACAAAACAAGAGCAATTACAACACTTCAGAGCGAAGGGAAATGCACCAGAAATAAAAGAAATGAAAAGAAAAGCAATGGCAGAGGCACAGGCAGAGGCAGATTTTCAACGGCAAAGGCAAGAATTTTGTTTATGGTCTGGGACATGGATTCCAATGCCTGCAACTTCCTGGTTTTCTCCCCTCGAGGCTGAGGGGGAAAACTGGGTCAGCATGGTAACAGCTAACCATAAAATTTAATGGGCCAAGTTTGCTCTTTCTCCAACTTCGAGGGCCCCCTCTCTAAAATTAGCTAGACAAACTTGGAGATACTTTCGTAGTAGTTACATAAACTGCACTTCTCAGCCCTGAAATCATCTTCGCTAATGGCCAACTAATCAGCTAATGGTCAGGCATTATTGTAATTTGCCAGCCAGAGACATTTCCTCACAAATTATGTTAATCGCATTCGATTCAATTACAGTCACAGCACAAATCTTCTTAAATTCCTCAAACAATTGTTCAACAAAAAAAAAAAAAAAACCAAATTCATTGCCTTGCACAACAAAAAAATCCAAATAACGCGCTTGTCTCACTCCCACTCGTTCAAATTGTGAATTCCCCTCTCTTTCTTTAAGTCGCGTTGCACACACGCACTGTTGTTGTTGTTGTTATGTGTCTGCTACCTACACTGCTCAAAAAAGTGAGTGGGAGCATACCGCCGTCTTGCCTCTCATGTCTTTTTGTTTTTTGTTTAAGTCGGTTGCCTAGCGATTTCAATATGGCACGAAATCGCAGTCGGGCCGCCTATTAATTAATTTATTTATAAATTATAATTGCAGACTGCACTGAATGTCCATGCGAGCATGAAGAAGAGATGTCGAAAGCGGGCTCAAACATAATGAATTAATTCAGTTGCCTTTTGCTTTTTTGCTTTTTATTTAGTGAACGGTCAAAAGCATAGTTTCACATGACCCGCGCTGTAATTTGCATATTTTATTTTTCTGCTGCACTCGCACCCCTAAAAAAACCCACGAAAGGGTGCGACAGAGAGGGCAAGTTGGCAAGTTGAACAAACTCATTACGCCTCTAAGTTTAAGTGCTTTTGTTTTGCCGCTGTGACAATTTCTATTGCAATTTGCACATTTCTTGCATCTCTCTTGGCGGCGGTATCTCCTCGTACTATTCTCATTAAGGTCGGGGCCCGGGGCTTACCTTAGGTTTTTCTGCCTGTCGCGACAATAATCCAAAATGCGTTGGTTTTGTTTGTAATCCAAAAGTCTTTAGTTTAGGCCATTCGCTCGCTTAGTTTTCACTTGGTTTTGTGTTCACAAATTTTTTTGAAACTTAGTTTAGTTTTAGTGCTCATTAATCCAGGAGCTTGAATTTATGTTGGATATTTTTGATATATTTTCGCACCCACACACACGACAATTTGAATATTTAGTTTCTGCTTGTTTCGAGTCGCAGTCTCAGTTTTCTAAATTTCAGTTTTCTCGCTCGCGGCTCGCACGCAACTGAATTTCGGAGGCGAGGCAGCCGGCTTATAACTGCTCGATGGCCAACAGAATTATAAGAGAGCATAACCGCTTGCAACTCGAACATGTTGTGTTTTCATTCGACCGTATAAGAGTTGCATGCTGCCTTCAGGTCTTATGTGGGTGCACTGCAGTTATTCTCGTGCTGCAAGTCGAGCGGAGTCGACGGTTGGCTGCTTCTCTGGTTTCCCCATCCGCCGGTTGCCCCATAACGGTTAATGACTCATCCGGACGGGCCAGCACTCATTACCAATGCCAACTGACTAATAAATGCGTCGTCTTCTCGGCCATCTTCAGCGATCAGCGCTTTGTCATGAGTCTTTCTTCTAATCTTGCCCATATTGCGAAATTCCAGCAAGGTTACGAGAAGGGGTTGCGAATTTTTATTATATTAGTAACCGGAATTAAATCTTGTTCTAGAGTGTTGCGAAATATTTGTTACTCTCAATATCAATCTAGAAATTACTGTCTATATGTTCCCTCATTTATCCGATATCAAAAAAATCTGTATAAAATGCTAGGAAGGGAATTTAATAAAGCAATATTTGGAGATAATTTGGTTTTAGTCATCACTTCCAAACAGTTTAAGAAATTATGTTAACTTGAATGATCAAACGGTATTCCTTTAAGCCCCACAGCTGTTCTTGTGAAGTACTTTTTAAAATCTTAATCATCCCTATTTAAAATTTAAGCTTGCTAAACTGTTTTCATTAATTAAATAATGGCATATATTATATTAAAATTGTTTATTTGGGGATCTCCTGGAACGTGCCACAGTCGGTGAACCGAAATGCAAATCAAGAATCAACAACTTAGCAATGCAGAACATGTCCCAGATTCGAATTCGAAACCGAACCCCTCCGGATTCACCTTGATGGTTCGATTCCCGGTAAGAGATCATTGCCAGGGGGTTTAGAATTTCACACCTTTCAGAAAGCAAGAGAGAGGGACCTGGAGGCGTTGAAGAGATAGAAATCGGTAGCAAAAATAAATATTTATACAAATTATTAGGCAGCCTAAGCCGTCGCAGTCACGAGTTCGCGGGAAAGGTCACGGCATGTTGCACAAAAGGAGTAGCTTTGGCTTCCTGGCCGAAAGGATCTACGTGGTTACGTGTTTTGCATGATAAGCTGGGAATTTACACAGATCTGATAGATAAGACAAACACCCAACCGCACACACACACACTCACACTCGAGCAGTTTATCCTGGCGAGTCATCCTCGGGCGAAGAACTCCCGCATTAAAAGTGAAAATATTTCCACAGGGTGGACTGAGATTTATGATGACTTCTTAACATGTGCGTGCAACAGGTAAGCAGACACAGATAGAGGAACCCAGTTGCATTACATGGCCATGACCAGGCACGTCATCGGTGCTCAGTCCTCAGTCCTCAGTTCAGATTCAGATTCAGATTCAGCTCAGCTTCATCTTCATCGTAAATCCTTTTTTCCCACGTTCCCTCAGGCCGAGTTCTCCCAATCGTCGGTGGGTTTCCATTGTGCCAGACACGCATCACACTCGGCACTCCATGGACCCACTGCTCTGGCAAGGTCAACAAACAGCGAATCCACCCACACACCCAAATATACACACAGGTAACTGTGTGTGGGTCGTGTGGGCGTGGGTGGGCTTTTCCCACGCAGGACGTTGATTCCTGGCCCTCGGGCGGGAATTTCCTCCAACATGTGCTCGACATATGTGTCGAGTGTTTCGCGGACCGGGAATCAGGAAATTCCGTTCGCCACTTGCATTTCCCACCGCACAGCAAGGTGTCTTTTTCCGCTTCCCGGAGTTTCATTGCGCGGCTTTTTGTTCGCCGCACTTGTCCTCCGACGCGTTCCGCAAGTTCCGCCAAATGTTTCGCGATGTGTGTTTTTCCCACAGACCGGTTGTCCTGCCCAAGGATCCGAGGACTAATCATCGGCCAGGGGCGCGTCTTTCAAGCAGCTTCTCAGAAGGCAGAGGCTGAGTGTGAGAATGCCTAAATCCTTGAAAGGACTCAATTGACTCCACAAGTTAGTTGAAGGTTGTTAACACAATTTTAAAAAATTAAGAATTTTATTGCAATCATACAAAGCGATTTATTTCATTGCTAATAATATTTCTGAAATTTATTTGAATTTGAAATGAAATTTTTTTCTTGCTTAGAAAGTTTGCTTTAAAAATTCTTAACTCCCTAAACAAATTATAAAATTCTAAGTAAATAAAAAAAGATCTGCCAGAACAGAAGGGGTGTTTGAGATACACAAACCGAAATGCAAATTTGTTCTATAACAATAAAGAGGGCACAGAACTTGACGGGCCAATTGTGAACGGCAATGGGAATGGAATTGAAAAATTGATTGAGAATGAAGGCCAATAATAATGGACAAGTAATGAGACTGTCCGCAACAGCCAAAGGAATCGTGGGAGGCGAGCCGAAAGGAGCAAAAAGTGCTGGCCGAGAAGTCGGGCGGCGGGCAGGGCATGCTCGAAATTTATCTATTGGATTAAGGTCTCTTTTGTGGACGTCATTATGGCCAATGCCAAAGACAAATTGGAAATTTATTGTTATTGGCAGGCGGGGATGGGGGTGGGAGCTGGTCGGGATCGGAAGGAAGGAAGCGAAGCAAGGATAACAGACCAGCGAATATGCATAATAAAAATGTCAATCAATGAACTGCAACGACCCGAAAGGAGTCTCATGCTCCAGGTCCTTCTTCATCCGCTTCATGGCCGCCCTGGGCCAGTTCGGCCACGATAATTGAACATAAACATTGCATTCAAGTAGTAATTGTTGAAATTATTGTGCATCCTAATCCCGAACGAACGCAGGACACCGGCATTTTCTATCTGCGGTCAGTGCAGCAGCAGCAGCAGTTTTTAGCACCGAAAATAAGCAGTTTGAGCAGATAGCCAAATACCTAGCCCGAGTTAAAAAGGACATTTGTATGTATTCCGGGGCCCGTTTTTGGAATGGTTCCCAGGACATGACGACACTGCCATTTCTGGCAGCCAAAAGGAGAGACCAGTGCAAACACAAATGTTGATGCCCGCATTTCTCCCAGGCGCTGAGACAAAAGAAGGCAAAAGAAAAAGGTTTCCCATGGCCAAATCCAAATTGGCTCTGACTTGGAGTAAGTCATCAGAATGAATAAATAAATAGAGCTTGGTGCGGATAAGAAAAGCAGATAATGGCCAGGAAAGAGGTTTTGAGTCCACACAAGATATGAGTGGAGCGATGGGAATATATTGATACTAAGGAATCGATGGCAGATAATCTATTTTCTTTGGAAGGACCTCCGTTGAAAATAGCGAAGGATTAAAAGTATTGTAGAGACTTTTGAAATAGCTACCATAATTTAAAGGCCATCTCCAGTAACGAAAACTTGATTAATAAACTGAGAGAGAAGAAATGAACTCCAATCAATTAAAAACTAAATTTGTAAGACCAACAAAGTTTCGCAAACTCTCAAAAAAGCAACCAATTTAAACTCCTCTTATAAATCACTACGTCCACACTTAAGCTGCGTCCCATTCGGGTTTAATTTGAGTATTCAGCAGAACTCCAAAATTGGCAAGCGCCACCGAAGAAAAAATGAATAAAAAAGTGGAGAATAAAAACCGCATTCGCATTCGCATTCGGTTGGACTCTTTATTTTCTTCTCACCAGCTCACCATGTTGAAAACCCCACTCGCAATCGCTGAGCACTTGACCACTGGACTCTCGCGAAACTCGTGGCGCTAATCAGTTTAAAGGGCGCTTGTCCACTTTGGCGATGCTTTGGTTTTAATTACGCGGCAAAAGTTGGACCTCATCCCCATGCCGCATGCCCCATGCCCCAACTCATCGCGCAACTTGGCAATCTGGCGAATTTTTGCGCTGCAGCATCTCGCTGGGATTCCCAGTTAGTTAAAGTGCTGGCAACACATTAAAACTGCAATTCATCCGCAGCCGCAGAGGCCACACATGGCAGGATGAGAAAGGATGAGGCAAGGGGCCGGATTTGGGGGGTTGGGGGGATTGGAATGGCCTTCCCGAGGACTACAGCTCAGCGGGGGCTTGCAGCACTAATGAACATTTTATTACAAAAGTTTGCGCTCTAGATGAGAAGCGAAAACTTCTGCACATCTTTTTTATGGCATTTTGCATTGGTAGCTTGGCCGGGCCAACACTCCTGGCCCAATTTGAAATATTATTATGCCAAGTGGCCAGCTGAGCTGCAGTGTGGAGCTGCAGTTCGCCAAGTTAAGCCGGTACGACCTCTGAACTCCCGGGGAACGGGTTGCACTTGTGCGACTTCAAATCCAGCTGGGAATGCGACCCAACCCTTTGCCTTTTCCCGGGTGGAGGTGTCTGGCGGTCGTCTGCAACCCGTCTGCACTCGTGACACCGCTGAAACCCAATCCTCTGCAGCTCGGATGCATATATTTGCCCAGCGGAACCGAGTCCAGTCAGCTCTGTAATTCCGTTTTAATTTGCACGCCCGGCGTGAAGTGACTTTGCCCGCTGGCCCAAGGAAATGGACACCCCAGACGATACGATAGTCACCCCCAGAGAGGAAGGGGTTCCCCCCAATGTGACCTTGTTTGCCTCCCTGTCCACAGACCAAGTGCAGAGCTCAGTTTCCTCCACCACTCAACGTTTTAATTACGGATTCGAGCAAATATTGCAACCGAAATATTTGGTCAGAAAAGGAAGCGAGGAATTATCTTACTGCTCGAGTGCAGGCGAAAGGGTTGCAGGGTCCTAGTGTTAGGGGTTAATGGGTTTCAGTTTCTAATTATGATTATTTTAATTGTCCTGACCTCAGCTCTTGATGAAAAAGGGGTTCTAGTGTTTGCGTTTTTCTTGGGATTTTAATGAAAATATTTTAGTTTTATTTGATAAGTTTTCAGAATAAATGTTTGGAGGATAATAAAAAAGATATGTTAAAGTCTTTTCTGAAAAGCCAGATACTTTTCTATTATTTAGTAGGTTTTTTTA